GAAAAAAAGACCCTTACCCGATGATCAACATGGTCGCCTCGACGTGTTGCTGTGCGGCATTCGCAGCTTTCCTAAGCACTTTTGAAGAATGCTGTTTGACTGAAACAGAGGGCGGCTTAATGGAAGTCGATAAACAGGCCTAAAAGGTTTACATGCTGAGCGATGGTGAAAGCCAAGAAGATTACAGCGTCGGCCTCTCCCACTGCGTCTTTTTGGTCTCGGTGTGGACGTAGTAGTAGCTGCCGAGGTTTCGCGACTTTCGTGGCACCCAGCCTGGTGCCAGCGGTGGCTCGTCTTGCGACGTCTCGCCCGTTTCCGCATCTGCCGCTGCTGCTAGTGTTCCTGGTTGAGCATTCGTGCCGCTCGCTGCTGAGCCCGCGAGCTCGGTCGCAGCAGTCGCTCCATTCGACACCTCAACCCCATTGCTCGCCTTTGCAGGTGTCTCCCCCGCCGCGGCGGAACCCTTCCCCTTCTTACCACCCGCCGTCTTGCTCGGAGACGCATCCAGCATCTCCTCCATATCCGAATCGTCGAATTCACCCGTAATGATCATACTCATCTTCTTCTTCGCCAACGCCAGCGCCGCCTTGAAGCTCGCCGTCCGCGTCCACGCAAGCACATTGCCCCTCATCGCCTTGACACATCCCGACAGCAGACCTGCCACGCTCAACCGCGCGCGCAGCTCCACCTGCGTATCCTCGTCCGCCGCCGACTTCCGATCCGTCGGTCCCGCCTTGATCTGCTCGGCTACGCGCGGTCCGTCGGAATGCATGCCGAGCGAAGGGTACATCCTGCCTGCCACGTGGCTGATGGTGAGCGTCGTCTCGCGTGGGATGCGCGTCTGGAGGCGATCGTTGAGCGAGATCATGACGAATCCGGCGGGGAGCGGCGGCATGGGTGGGAACCCGGGCTTGCCGGCGAGGATGCTGGGTTGGGGAAGGCGAGCTTCGAGCTGCTTGGCTTCTTCCTGCCTGGCAGCCGCGTCGAGGCTGTCGTCCGATTCGAGCTTCTTGATGCTCGCCTCGACGTCGGCTTTGATCGCGTTGTACTTGGCCTGCGGCATCACCTGGTAGATCTCGCCCGCAACACGGATCGTCTTGGGTGCGCGTGGGTCCTCGTAGATCGCCGCAAGCTGTAGCACGTACGATCCTTCTTCATCCAGAACAATCGCTTTGGCTTCCGGTGCGCCCGGTTGCGTCTCTGCCACCAGCGCTGCGTTGAGCTGTTGCTGCAGCTTCTTGATGTCGCTCCTCGACAGTTTGAGTCGTACCACGTCGCCCACCCATAGTCGCTCCAATCCAAAGTAGATGCCTTGGTAGTATCGCATGCCGAGCGTCGATTGAGCGTCACCGTCAGCTGCTATGCCGCCGAGATCGCGCAACACCCCCTGCGGAGTATCCGATCCCGAATACGCGTCCGTTACATTGTACAGGTTGCGCAGCACCGCCGCTGCCTCGATGGCGAAACCCCACGTGACGATCGCTCTCGTGAAATCGGGAGCGGCAAGGCCGGGCTGCCTCGACAGGTTGAGATGTGGGAATTCGTCATTGCTGAACAACCACTGATGGTCTTCGCGCGAACCCAGATCGCTCTCGAGCAGAGAACCGTCCGGAATGAATCCGGCCAGAAAGGGCGTCAACGAGGCCTCGGATACCTTTGCCTTCTCCGTCGTGCCGAAAAGATTCACATGGTACGCCATGGACTGCTCCACCGCACCGACAGCACCCATTGCGCGCGGCGATGCGGCACGCTTGCTCGGAGCAGAGACCGCTTCCAGGCTCGACTTTTGCTTATCGTCGTCGTCGTTCGGGTCGTAGCCGAGCGTGGTTTTGAAGTCCAAGCTGGGGTCCACGAAGACCACAGGCCAGATCTTGATCTGCCTTTCCGCATTGGAAGGATCGACCACTGGCTCGTCGAGCGTGCACCAAGCTACCTCGCCGACTCGGAATCGTTCCTTTTCACCCCGTTTGAGCGCATGCGACGTCTCCTGGTCGCGCTGAGGCACGGAAGCGATGGTGTGTCCCGGTACGAGCCGAGTCATCTCGACGCCGCGCACCGTGATCGCGGTTTGTGACTGCACCACCTCGACACCATCTCCGTTCTGGGACTTTCTGCCACGACGACCGGCTTGAGCGGCACTGGATGCGCTGAGCGGTTCGCCCTTTCGCTTGACGCCGGCCTTTTTCGGTGTACCATCGCCACCTGGGGAGGCACGTGGACCCTTGTGGCAGTACTTGCATCGGCAGTTGGCGACGTTCATGTCTGGATCGGAGAGGAGCCAGATGAAATGTTCGAGAGCTTCCCTGGTCGAGCGGAAGCGATGCCCTTGGCTGCCGAACAGGTAAGGGTCTGTGCGTGGTTCGTATGCTGGGCCCTTGCGTTGCTCTGTGAAGGCGTAGTTCTCCGGAAAGTCGTAGAGCTTCCACTTGGCTTTGGAGCGGGAGAGCGTGTCGAGCTTAAAGTGCTGCGCCAGCTGTTCGCCGAGTGCACCACGCCAGGTGTCGTGCCTCTTCTCCTCGCGCGAGAAGACATGGTAGTAGTTGACCTCCTTGTCTGATTTGGGAGGCACTTCGGTATTTGGCGGGTTGTAGAGCGGATCTCCATCCGAGCGCGGAAACTTGATGAACCCATCCGGACGGAAGATGGTCTCGTCTTCCGCTACCTCTTGTGGAGACAGCATAGCTGGTCCGAGCGGAGTGCGCCGAACGCGCCGTGTTCAAGGAGCTCTCCGTCTCGGAGGCGTCGTCGAGCGAGTCTTGCAGCAAAAACTGAGCACGGTCTGAGCAAACGATCCCGCTGCGAGAGAGGATGCCGTGCAACATGCGCCAGCTCCGCACTCGACCTCGGTGTCGTCGGAGGCGGAGACACGCTCGATGTGGAGTTAGCTCAACCGATGAGATATCGACCTTGCGGCAGCGCTGTACTGGATAGCTTCCCGCCCAAGCTTGCGAATGATGGTGGTATGAGTTTAGATGCGATGGTAAGCGGAAAGCAAGACGGATGCCTCATATAGTGCTCGACCTTGATGAGCTCAATGAAATTCGCGCAAGCAAGCTGAGTTCGGATGCGGTCCACTTTCTAGGATGTCGACAGTAGGATGTCTAGTGCGGATGCGGATGCTGGCGACGCTGAGTTAAAAAGAAGGTGTATGCGATTGCGAAAGGTCGAAGGGAGAGCCAAGGAGTGGGACGAGGTCGTGATGGATGCACGGCCAGATGGAAGGGGCCGCGGATGGTAAGATTGACACGGAATCATTCATTCTTCGCGAGTGACAGAAAAGTGTGAATTGGTCTGTGTCCCTCCACTGCGTCTCGCTTTCGCTTCTTTTTTCCCTGCATTTCCAACTTTTGTGTCGCGCTTTGACGCACCGAAAAGAAAGCTCACACCGACGCGCTAAGAGCCCTTTGACCGCGCCGCTTAAAGCGCTCACTCCCTTCGACACCTCGAGAAAGCTTTCAATTCACTGCCAGTCACCAAAAATGTCCTCCCCTCGCTTTCTCTTGAAGTGCACACCATAACGTATGTCTGATATCAACGAACAAGAGATAATGTGCGGCAAACATCGAAGACGGGCTATGATACAGAACAGAATGAGACGCGATGCTGTGCCAGGATGCAGGGGTATAGAAGACGGCCAGCTGAAACGACCGTCTTTTGCGGGACAGGAGCCAGCGATTTGTCCGACTGTGGGGACTAAAAGTCGGTTGCGTTCTGTTCCTGCTGAGCCCTTCTCAACGCACGAGTCTCCTTGGCGATCGCATTGCAGTGCTTCTCGAACAGCTGCACAAACGGTCGCAAGCTCGTCTTTTCCCAATCCTGCTTGACGTTTTCACCTCCTGCTGTTCCCGCCGCGGGAGAGGCTTCGTTCTTGTAGTTGCTCTTGACCACCGGTGAGGCCTGTTTGTGGGCGGCCTCGTATGCATTCAACTCTCGAAGCAGCTGTGCCACCGTTGGGCAGCCGGCTTCCGGGTCGAATTCAAACACCTTGGACGGCTCGAGAGGCACGCACACCCTGCCCGTGGCTGGATGCACGACGAATGGCGACTTGAGCAAGTGGTTGAGGTGCTTGGAAACCTCTGCATCGATGCGTGGGTACGTGTACTGCAGGATGATGTCTTCGAGGCAAGGACGCCAGATGCGTTCGCTCTTGTACTCGCCCGCTCGTTGGGCGCACTCCATGACGTCCTGCCACTTGTCCAGACTGGAGCGGCTCGATGCTCGCTCCCATTTGGAGCGCAGCTTTTCGATGGCCTCCGTTTCAGAGGAGGGCAGCAATTGCAGCAAAATGTCCCACTGCGCAGGCGAGCGGAAGCAGTCCTGGTCTTTGAGCACCGTGTCGACGAATGCCAACTTCAAAGGTCCGCTCTCGCTGCCCTCGCCTCCGATGGCGCGCCGCAAGCTCGGATGGAGACTCCTTCCTCCTGCGCTGCCCGCCCACCCAGCGTCGACCTTCTTGACCTGGTTGGCCCCTCCCTTGATCACCTCGAGCCAGCCGACGATCGCCTTTCGTGCATCGTCCGCCAGCTGGAACGCTTCCCTGTCCGAGATCCAGCAATGAATACCACGTCGACCCGAGTAGACCCAGAGCAGATGCTTGAAGCCAAAGTCCTGCCTCAGAGCCTCGTCGAGCACCTGCACAGCCACGGCGATGAAGGCCCAGCAGCGCTTGCAGATGCCTTTGCCCGAGCAGCACGTTCGCACCTCGTCGTAATCGGTCATGTCGATATCGAACACGAGCTCGCGCTGCACCGGCTTGAAGGACGCCTTTTGAACGGTCTTGCGATCCTTCGGCTTGGCGGTGTAGACGGGACCGATCTCGAAACGCGCCGGGTTGAGACGGCACACTTCCTTCTTGAGCTCGTCGGCAGAGGAAAAGGAGTTGTAGCGAAGGTAAGCCTCGTTCTGCAACGTAAAGGCAAACTCGCGATGGGTGAAGCACTTGGTGGCAGCCATGTGGGCGAGGTCGTGATTCAGCCAGGAGAAGAGTTGCTTCCAGGGGAACAGTCGACGATAGAAGCTGAGCATGGACATTGGGTCCGACGAATCGCGGATCTCGATGGCACGTTCGTCGATGGACGTGAAGGCGTTGTCCGGAAGGTCGTCGTCCAAGTCCATGTCCGGCGGTGGAGGGCGTGCTGGCGGCAGCGCCGATGTTGATGGCATGACAGCAGCAGAAGCCATCGTTGCAATCACGTCAAGTTGGATAGTGTGCAAGTGGAGATGGGACGATCAGCAAAGGAAGGAGCTTGCAAAAGAGAAGAGGAAGAATCAACTCGAGAGTTTTGTGTTGTTCGCACAGCAACGCCGTCGCCAGTCGCGTCTCGAGCTGCGTTTTCGGCGCCTGTCCATCGAGTAAAGTGGCGTCGCTCCTACAGAGACGCGTCAATGACCTTAGCGCAGAATTGCTATCCAAACACACGTTCGGTCTAACGTCTTTGCATTTGTCTTACCCGCATCGGCCAATTGTCCGGCGACGCTTGGACGCACAGCCGAAGCCATCATCCTCCACGTCTGTCTCCATCACGTCCTCCTCTCAACAGTTCACTCGACGTCACGTCACGGGCAACCCAATCGGCTCGATCAAACAGCTTAAAAGACATGGTACCCTATAACGGTGCTCGCACAAAGGTGCAGCTCAAGCTCACTATTCAACGATGCAAGATGCTCCAGGAGAAGAAGGTGCGTTCCGGACCGGCATCGTTTTGAATCCCAAAAAGCAAGCTCGCTGACATATTGCTGCTCCACTCTACAGGAAGCGATGGCAAAGCAAGCACGGCGAGATATCTCTGCTCTGGTTGAGAAAGGCAAACTCGAAACCGCACGCATCAAGACGGAAGGCATCATCTCGGAAGACATCCACCTCGAGCTGCTCGAACTGATGGAGCTCTACGCCGAGACGCTGCTCGCACGCTTTGCGCTACTCGATCTGCCCACACGCGAAGCCGACATCAGCATCTTGCCAGCACTCTGCGCCATCATCCATGCTGCACCACGTACGGAGCTCAAGGAGCTTCACGTGCTCCGAGAGATGCTTATGGCGAAGTTCGGCAGGGAGTTTGCGCAGGATATTATGGATAACAAGGACGGATGCGTGCCAGAGCGCGTGATGAACAAACTCCTGGTGGAGGCACCGGATGCGAAGCTGGTCGACCTGTACATCTTTGAGATCTGCAAGGCGTACGATGTGCCTTTCTCGTCCCCTCACTTGCCAGAGACCAAAGTCGAGGAGGACGAAGAGGCAGAGGAGCAAACCGAGGCGGATGGAGAAAAGGCTGCTAACGACACAGAAGGGAAGCCCGAAGCGGGGCCGAAGTCAGAAAAGGGCACTGCTAAGACGATTGCGGAAAAGGCAGACACGGCGAAAGCACAGGATAAGCCCACACAGCAGGACTCGGCACCAGCACGCAAAAAGACAGACAAGGAAGAGTACGACTCACTAGAAGCACGCTTCGCCGCACTCAAACGGCGCTGATCAACTGCAGGCCATTCCTCTATGCATGCTCTCTGGCTGATGACTGGGTATATTGATGCGGATGCTGAAGGTACACGACGAGCAAGCTCATTGAGCTGCTTGAGCTTGAGGGAGCGAGGACTTCTGTATCGCATCTCTGAGTCGTTGCAATGTGCGGTCTTCGTATGCTTTTGAGTAGACGGCCGATGTGGATGACGACTCTTGTGGCGTGTGGTCCATTCGAGCGTCATCAAGTGGCATGACAGTCGGTCGAACTCGTCCGATGTCGCTGGGTCGCAGAATACCACGTTGTTTGTACCACGACACCCTCTTGGGCTCGACGTAGACCTTTTCCTTCGTCTCGCTGTTTCTCGTGTATTGGGCCCAGCCGATGAAGCATTCCTCGAGCAAACCGGTGCATCGCATCTCGCCTCCCGTCGCCACTGCTTGCCACGCGCTGGCAAGCGTCTTAAAAGTGGCAAGCGCCATCAGCTCCCTCTTGATCTTCTTGCCGGACGCTGGAAGCTGAAATTGCAGATGCTCTAGCTCTCCAAATTGACTCTGCAACGTCTTGGCCAAGGGTGTCGTGAGTGGGTCGCTTGGTGCTGCGAGTGATCCTGAGGCGCTCGCTGTCAGCTGCGGCAGCTGTGAGGTGGGGAACTGCACCCTCACGGTCTTGTCCAACGGATGCAGCTCCGGCTCGATCTCGGCTTTGGCGCGCTCTTCTTCCTTGCTCCTCTTCTCCGCTGCAGCCTCATTCGTCTGCCGTGTCTTGTCGTCCGCCTCCTGCTGCTTGCGTTTTATCAACCGGCGCGACTCTGCTTGCAGCTCGGCGATCTTGGCGATACGTTCTCTCGCCGCTTTGTCAGCATCTTGACGTTTTCTCAACGCCTGCTGCTCGTTCCTCTCGAGCTCGTCTGCCATCTGACGACGCCTGCCTTGATACTGTTCTTGTCTTTCTCGCTTGGCTGCATCCTCAGCGTTTCTCTGTACTGCTCGCGCGCGCGCCGCAGGATCCATGAGCGTCTCGTAGGCGAGATTGATCTCGTGAAAGCGAGCTGCAGCTTTGATGGGATCGACATCCTTGCCAGCTTTATCCGGGTGGTAGCGTAATGAGAGCTTGCGGTACGCCTTTTTGATCTCTGCCTCGGTGGCTGTAGGTGGCAGGGAGAGGACGCGGAACGAGTCGTCCATCTCGCCGAAGGAGGACGACATGGCGTCAAGCTTCTCTCTTCAGTAGCCGAGCGCTTGTTGCGGGGGACAGATTTCGGATGGGGGCCTTGACGAGAAGATGTTGAAAGCTGAGTCGGGTTGTGTCGAACCAAGAGGGTCCAACCACGCTGCACCTTGAGCACAAGCTCCGTCTCCCGAACTTTATTTTTTCTGAAAAGTGTGTGGAGAAACAAACTTCCAAACAAGAAGAAAGCGTTTGGCTACCATACACCTGTCGACCTTGGAAGAACAGACTTCGTGCCACATCTCGCTTCGCTCTCAGCCCTGAGCAGCGTGTTGTCAAGATGGCGTCAATAGCAAGGACAAGCGCCGTATCTATCGCTCAGCTTGCAGCGACCTTCAGAACTGCTGCCACATTACCAGCCGCCTCGAGACGGATACTCCCCGGTCCCTCGCATGCAGCGTCATCTTCAAGAGGTTTCAAGTTGAGCACTACCTTAGCCTCATCATCTACATCTACACCCTCGTCCACGAAGGATGATGCAGAAGTCAAGCCTGAGAAACCGAAGCGTAGGCGTCGGTCGAGGGAGGAGATTCAGGCGGCTCAATTGGCCAAACTTGCATTTGGCGTTCCCATTCGCAGCCAGAAGAGGACGAGGACAGCGCTCGGCGGATCTGTTGCTCCTGCGCCGGAGCCTGAAACCGTATCACTTCCAAAGCGAGGCAGAGGACGACCTTCAAACAAATCTCGAGAAGCTCTAAAAGAAGCAGAGGAGCGCCGAACCCAACGTACCGCAGCCGCAGCACCAGCCGCACCCGCAGCTCCAGCTCCAGCGCCGACTCAGGCCGAACAACCTCTCAGCACCAAAGTGATGCAGGAGCTTCTCGTACACATGTCCTACGATCACCTTCCACCACGCGACGAGTGGAAGACGGAGTTCCCAGTCTCGAAGCAGCACGAGACCAGCTACCGATACTTTGTCAGCAATCGATCCACCATCAAGGACATCATCTCGCACCTCGGCATTACGGATCCGGAACGCAACGGCAAAAAGGTCACCATCATCGAAGGGTACCCTGGACCAGGGACGTTTGCCAGCGAGCTGCTCAAGCTGGATGAGGTGGAGAAGGTGATCGCACTGGAAGGAGCACCTTGCTACTTCAAACGAATCGAGCTGCTGCGATCGCAGCTCGAGGAGAAGCAGGCCGGTGCAGGTTCAAGGCTGGACACGCTGGAATCGTCGGCGTACATGTGGGAGACGTACAACGATCTCGTAACCTCAGATAAACTGGCGCATCTCAACGGACGTGTCCTCACGTCGGAGGGAAAGCCAGTCGATTTCACCACGGACCAATTTGTCGCTGCCGACCACTCGGATGCGAGCTGGCAGAAGCTCTCGCCCATGATCTTCTTCGCGCAGCTTCCCAACACCGTGTACGGTGAGCAGCTGTTTGCGCAGATCATCACAGCCATCGCAAGTCGCAGCTGGCTGTTTCGACACGGACGAATCCAGCTCGGTTTCGTCTGCGGTGAGTCGCTAGCGAAACGTAGTGTCGCCGAAGCGGGTGACAAGGTTTCGCGCGGTAAGCTGGGTACCACCGTCCAGTGTCTAGCGGACATCCAAGTTCATCGGTACGCACACGATCTCGCTCCACACACACATCACTTTTTCCCACCCACCATGAGCGTCGGTCCACGCGTCACGGTATCCGGTTCATCCATCATCCCCAACAGCAACCCTTCCACCGGTCTTACACGCACAGGAATGGTCATGATGACGGTCACACCCAAAGCAAATCCTCTCATCAAACCGACCGAGATCGAAGCGTTCGAATTCATCACCCGAAACTTGTTCATCCTGCGCACCAAACCCGTCGCCGAAGCTCTGACACACGTCGCTCCTGGTGGACAGAATGTACTCAAGATGACCAGTCGAGAACAGGTGGAAAAAGGTCTGATCAGGGAGGAAGAGGTGATCAGACCGGACGAGATCGTGAGCGATCTGACGAACGCCCAGTGGGCTTGTCTCGCGAGGATGTTCGAGAAATGGCCTTTCCGACCCAGACACCTGTTCGAGGAGGGTAGGATCAGGAAGGACAACAAGAGTCGCCATTAGACTTTCATCTATGCCAATGCTGTCCGTGTACACATTCACATCATGCATGACAATGTCAGTCGACGACAAAGCAGCATTCATTTTATGATTGATGGCGTTTGTTTTCCTTGTACAACTGCATTACCGGCTCACGCATCTTGCTCAAGACCATGAGCAGCCTTTCTGCGGAAAGCAGCTTGATCCCTCAACCACTGCCGGTACTGCTTGATGCTACCGATCTTTTCTCCATAGTAATCTGGCACTGGGTTTTGTACCGATTGTCTTGTGGGGTCCACCCTGTTCCGCTTGATGTGTTCGTAAAAGTCGTGATCCTTCTGCGCGATCTGCGTGGCATTGCTTCGATGGAGCAAGCTCCACATGGAACTCCCTACCGTAGGACCCACAAGCCATCCGAGACCGGCGCTGGCGAGCGTGAGACCGGCATTGATGTAGACGGGATCGAGACCGGCGATGGTGTTGGTGGGATCGAGTTCGAGGGTGAGGAAGTAGGAGCCGGCAGCAGCGCCGGCGAGGAAGGTGGTGGGGATGGTGGTGACCATGCCGGCTAGACGACGAGATCTGCGCAGTTGAAGGTACTTGTCCCAGCTGAGGTGGGGGACGATCTGTTCCGTCGTAGGGGAGGGTGATGAGGAGGATGCTGATGGAGAGGTAGCGGAGAACGAAGTTGGAGGAGTGGCTTTGAATGCGCCAGAGTAGGTGTTGGTGCTGCGTGTACTCGAAGTGGTGGAGAGCGAGCGAGCGGCCGACGGCAGCATCATGGCTGTGCGAGACGACGAAGCGCCAGCAGAGAGAGCTGCATACCTGGCAGCAACAGCCGACATGGTGACAACGTGACGAGTGATAGAAGTGTATCGAGGTTGGTGGTGGGAGGAGAGGCGTCAAGCTGTCAAAAAGTGACAATGCGAGGTGGAGTCGACTGAGACTGAGCAGCAGCAGCCAGGAAGATCTCGGTTTAGCTTGCATCTCGGCCGTGACAAGCGCAAACGCTGATCGCAAGCGCTTCTCGAGATGCACAGCGCGAAAGAGGAAAATGAGCGAAAATCGAGGCAGCAGCACAGTCACCTGGCTGAGATCGGGCCAACTCCGAATTGGCCATCGAAAATGGCACAAAGCGTAAAGCGTCGATGCGCTGTTCATCATTCACTTCTCCAACACTTCCATCATCTCCCTCATCTCCCCATCATCTCTCTATCTTGTCACGCAGCTTCACTATCGCAAGCACACCTCAAATATCGCATCTGCTCACCAAATCTATCACAAGCTGCGTGCGACTTTCAACAAAGACATTCCAACCGTCCAAATCGGTCGCCAATACTCGCTTCTTGAAGCTACCATAGCTGAAATCAACCTTGCAACGGCCTGCCACGAACGCAATCGCTTCGACTGCACAGTACCTGCCCACTGCCATCAATAATCAGCTCCCGCAAGTCCATAATCTGAGCGTCGCCGTCCTTCATCCAGCACGAAAGCATTCCTACTTGCTGTCTTCCATCTGCCCTCGTTGCCTACAAATATCTGCGCACCGTGAGGCTTTTCCATTCTTCCCGTCGACGTATACGCAGCTCTCTCGCATCGATCGTCAAACGCAACCCGAGCGTTGTCGCACTACTCCGGCCCCAACTACCACACAGCCGCTGCACCACAAGTCTTGACATCCAGACCTAACTACAATCCCAACCTCGCCTCCTACACCAGCCCACAGCTCATACCCACACACAGCAATGTCAGCGTCAGGACCAGCGCAAGGCCAATCTGAAGGCGCTTGGAAGCAGCAGATTACCTCCAAGCTTTCCAAAGATGAGCGTCCCCAGACCGAGGATGTCCTCAATACAAAGGGCAACGAATTCGAAGACTACTTCCTCAAACGCGAACTCCTCATGGGCATCTTTGAAGCTGGTTTCGAACGTCCCTCTCCCATCCAAGAAGAAGCCATCCCTATCGCGCTCACCGGTCGAGACATCCTTGCGCGTGCCAAGAACGGCACTGGAAAGACCGCCGCCTACGTCATCCCATCGCTAGAGAAGCTCAACACCAAGAAGAACAAGATCCAGGCCGTCCTCCTCGTCCCTACCCGTGAGCTCGCTCTCCAAACAAGTCAGGTCGCAAAGACCCTCGGAAAGCACCTCGGCGTCGAGGTCATGGTCACCACCGGTGGTACCACGCTTCGCGACGACATCCTGCGTCTCGGACAGACCGTCCACATGCTCGTCGGAACTCCTGGCCGTATCCTCGATTTGGCCGGCAAGGGCGTCGCCGACCTCAGCCAGTGCACCACCTTTGTCATGGACGAAGCCGACAAGCTTCTATCCCCCGAATTCACCCCCGTCATGGAGCAGCTGCTCAGCTTCCTCCCCAAGGAGAGGCAGGTCATGCTCTTCTCGGCCACGTTCCCGCTCATCGTCAAGGACTTTAAGGATCGCAACATGGTCAAGCCCTACGAGATCAACCTCATGGACGAGCTCACCCTTCGCGGTGTCACCCAGTACTACGCTTTTGTCGAGGAGCGTCAAAAGGTGCACTGTCTCAACACGCTATTCTCCAAACTCCAGATCAACCAGTCCATCATCTTTTGCAACTCGACCAACCGTGTCGAGCTGTTGGCCAAAAAGATCACCGAGCTCGGATACAGCTGCTTCTACTCGCACGCAAAAATGCTCCAGGCGCATCGAAACAGGGTTTTCCACGATTTCAGGAACGGCGCCTGCCGTAACTTGGTCTGCTCCGATCTCTTGACGCGAGGTATCGACATCCAAGCCGTCAACGTGGTCATCAACTTTGACTTCCCCAAGAACGCCGAGACCTACCTCCACCGAATCGGTCGTTCCGGTCGTTTCGGTCACTTGGGTCTCGCCATCAACCTGATCACGTACGAGGATCGATTCAACCTTTACAGGATCGAGCAGGAGCTGGGTACCGAGATCCAGCCCATCCCTAGCAACATTGACAAGAGGCTGTATGTCGCCCCTTCGCTCATCCAGGAGGCGGAGGGTAAGAACGGCAACGGCAACAGGCAGGAGGGCAGGCCGGTCATTCCGCCAGGTCAGCAGGCTATGCACGCGTCCCAGATTCCGCAGAATCAGAACTTTAGCAATACCGTGCCGCACAGACATCGTGGTGGTGGAGGTGGCGGCGGCGGAAGACGAGGCGGACCGCAGGGTGGAGCTCCGGCGCAGTAGAGCGGATGATGCGCCGGCGTCGCAGAAATTCGCGCTGTCGAGACGCGTACATCATCTCGACCGTCGAGATGCCCCTTTGATTCTCTATCGATTCGCCAGTGGCATCGCCCCAGAGAGTACTACAGTTTCCTTCCTCTGCAAATCGTAGAGCAGCGTCACGATCTTAACGCTCCTATGCTTTGCCCTTTCTCACCTCACACCCACATATCCTTCGCTTGCTCTTCTCACGCATCTCTGTTCGAGTCGCGGGCAGCACAGCTTGTCACAGCAAGCACTCCACCCTTGTCACTCCATACATCACTCGCAACCCCTTACGCTCATCATCACACCGCACATCCCGTAACACATTGACCCACCCTCCGAACACCTGTCATCTAACTCTACCATCCCATCTCGCATCCTCATCCTTCATCCTATGCTCCCTCCTACTCTTCTCTCGTTCTATTCATCTTCATCAATCATCCTCGATCACGCCTTTCACGATTCCTACACTCATCACAATCCTCATCATTCATCCTCGATTCCGCTTTCAACGATTCCTACGCTCATCATAATCCTCATCTTTCATCAACCCATGTTGAACGCGTCTGTGCTGTGTGATACGGGTCGAGATGAGTTGACGTTGGCGATTGACATTGGTCGTGCAATCGGTGTGAGCGGGTATATGAGTTAGAATTTGTTGGTTCGAAGGATTCCATGGGTGGTGGTTGTTTAGGGGGAAGAAGTGTATCGTGCAGTGGTGTTCGATGCGGATGTTATGCTTCCAGGGTATAAGTGTTCTTTTCGAGCTGTTTTGTGAGAGAGAAAACGTCAGACCTTAAGTCCTTCTCCGTTTGCGATGGGTTGAGAGAAACACTCACTTCGATCTCGAGTTCGGATCTCAACCAATCCACTCTATCCGGTGAAACGAGCAGATGGGTATCGTCGAGATCCATGATGATGAATCGATTTCGTTCGTCCAGCGACAGTATGAGTTGTTTCACCGCTGCATCACTAGCATCAGAGATCAGGTGGGAGAAGCGAGAGTAGAATAGGTTAGTGAAAAGGGTGCGTAGAGAGGGAGACGGAGGGAGGAAAAGCGATCAACTTACCAGGTCAAAAGCATGCCCTTGTAGGCTTTCATCTCGCCGGATAGTGGACTTCAGCTGTGAGGACGGCAGCCGCTACAAGGAACAGTTGCCTTGGTCGATCTGTTGTGTGCTGCGGTCGGGAGGTGCAGCGAACAAGGAGTGAAGGTGAGGGAGTGTGAGGGTCGTCGAGACGAGCAGCAAGCTGAGTTGAATCGTGGTCCTTGAAAGAACAAGCCTCCACACCGTACGCAGGGCTTCGCAACGATCTAACAACTCCCATCAGAATCGTCCCGGAAGTGAACCGGAACCACAACCTCCCCTTCTTGCTGCGAATGGTTCGTAGAGCTTACTTTGCGCATGCAAGGCTCATCTCGAGGAGCCACAGAGGGAACTTTACCTTCAGCAGCAGACGATCAGGAGGCTGCTGATTTGCTCTTGTGAGGGAGACTGCAGCTGCCGCCAACCAACAGCAGATTCTTGTCGGTAAGGAGATTCAGACAGAAAAGCCAACCCTTTAATCATGCCACGAAAAGTCATCGCGATGTGTGTAGAGCGACTTGCGGCTCTCTTGCGTCTCTGCCGTGCTCACAAGGGCCCGACATTATTCGCAAGACCACGGACACGACACACGGACGCACCTCCGTCAAGAGGTCCGCGGCCCAGCGATGCAGCTCAACAGACGCACGACCAAGGGAAATGAAATGTGAAGAGGCCCAAGCGCACTTCCCCCACCAAAATCCACGCGCCCAAATGGCAAACCACCATCTCGACACCAAACTTTTCCCAGCATTATCTCACCAACCTCACCAATCAATCGTCAAACAAAAAGTTGTTCTGACATCCTGAGGGTCGTAGCTTTCAGGTCCATGTGTCAAAATGGCAAAAAATGCGCGGCAAAAAGTACGACGCCTGTGAGATTCGAACTCACGCCCTCAGAGAGGATATCCTATTCTTTGGCAGAGACCAAATGCTGACTGTACAGACTTGCCCGAATGAAGGGAAAGAAAAGTAGCAGGGATACGTGTTAACCACTCCACCAAAGCGTCATCACGTGGAGGGCCGGAAGCTGGGGAGCACATATGTTGCAAAGCAAGTGTTCGAAATTAACAGGTCCGGTTGGGTTGAAGGCGGAGTTGCAATTGATGTAGAACATCCATGCATCTGACGGCGCTTTTTGGAAAGGGGTTTCGATGCCACAAAGAAACACGCTGCAGAGCCACGACCTCCAGAGATTGGATCAAGCAAGTCGAAAAACAAGTACGAGCTGAACGGTCCCAACAGCGAGGCTGGAGGAGTGAGAAGCAGTGGCATGACTGACGAGCTGTGACGAGCGAGTGCAGCGTTGATTGGTTCCAACGTGTATTTTGTAGCTATTGCGTGTGCGTGAGAGCGTGCCTGAGTGTCTGTGTGGAGGTGTGCTGCCGCTGCTGCTGCTGTGCTCGCTGATGAAATTTACTGTCTCACAGGACCCTCAACTTCGCTGTCTTGTCCTTCCACCAAATCCATCAATCTCACCATCGGCGACGTCGTCACAAACTCACCGACCCCATACTTACTTCGAACTTCGTATGGCTTCCATCTGATCATCTGGGTGCTTGGAGCGCCTCCAATCCTCGACCATCCACACCCTCACCGCTTGGGATCGCAATCATGTCCGCCGCCGTCGACACCCACCAATTGCCCTTCGACCTCTACACATATACCCGCTCAGTCGTAGCTGCAGCCGCCTCAGCTACCACAACTGCTGCAGCAAACATCGCTCAAACCACCTTCGACTGGGACAGTGCATCCCCCGGCAGCGGGGGCAACAATGGCTCCGACGACAACCCCGCCATCCCACTCCCCAACCAACGCGCCTTCGAAGGCCCCTGGTTCTCTCAGCAGCTCTCCCTCTCCATCTTCATCGGCCTCTTATCCTTCCTCATCTTCGTCGTCGTTCGACGTCGGAACGCAGCCCTCTTCGCACCGCGCACCAAGCTCAAAGGCTTCTCTCCGCTCGACGACGGTCACGATGTCGGATACTTCGGCTGGATCCTACCCACGCTCAAGACCGAGGAGTTGCGGATACTGCAAACGGTCGGGATGGACGCTGCCATCTTGCTGAGCTTTCTCAAGATGGGCTTCTGGCTCTTCTTCGGTATGAGCTGTTGGAGTGTTTTGGTGCTGATGCCGGTGAATTACTGGCAGAACGGTGTGCTGGACGGCGTGAGTCCTGCAGAGGATAGGGACAACACCACGGATCCGTTCGGAGTAAGAGATACCGTCACGAGTGTATGGACCCAACTCATCTTCACATCGCTCAAAAGCAAGCACGACACCCCCGAAGAACCTTTGCCTCAACTACCGCTGCCCGCAAAACCCGCACAGGCTCAGCTCTACCACGCCACCCACCTTCTCTCCACCTATCTCTTCACCGCGCTCGTCATGCGTGCCATCTGGGTCAACTACCAGCGTTTCGTCCGCTCCCGTCAGCTCTACATCCTCGAGATCCTCGAATCCATCCCTGCGCGAACCGTCGAGATCCGCGATCTCCCGGCGCATCTGCGCGACGAAAAGGCGCTGGCAGAGTACTTTGAGAACATGGACATGCCCGTCGAATCCACCGCTGTGGTGCGCAACACCGAGGGCCTGTCGAGGCTGCTCAATTTGAGGTCGAGGGCGTTGCAGCAGCTGGAGAAGACATGGGTGAGCTGGCTGGGCAACCCGACGGATGCTGATGGGTACGATCCGGAGAAGATCATGCTTCTGGCGGCAGGGGCGAGTCACGAGGATACGCAGTCTTCGGATGTCACAGACGACTTGGTTAGGACCAGCGTCGACCAAGGTGAGCGCGACCAGACTCGTCAAAGGGACGACCTCGAAAGCAGCCGTCTCCTGGGTGACAATGTCACCGCGTCCGGTGTCGTCTTTACCGGTGCTGATACGATCCGAACGCACCGCCCGCGGCCAACGATGCGCAAGCAGTGGTGGAATCCGTTCAGCGAAAAAGTAGATGCTATCGACGAGCTCACCCGTCAATTCAATGCTGTAGATCGAGCCGTTCGACGTCGACGCAAGACCGGGCGTTTCCCCGGCGGCAACGTCGGATTCGTCACCTTCCAGAGCGCCGCCAGCGCACAGATCGCTTCCCAAACCGTGCACTACCCCGTCCCCGCCTACTGCTCCACCTCGATGGCCCAGGAACCTAGGGACATCATCTGGTCCAACATCGACCTCTCCAATAACGACCGCCGGGTCCGCCAGGTTCTCGTCACTATCTTTATGATCGCCGTGCTGGTGTTCTACATCCCGCCCCTCGTCTTCCTCGCGAGTTTCGTCTCACCCGGAGCCATCAAGAAGTACGCTCCTTGGCTCGACAGGCTGCTGGACACGGATCAGAGGCTGCGAGCCTTGGTGCAGAACAATCTGCCTTCGCTCGTCGTCATCGGATTCAATGCCTTGCTGCCGTTGGTGTTGGAGTACTCCTCCTATCTGCAAGGCTTGAAGGCGAGGAGTTTGGTCGAGTACAGCCTGCTGAAAAAGTACTATCTCTTCTTGATGGTTTCGGTGGTGTTCATCTTTTTGGTGGCGACGACGGCGTGGGGTGTGTTGCAAGAGTTGGCCGAGAACCCGATGAGGGTGATCGACAAGTTTGCGGCTTCGTTGCCCAAGGCGAGGTTCTTTTCGCTGTCGTACGTGATTCTGCAGGGGATAGCGCTGCAGCCTTTGCAGCTGCTCCAGTTGCCGACGCTGATACTGCGCGCGTTCTATCGGGTGTTCTGGACACGTACACCGAGAGAGTTCGCCGAACTCAACGCTCCACCCACCCTGGCCATGGGAAACGTCTACCCTCAAGCCCTGCTCATCTTCACCCTCTGCATCCTCTACTCGATCGTCTCGCCGCTCATCGTCATCTTCGGTACGATCTACTTCGGCATCGCATACGTCGTCAACAAGTACAAGCTGCTGTACGTGTTCTACAAGCCCTACGAGTCTCAGGGTCAGGCATGGCCGATTTCGGCATCCAGATGCATCTGGGCCTTGGTGCTGTTCCACGTTTTCCAGTTTTCGCTGTTCAGTGTTAGGAAGGAGTTGTGGATGAGCACTGGGTTGTTGCCGTTGATCGTTTTCACGTTCTGGTTCAGTCAGCATTTGGAGACGACGTTTGGGCCGCTGACGGAGCACGTCAATTTGAGTAGTGTGGTCGAGGTGTTGAAGGAGAGCGAGGTGGATCCGGCAGTGGCCGAGTTGGCGCAGAACGGACCGAAGGGTGTGGCGCGGGCCGAGGTGGGAGACGGAGTGGTAAGCAACGATCCGAGTGCTGTCGCTGCGACGAACAGCGGTGGGCCAAGATCAGGTACGATGACACCCAGCAGCAGCAAAAGCAAACATCTTCTGGGACTGGACGCCAGCTCCAAGATCGATCCCGAATTCACCAAACTCGCACTGGCCAGGTACAGTCACGACGAAGAGGACGAAACGCTGTTCGTGGCTCAACGAGACACAAAGACGGACTACCGCGAACCTCCCGGAGCCGGATACTATCCAGGCGTGCTCAACACGGGACGAAGACGATACGGTCATCCGGCGATCACGGGTATCCTACCGGAACTGTGGCTACCCATCCCGCAGCAGAAGATGGAGGAAGGTGGACAGGACGTGACTGCACCAGACGATCTGGAGTCTGCCACGGGCATGGCTTCCGCTACGACGTCCGCACTGGGTGCACCTCGGATCGATTCTCCATCGGCGTTGGGACGACGCGTCAGGACGTTGAGCAAAGCGGAGCCTTTGATCCTGTCGCTACGCAAGCGCAAGAGCAGCTTGATGTCGGGCGGTCGGACGAGACACAATTCGACGAAACGCAGCGCGACGCCGGGGTCGGACGAGCCGAGTCAGGATCGAGACACGAGCACAGCAGCGACGTATGCGGATACGGACGTCGGGCAGGATTTCGGTGTATGGTCGGATGGCGTGTCGGGTCCGCAGGGAAGCAGCTCCAGCGCTGCGCTGGGCGAAGCATTGAGTGGCGGATACGCTGTTGCTCCGGCGAGGCAGCACATTAGGGCTGCCAAGGGCGGAGGCTTCGGAGGCGACGTGGAGGAAGAACCGGCGGCTGACGATGGGGATGAGGAGGGCGTGTACATTCACAGATCGCTCAAGCAAGGTGCCGGTCAGGGAAGGGGCAGGGGAAGGAGGGTCAGTGGCATTCCTGGCACTGGTGGACCGAGTAACATTGGCGCAGCGTCAGGTGGCGGGTATCACGATTAAAGAGAATCAGCCAGGGAATTCACAGTACCCATCGAGACATTTCCTTCTCCTGCGTGATCAGAGTGTGAACTTGGCGAACGAAGATTCGTGGAATACACCGCACACATAGGGTGACCTTTGCGGCCATCACACTCGCCACGTGGCCTGCGGAATGAAGGAAGCAACGACTCGAATTGAGAAGCTCGGGAGTAAAAGGGCTGCCTCGTGTTTCCCTTGTCTCAGTTCTTCTCCCTTACTCAGGGTCGTTTTCTCCCGCACAGTCACCTAGCGACAAGCGCACACGCACACACAAGTAGACAGATCTGGGTGACGTTGAAGGCTGGGTATTAATACAGAGCAGAAAAGAAACATAAAGGGTTGAACCTGGACGTGACCTGATGAGATCGTTTTTAAGTGAGTTGCGTGACGAGGAGCACAAGATCGACGCCTCGTCCCGTCTACCTCCGTGTGGGGGTAACACGATTCCACAAATTGAGCTTTGGAGCCTGTCTAAAACAGCCAAGCGACGAACCTCTCCCACGGACCGTTCGGGACCTTCTCCTCCGGCTCGTCTTCCTTCCTCAACCTGCCCGAGTCTAGATCGACCTCTGTCAGCTTGACCACCTTTGTCTTGTGCCAGAGCTTCCATCCGATCCAAGGAACGAAGAAGACGGGGATGCCCAAGTAGTTGGTCAGGAAACCGGAGGCGGTAAAGTTTCCATTCAAGAAAACGCTCCAGCCGCTGAAGAGGATCACGAGGCCGCACATGATGATGCTGAACCAGCTGGCGTAGGGTTGCAGACGGGCACGGTAGGGGAGCGCTGCTCGGTCGTAGCCCTGAAGCGAGTAGGCTTTGCGGAAGCGCAGGTATGCGTAGCAGCAGGTACCCCATGCGAACAGACCGGCGACAGCGGACAATGCGGAGAGCCAGGAGAAGACGGTTCCTCCTCCCGAAGAGATGCCGAGGTAGGAGAGCGCTCCGACGAGCCACGAGATGAGCACGGCAACGTAGGGGATGCCTCGTCGGTCAACTCGTCGGAAGAGTGCCGGGGCTTGTCGGTCGAGCGACAGGGCGTAGAGGGTTCGACTGGCGACGTAGATGTACGAGGATCCGGCGGAGAATGCGGAAATGAGGACGACAGCGTTGAAGATGTGCGGCAAAACGCGGACACCGGCGTTGTTCATGGCAACGATCCAGGGGGAGGCTCCGGTGTACGAACCATCGCTTTTGAGTCCCGCATCGTTGTAGGGAACGATAAGTCCCATGATCGCGATGCCCAGAATGTAGAAGAAAAGGATGCGGTAGAGCACACGCTTTGCTGCTTTGGGGATCTGCGTCGTCGGGTTCCTCGCTTCACCAGCGGCAAGAACGACTGTCTCCGTGCCCACGTAAGTGAAGGCAGATTGCAGGAAGGCACTGAAGAAACCCAGGAACCTTCCCTCAGCACCACCAATGCCATTGTACTGGTTGAAAGCACCTGGCTCCTTCCAGTACCTAAAACCCAATCGATCATGCTTGGGTCCGCCTCCCAGGTCGATCACGATACCAAAGATGATGAGCATGACGAAAGCCAACAGCTTGATGGTCGAAGTCACCACCTCGCTCTCTCCGTAGATGTTGACACCGGCAAAGTTGAGCACCGCACCCACGACCATCATGATCGAGATCCATGCGGCGATGTTGATGTCGGCGTTCCAGTAACCGATGACGGCGGAAGCGGCGGAGAGCTCAGAGGCCCAGCCGATGGCGTAGCACCACCAGTAGTTCCAGCCGAGAGCCATTCCGAGCGAAGGGTCGACGAAGCGAGAGGCGAAGTGCATGAAGGATCCACTGACGGGAAGGTAGGAAGACATCTCGGCAAGTCCCTCCATGACACCAAAGATCATCATACCGGTGATGATGTACGCCAGGAGAACACCGACGGGACCCGCGTTGGCGAGAGCGATACCGGAGCCGACAAAGAGACCAGTGCCGATACCTCCACCGATACCGATCATCTGGATGTGACGGCTGCTGAGCTTGCGCGAGACGGCGCCGACTCCGGCGTGGCCGACGGGGACTTCGAAGGGAGACGCATTGCGGGCGGACTTGGCGTCACCAGCTTCCTGGATGGAGGCGGTCTTGGATGCATCGCCGTCAGTGGCAGGTGCTGCCTCGGCCGCGGGGTACGACTTGGAGACGGTGGCGATGCCGTCGTTCTCGAACGACTGTTTGGCGGAAGACATGATGGAATTCTCCTCCTGTCAAGAGAGATTGACAGATCCTTGGAGAATGGGGGGTTAGGGAGGGATGATGGATGGTAAGGGAGAAGAAAGGGAGGGAATGGGGAAAGAAGTGATTGATTATATCTTCAGTCTGGGTCGTGCGCATCTATCTCACTCCGGCGTCTGGGGGCGAGACCTCTTCCTGATGAAGCAGATTTCATCCAACGAGAACCACATGGCAGTCGCTGGATGGAGAGCAACAAAAAATTGTCATTCGTCGACACAGACAAGCGGGAAACAAGAAGCGTTACCGAACCATGGCGCCATCCTATGCATGAAAGTGTCCTTGCTCACCAAGGGCAAGTGTCCACGGTCAGCTGCAGAGGACAGAAGAATGCGAGCTCACTGTGGGCGCGCTAACGGTGGGGTCTGGAATCGAATCACGACATTTCGAACCAATGGCGAGGCTCGGTATGCGCGTTGTTGGATGTGAGTCGATTTGGTGCAGATCATTTTGCTCTTGCAAAAGTGCAAGGTTTTTTTTTTTCAGCCGGTTCGAGACGTGTCTATGGCGCCACCGCCCGTTCCTGCGATTCGGTAGTCGAGCGAGAAATACTTCCGGAACCTTGCCGAGCGCTACGCTGCACTCACACAGCAGTTGTGCTTGGGCGTTCCTGATTTGACCACGCCCTGCTTTCGACATCCTTGTCACCCTCAACCCCTCATCTTTCGAGTTTCAGCTCAGAGAATGGCGTGACCGGACACGCCTCCTCGCTGTAGATCATCCCGGACCGACGGAGCCTGTCAAAAAAAAAAGTGACATGTGAGATGCTTGGCGAAGGAATTCAGGATTTTTTTTTACCCTTTCCCTTTTTCGTTGTCCGACTGGAAAAACTTTCCGACCCGCCGCGGTTCATCTCTCCTTCTCCGTCCCGCCTTCTCCCTCCACCCAAGTGCAGCTCAATCGGGAGAAACCCCACCCGATTCCATGCTGCCCCACCAAATGACGCAAGCTCATGCTCCCACACTTGTTCGCACTCGTCACGCTTGCAAAAGCACGTCTTACGCCCACCTCGACTCCGAGTCCCTTCGCCCCGCACCCTGCTTGACTAACGAGGTCCACAACCCGACAATTCGGTCTTCAACGCACCTCAGTTTGGAACGATAATAAGTGAGCAACGCCACAAACGTTGACTTCACAGGCGAAATCCAGTCAGACGAAGCGGAAGTTTCGAAACCATGACGGAAAATGCGATGTGAATTGCGTTTGCAGAGGAACAACGAAAAATGCTGAGGTGGTACAAGAGGCAATGATGAATGTGGACGAGAAAGTTCGTCGGATGTAACGGTCATGGGAGAAGCAGGAATGCTGGCAAGGGAAACGAGCGGGTGTCAGTCCTTCGGCCCTCGTTGGCAGCGACACGCGGCGCAAGCAGCCAGAGCGACCGAAGGAAGACCTTCCTCGAGGTGATTATCAGATAGCGATGTTCCAGTGCCATCGGTCCTCTTGGAACCCTTCGGCGGTGTCCGAGAGCAAGATACCCCGGCGCTTCTGCACATACACAGTCAGATCGGTCACCTTCTGCCGCAGCTCCGGGATCGTCTTTGGCTCGATCGGCTTTTCGAGCTGCTCCGAAAGGTCTTCCACCGCCTTTTCGAGATCACGCTGGTTGTCCTCGAACAGCTCGGTCATGTTGTCGCGCGCCAGATAGTACGCCATGCAGTAGGTCCACTTGAGCGTCATGCGGCACTCGGTGAGCGTGTCGACGGCCTTCTTGAGGAATTGCACCTCGATCCACGTGAGACCCGACGACACCTGCATCTCCTCCATTTTCTTCTCTGTGCGCCCGTACAGATCACGGTCCAGCTTGGCAGACTGCTCGTGGTTTGCGAAACGGTTAAAGTAGTGCAGGTATCGCTCCAACTGCGCTCTCGACTTGGCCTGCGAGTCGCGCGCTTCAGCACCGCTCTTCTCGTCGAACCGGTTGCAGTTGTACCACGAGTTGCCGTGCTCGGTCCATGGGCCAGCGCAGATCCAGCACCATTCGTACTTGCACTTGCGACAAGTCATGTGGTTGCATCCTCCGTTCTTCTCGATGGTCGAGGTGCACTTGGGGCACTCCTTCGTGTTGGCAGAGATCCAGTTGGCCGTCTCGCTATCGTCCTCGCACTTCTTGAGCCACAGCTTCGCAACGGGACAGATGGCTGGTGCGTGCGCAGCATTGCCACAGCCAAAGCAAAAGGCATGGCCGCAGTCGCAGGCAACCGAGGGCACCACCTTGCTGAGCTCCTTGTTCGAAACGTGGCACTCGACAGCGAGCTCGCAGTTGGGAGCGGGACACCAGCGCAGGATGCTGCTGTCGTCGACGTAGGTGCGGTTGAGCAGGATCTTGTATCGCTCGAACACCTTGGGCTCGACCACCAGACCGACGGTGCCCTCGTCGATCACGAGATTGCACTTCTCGCGCATGCACTGCACGCGCCTCGACTCGCCTTCCGACTTGATCTTTTGCTCAAGGTACTGCTGGTAGCAGTCGCGGCAGTAGCGATGGCCACAGGCGAGCGCCAGCGTCTCCATCTTTGCGCCCGGCATATCGTCGGAGCTCATGAAGCAAACTTCGCATGTGAAGCCCGCAAGCCTTTGTAGCTTTGGACGTGATGGATCTTCGTGAACGCCTGCTTCGAGATTGACCTTGTCGGATGACTCCATGTAACGCTCGATGAGACGCTCCTTGTTCCAGCCAAAGTGGCGGAGGAGGATGGCAGCGTCGGTATCCTTGATCATAAACATGCTGGCGATCTGCTCGACTTCCTTGTGCTGCGCTTCCTCGATTGAGGCGACGGTATGTGACTTGTAGTCGACTTCGTAGCTCTTTGAGCGTTCGGTCGCCGAGTCGGGAGCTGCAAAGGCGTCGTCTGCTACGCCAAAGCCGAGCTCGTCCTCATCTTCTTCCGAGTCGACAGCATCATCGTAGCCGTACGTCGAGTCCTCGTCCATGGTGTCCTCGACATCGTCGTCGAGTAGGTACTCGTCGCTGAGGTCTGACATGTCGGCGGTCGGTATATGCGGCGATCTGGTTCGAGAAGATCGCTGGAGGAGCTCGGGTTGGGAAAGCGGCTCCTGCAAGCGTCAACAAAGTAGCCGAGTGGCGGAAGAACTCGCCTTCGGAGGCCAGCTTTGCGATGCTGGTGGCGCTGCTTCGACGAATGCAGGGGTGGACCGAGGTGCAAGACCAGCCTTAGAGCCCTAGTGAAACGAGACGATGCAATGAAGTGACTGCTTGATTCAAACACAGGGAGCGTCTATGATGGGTATCTCGATGACGACTACGGCCGGACTCGCGCGGAAAGGGCTTGAAAGCGGGGTCGAACACCTGGCAGGGAGAGATTGTCTCTTGACTACGCGTCGAATAGTGCTCGCTCTTGACGAGAAGTGAATGCTGCGTGGCGAATTATGCTGCGGTGGCAAAGATGCTAAAGAAGATATCGGAAAGCGTGCAACGAAAGCGTACTTGACCTATGCTAGTGATATGCACCGACGGTAGAAGCAGTTCGTGCGTTGATGAGGAGATGACAGGTGGCAACCCTAAACCCGAAGAGGGGGTACCGAATTTGATCGAGATGCGTTGGCTTAAGATGAACGAGTCTGGATCGATGCGATGCAATGGTGGGCCGTGATTGATGAGAACGGCTGGCCGAAGATGCGGAGCGTGCTTGGAGTGAAGGTGGCAGTCAAAGATCAAGATGTTCGGTGGAGGCTGAGCAACGGGGATTGTGATTGCCCAATCTCAAATCCACATCTGCACACTGACCAGCGTGAAATCACACACCGCAGGCTCAGCACCCGCGATAATCACAAATTCACCGGTAAAAGGCGCGACCCGCACTAGCTAAAGTGTCCTTACTGGCTGCCGTGCCTGAGCGCGCGACTGTTGAGCTGCTGCAGCAGCCTGCGGCTCTGAATATTCCGACATTGCAGAACTCGGCTGCCTTTCAGTCCTTTCCTGCAATCTGCCTTCACTTGCATGGGTACCGTCTTCATTGGGGTCAATGCTCCCTGCTATGCGCCTCCTTGGGAAGGAGAGCTTCGTCGAGGCACCATACTGAAGATTAAAGAAGAAAGAAAAACTCTCTGGCTTCATGTACGTGGGCACCGAGACTGTCGTGTTCGCGAACCTTGGCCCAGTAGCTAAGCTGCATTGCCGCTTGCCCGTTCGCATTTCCGCTGACTCTACCTCCATTGCGCCGATCGAGAAAACATGCTGCTTCTCGCTGCTCAGACTATCTCGATGCTCGCTGTTCGTGCGGTTGAGACGATGACACGACAAACTATCGACAAGAAAGCCCAGCAAGGACCTTCCGTCAAGCATCGTCCAACCAAACTTGGGTACTTAAAGCTGGAACAGGCTCATCAGTCGCGAGCATCAATACAGGCTAGAAACCCTGGTCACACGAAGACGATCGCGGATAAAGATGGTACAGAGAAGCATGGCATAGATTGAATCTAATACATGATGTTTTTGGATGTCATCAGACTCGAAGGGAACACGTTGAATGAAGACAGTAACCACAGCGCATCAGCGCAGAAACAGACAACATCGGCCAGGACGTTCAACGAGGCACAACGACCTGGATCGTGTGCAAGTCGAGTCAAGCCAGTGACATCGTCCCACGCCTACACCACTGTTGCAGCAGCCCAAAGGTGCAAGGGCGCGCTTACTTCTGGGCGGCAACACGGGCCTGGAGGCGGAGGTTCTGCTCGAGGGGACCGTGGTTGTTGATGTACTGAAGGTAGCAGCCGTCCTTGAGGATACGGTTCGACTGCTTGGCCTCGGCGTACTGCTCGCGGTTCATGTTGGTGAAACCCCACTTCTTCGAGATGATGATCTTTTGGCGACCAGCGAACTTGTATCGCGATCGGCGGAGGGCCTCGAGGACAACAGCCTTGTTGCTGTCACGAGTGCGGACCGAAAGAAGGATCTGGCCAATGTTGACACGGGCAACGGTGTCGTAGGGCTTGCCGTAAGCACCACGCATACCGGTCTGGAGCCTATCGGCACCAGCGCACGAAAGCATCTTGTTGATGCGGATAACGTGGAAGGGGTGGACACGGACACGCAGGTGGAACGAGTCCTTACCCGAGGTCTTGGTGATGTACTTGTTGGCACAGATACGGGCAGCCTCTAGAGCCTCCGAGGTGATCTGCTGGTGCTCGTCGCAGACGAGGTGGGCGCAGAAGGGGAAGTCATCGACGGAAGCCTTCTTACGGCCAAGATCGTAGATGCGGATCTGTTGAGGAATGAGAGTAGAGGTGCATCAAGGTGCAGAGGATAAGAGTCAGCATTCCAATGTCGGCGGCGTATCTGACATCGAATGCGGCATAGACGATCCGTTCATTGCTAGTCATCCTCCATTCTGCCTGGTCGCCAAAATGCTGTTACGAATACGCGAGGACCTTGTTCTGTCCGGTTCGACGATGACCTAAATGGAACCGGCCTTCCAAGCGCAAGCCGGGGCATTCGGCCAGCTGAGCTGTTGCGTTATGATGTTGATTTCCCACGACAGCACGTCGACAACGCTGAAGACGGACGCGTCCTATGTATCCTGCACCCAACAATGACGGCCCTTTCCCATCAATCTGTTGATAGGTCGGAAACTGCAGACCCGCTGTAGCCATTGTCGTACGTCACTGATGCTGCTTCGCTAGCGAGGATCCCTGCAATGTTCTCCTCTCTCCTTCCCAACTGCACCGATAATGTCCGTCGCTGTCCACGTGTTCGATTTGTTCCCTGACTGCATTGCGTGACAGCAGTGTCGTACGGAGGTCGAATGACTGGCAATGTTGGATCGTCTATGCTGGGTTATGCAAACTTACCTTGGGGTCGGGCACACCACGGTTGTACCTCGACTTGGGGAACGGCTTGTTCTTGCAGTAGCGGTAGCAGCGAGCAGGTCGTCGTCCCATCTTGAATACTATCAGGTGTGAGGATGCGTGATGAGGTTTGGTGGATGAGGTCGAATGATATGGTTTCAAGTGAAGGTTGAAGGTCAAAGGTCGAGAGTCAGTCGCTGAACTGGACTTTGAGTTGTTGCAACGTCGAGACTGCGCCTGAACTGCCAGAAGTGGTGACTCGATGTTTCTGTGGCGTGCTGATGCTGCGGATTGGGGCGTGGTCGTTGGCGGCGATAACTTACCTTTCTTGAAGGGGTGATGAGTGGGTGGAGGAAGAGAGGTTGGTTGCGCCGCAGCGATTCAGGTGATGCCGCTGCCTGCTGCCTGCTGCCTCCTGCCCTTTCGCAACAGCAGCTCGCCGTCTCGAGCTGGACCTCGGACTGAGCTTTCCACAGCCCAGAGCTATACTGGCGCTGCTGCCTTGATATTCTGGTGCAAGCCCGTTGGCACTGTGTTGACTGAGCCTGCAGCCTTGACCGCCGCGGACTGCGCTGGGCAACTACGAAAAATGACTCGAGAGACATTGCGCCATTGTCGTCGCTGCCTGCTGCTGCGAATGCTTATCCCCGGTGCTCAGTGGCGAGCGGCAATCTAATTTTGGACTCTGTATGTCAGACCAAAAAGCTCTTGTCCAGCTGGCCGAAAGATTAACACGTGACTACGGCCGGCCATACTGTATTTTACTCCGTGTAGAGTCACTTTGAATACAACCTGATATTCAAAATTAAAATTCGAATTCACGGTCTCCAGTCTGATTCTCGGATTGTGGCCCGCCGTCGCCTCTCAGTGTCACATTTTGGTGAAGCAGCGGCAGGATCGCTACTGATGGTCAGCCTGCAAGCCAACGCAGACACAGCCAGTCGAGACAGAGGCGTACCCAGGCAGGCAGGCAAGCAAGCAAGCAAGCAAGCTCAAGAGGGCGTGCGAGGATGACCGGTGGTGGGAGACAGAGAGTGGCAGCCTTGGCTGGCTGGCTGCGGGTTTGTGTGTGTTTGAGCAGGCGGGCGGGCGAGCGATTCGAGGTTTGAGGTCGACATTGCTCGTCGCCATCGCTTCTTCCACCTTACCATCAAGGCCACCCCCATACATACGTCAAGGTTAGTAGCAAGCATGCTTTTCGAAACTATCGCCAGCTCGTCGCGCGTAGCATCATCGTCAGCATCAGCGTCACCAGCCGTGGATCGTTCCTGGAGAATCATGATCGATGAATGAAGGGAAGAGAGTGTATTCAGACAGGCCTCGCACTGGATCTGCGTCATCGCTGTATTGCGCTCATTCCACCGCATATGACGGACAGATTGATGATGCCAAGCGGACGAGCTGGGTAGAAGCGTAGAGCGCAAAGACAAGCCACCAAATTCAACTCGTACTGACAGTCTCTCCTTGATCCTGTGACACTTCTATCGCCAAAATCAAACTTCATCCGACCTTCCCCTCTGCATTGCATTCCACCTTCATCCACCACTGCTGCATTTACTTCCGACCTACTTTGCACTTCATCCTCGACCTATCCCCTCTGCAACATCCACCACTTGACACCAAAAGATGCCTACCCACCTCTCCAAGACCCGAAAGCACCGTGGACACGTCTCTGCCGGTAACGGTCGTGTCGGCAAGCACCGCAAGCACCCAGGTGGTCGTGGTCTCGCCGGTGGTCAGCACCACCACCGCACCAACATGGACAAGTACCACCCTGGTTAGTATCACCAATCGTCTTCACATCCGCCATCCACCCAGTTACCAGAACAGAGAACCGTCGCACAGCATCGTTAAGCCAGGATCAGATCAGGAAAGCAGGATGGACACAGCTACGCATTCTGGAACAACCAGAGCACATTGAAGGCTTTGCGAGGATTGGCAGATGGGAAGCGCAAGCAGAGGCAGCATCACATGGAAGTACTGGTTGGTTTACGCAGGTCATTTCTGTCACGGCCTAGTGACTTGCGACAGCCTCAGGGTATCGAAATCATGCCGGAAGCAGGGATTCCAGCTTGTCGAAGATGGATCGAGGAGCTGGGGCCACGCGCAACAATCGAGTTGATCCAGTTGAAAGATAGGCAAGCCGCAGGAGATAGACACCAATCTTTGCCCGGGATTGGGTTGGACTGGACTGGATCGGCGGACGAAAGAAGACAGACATCTCAACTCGTAAACCCTCTTGGACTTTCACACTGACACTGTTGCTCCTCACACGATCCATTCATCGCTTCTCTCCAACAGGTTACTTCGGTAAGGTCGGTATGCGCCACTTCCATCTGACCCGCAACTCGTCGTTCCGCCCCGTTGTCAACCTTGACAAGCTCTGGACCCTCGTCCCCGCTGAGCAGCGCAAGGGCTTGACTGCCAGCTCTACCGAGGTCCCCGTCATTGACACCCTCGCTGCCGGCTACGGCAAGGTTCTCGGCAAGGGCCGTCTCCCTGCCCTTCCCTGCATCGTCAAGGCCCGTTGGGTCTCGTCGCTCGCCGAGAAGAAGATCAAGGAGGCCGGTGGTGTTGTCAAGCTCGTCGCCTAAAGAAATTTAGCGCTTCGAATGTTTGATACGCCCCTTCCTCTTTCGATCCTCTCTCTTGGTCTCTTGCATATTCTCACACACGCACACACACATTTAGGCAGACTGATGCATCTGCATCGTCGACTCGTTGTACCATCGACGAGATAAGAGGTAAATTGCTTCATTGCAATCCCTCGACCACATGTACCTTTACATACACTTCGCTTGGAGTGTTTCCTCACACACACACACCAAAAATATCAGAACAACGATATCAGTTCGCACAGAAAAACCTTCGTCTGCTTCCGACGACATTAAGACGACTGTGACGATGAAGAAAGAGATTCTGAAAACAACGATTGCATGGAGGGGAATAGTACAGGCGGTTGACGCCATCTAACAAAACATGAGGAAGGGTAAAAAAAAAGCAGTTGAATCCATTAAACGAGCGTTGTGCTGTCGACGACTAGGAGAGACCGATGACCTCACCGTCCTCGGTAAGGTCCATGTCGTAGTAACCGGGTCTGGTGTTGAGACCGGGCATTTTGCTCATAGCGCCGCACATGACGACCAACAGCCCCGCGCCTACGCTCGCGTACACCTCTCTGACGGGGATGGTGAAACCCGTGGGTGCGCCCTTCTTGGTCGGGTCGGCGGAGAGCGAGAGATGCGTCTTGGCCATGCAGATGCTAAGGTTGCCGAAACCGTTCTTTTCGATAGCCTGGATTTGTTTTTCGGCGGCTTCGGAGAGCTCGATTCCGTCGGCGCCGTACATCTCGCGAGCGATGGATTCGATCTTCTGCGTGATGGGCAGGGTGGGTTCGTAGAGGAAGTTGAACTGGCTCGAGGTGCCTTCGAGTTGGGCGATGACGGATTTGGCCAGTTCGACGGCACCTTCGCCACCGAGCGCCCAGTGGTTGGCGGGGACCGCGTCGTCGGCTCCTGCTTCGAGCGCCTTTTTGCGCACGAGTTCGAGCTCGGCGGGGGTGTCGGTGGTGAACTGGTTGATGGCGACAATGACCTTGAGACCGAACTTCTTGGCGTTGGCGATGTGCTTGGCGAGGTTGACACAACCTTTCTCCAAGATCTCGAGGTTCTCCTCCAGGTACACCTCGGACAGAGGCTTGCCAGGTGTGACCTCCGGTCCACCACCGTGCGTCTTGAGCGCACGAACGGTGGCCACGATGACCGCCGCATCGGGTACAAGACCCGATTCACGACACTTGATGTTGCAGAATTTCTCCATACCGATATCCGCACCGAACCCGGCTTCGGTGATCACGTAACCGGTTCTCTCGGCAGGCTCTCCATCTTCGACACCGGCCAGCTTGAGCGCGATAGCATCGGCAAGGATGGACGAGTTTCCGTGCGCGATGTTGGCGAAAGGTCCGGCGTGAACAAACACCGGAGTTCCCTCGAGCGTCTGCATCAAGTTGGGCTTGATCGCATCCTTCATGAGGATCGCGAGCGCTCCACCGACACCGATGTCGTCCGCGGTGACGGGATCACCTGCACGGCTGGTACCCACAACCATCCTTCCCAACCTCTCACGCATGTCCTTCAGGTCACGACTGAGCGCAAGCACAGCCATGCACTCCGACGCCACCGCGATATCATAACCAGTTCTCCTCGTGATACCCTTCTCCGTAGCGGCCTGACCCACCGTAATGTCACGTAGGTACCTGTCGTTCGTATCCGTCACACGTCTCCAGGTGACCAACTCAGGGTCGAGATCGAGACGTGCGAAGCGCGACTTCTCCTCGTCGGTCAGGTCGTCAGGGTTGGTCTTGTCGATACCCAGCTTCTTGAGCCTGCGGAACATGATGGGTGCGAAGGTGCGAACGCCCTTCTTCTTGGGGCAGAGACGGTCGAAGAGTGCAGCGTCCTTCTGGGTGGCTTCGTGGAACATTCGGGTGTCGATGGCAGCGGCGAGAAGGTTGTTGGCGGCTTGAACGGCGTGGTTGTCGCCGGTCAAGTGGAGGTTGAACTCCTCCATAGGGATGACCTGCGAGTAGCCTCCACCGGCAGCACCACCCTTGATACCGAAAGTAGGGCCCTGGGAGGGTTGACGAACGCAGGCGAACGCCGACTTGCCGAGATGAGCACCGAGAGCCTGAGCGAGACCGATGGTGGTGGTCGACTTGCCCTCGCCGAGAGGAGTGGGAGTGATACCGGCGACGACGATGTACTTGCCGTTGGTGCGGTGTGCCAGACGCTTGAGGACGGAGAGGTCGACTTTGGCCTTGACGGATCCGTAAGGCTCGAGCTCGGATGAGATGAGACCAATCTCACGGGCGATCTGAGTGATGGGCTTGGGAGTCTGCGAACGGGCGACCTCGATGTCAGAGGGCACCTTGGCGAGGGGCGTGATGGGGTTGGGACGAACGACGCCACGACCAATGCCGAGGGCACGGCCGTCGGCGAGGCTGCGCTCAGCGCTGATCAGGACGTTCTCCATGAGCATAGCAACGGTCATGGGACCGACTCCACCAGGAACAGGAGTGATGGCAGAAGCGACCTTGGAAGCGGCCTCGAAGTCAACATCGCCGACGAGACGGTAGCCCGACTTTTTGGTTGCATCGTCGACAAAGTTGGTGCCAACGTCAATGACGACGGCGCCCTTCTTGATCCAATCGCCCTTGATAAAGTGGGCCTTGCCCATAGCAGCGATGACGATGTCGGCCTGAGCAAGGTGAGACTGAAGATCGGCGGTCTTGCTGTGAACCTGGGTGACGGTGCAGTCCCTGCTGCGAAGGAGCGAAGCGACAGGGTTTCCGACAATGTCGCTTCGTCCGATCACAACCGCACGGAGACCGGCCATGTTGGTGATGCCGGCGTTTTCGAGGAGCTTGATGCAGCCAGCGGGGGTGCAAGGGAAGAAGAGCGGGTTACAAGCCTTGGACGAAAGATGACCAATGTTGAGAGCGTGGAAGCCGTCTACGTCCTTCTCCGGGCTGATGGCTTCGGTGACGCGTCGCTCCGCATCCGAGTTGATGTGGTCGCCAAGAGGAAGCTGAACGAGGATGCCGTCGACGCTGATGTCTTCGTTGAGCTCGCCGACACGCTTGATGATCTCTGCCTCGCTGGCGCCTTCGGGAAGCTGGACGTGGGTGTATCGCATACCGCACTCCTCGGCGGCGAGCTTCTTCATTCTGATGTAGGTGGAGGAGGCGCTCATGGAGCCGACCTGCATGATGCAGAGGTGAGGCTGGAAGGAGGTGTACTGCTGCTTGAGCTCCGCGATGCGCTCAGCGACGCGGGCACGCACCTGCTTTGCGAGGGCGGTACCATCGATGAGCTTGGCGCCGCCTGGCGTGGTTGCGAGCGAGGCCATTGCGTCGGTTACGAGAGGACGAATCGTTCCGATGCGGCTTGACGGGAAAGCGGAGGCGATCCGAAGGGGTGAAGCGGAGGAGGCGACGTTCGGACGAGCCGTAGAGAAAGTGCGAGCTCGAGAAGAGAGGGGAGAGGTGGCACTAACGACGACGAGAGGAGTGCTTCGCTGCTGGGAGAGGGAAGCTAGGTTTCTGTACACCGAGCGGCGGAGGAGCATGCCCACAAGTTGTCGAAGCACGCAGCAAAGGGGCAACCAGGGTTATGTGGTGTTAAAAGACCGAAGGATATGCAGCCACAAGGCTCGACGTCGCTTAGAGCAGGACCGGTTGGAAACGGACGATGTGTCCAAAAAATCGCAGAGCAGCCAGAGACACGAGACGAGTGAGAAGAAATCTCGTTCTTTTCAGGCGGAAAAGCTTGACCCGAGCGTCGTTCTTCTTGAACAGCGCAGAGCTGCACCCTGGACGGGGATTCTTCTATGATTTCGTCGAAAATGCACTGGACAGGCGTGTCGCACTGGAATGATGAGAGCGGAGGCAAGCCGCTTTTACTAAGCGACGACGCTGCAATCACTTCCTCAACCAGCCCAAACTTGGTAGACACGATGTGCGACACAATCCCATAAGAACACAGTGCAGGCTCTGCCGGGGATACAGATCACGAGTGAATGGAAACAGGTCATCGCAGCGATTACGCCACGCCGGCAAGAATGTCAAGACGGTGTGACTAGGCAGCGGGGCTGGCCAATCAAAAAAGGCTGCAGCAAAGCACAATCAGGCCAATCCCGGAATTCAATTTGACAGTGTTAAGCCGGTATAGCGGCTTTCGGTAGAGACAGGCTTCCCTGTAGGATACCTTTACATATGTGGGCACAACATGAATGTGGCATTGGCTGCAGCGCAGACTTCCTTTCACCTTTGTGGCCGGGATAGAAGCGTTCAGAAGGCCTCGAAGTCGGGCAGACACAAATCACCTTGACGGGCGGAAGGTAAACCCTGCGCTGCTGGACTACTCCTGCGAGACGATTGAAGACGACTCATATTGCTTGGAATCACGCCGTTGGTGCGGCACTCGTCGAGCCGGCAGGTGCAGCCGTGGCCGATGCTCTGATGCCCTGAATGATCTTGAGCTTGTGTACACGCGGTATCGCATCACGAAGGTACTCTAGGTGCTTTGCGTGCAGCGCTGCTTGCTGTTGTGCTCCTTCTCCGCTCCACAGGCGTCTTCTATTGTCTGCACCGTACACGACCGTCTGATCCGGAAGCTCCTCCCATATCTCCTCTGCTTCAGCCTGGGTCGAGTTGCGTATTGATTCGCCCTCCGCTTGACTCTGCTCTTCCGATGCTGTTGGTCTGTCCTTCAACTGATCTTCGTCAAAGATCGCGGCTAGCTGGTCATCCGTGATCGGCCTAGGCAAGACGATACAACCCGCTCCAATCACGCTGTACGACCCGATCTTGACATTCTGAGCCACCTTGCTCCTCACCTCGAACGTGTTGTACGATCCCACAGATGCTGCTTCGATGCGGCAGCCCACCTCGAACAAGTTGTTGTCGCCGATCTTGATGGGAGTAGATCTGCGATTGACGATGACAGCCGTCTCTTCGATGATGCAGTTCGAACCAATCGAGATGGGTCCTTGAAGAGCGAGGATGGTTGCTTTCGGATGTATTACGGTGCCGCTGCCGACCGAGATCTCGCCTCGAAGGTCTGCATCCTGTGCGATGATGACGCGGGTTCCGACGGTGAGGTTGTCGCGCCTGAAGATGGTGGACAGTGTGGGACGTTGCGGAACACATTGAAGGGCAGAATTGACAAATTTGAGGGGGAAGTCGTGATCGCCGGGGTCGGAATGCGAAAGGTAAGCATCATGTGTCAGTGTCTGCGGGATTAGTCGGACGACGCCTTCGGTGACAGCAGAAGATCGCGGTGGCACGTCCGTCAGCATGCCCTGCCTCTGCAAAGCTCGAAGGAGTGACATGGTCGCAGCCGCGCGTCGGAGCCTCTGCATGGTGGCGAGAGATGATGGCGACGGGATCGAACTCGCTAACGAGGCATCATGAACTTACAGTGGTGCCATTGTGGGCTTACGAGGTCCGTGCGACGTTCGCGCTTGAGGTGGGTCGTTGTTGGCTCTCGCCGGCCAAGCGGCTCAGCCTGCCCCGGTCGTGTGCGCTTGCGATGCGCAGAACAATGGCGATCCTACGTGACTGTAGCGAGGAGATAAGGTGGGGCCATGTGATGAAAGGGACAGAGGGCGGGACGATATGCATGCATGCTTGTGCACCCTTTTTGTTCTTCCGAGCAAGTGTTGGTCTCGACACGACTCATGACATCTCTTCATCGGAAGCCCGATCTCAAAGATCTGATTCGCGATCTTGCTAAATTGACTCGAGCGCGAAGTTGGGTTGGCTTGGAAATTTTGGGCACAGACAGCCAACACCATATCTCACCTCTTCCGTTCGTCCACGATATCACCGTTCCCTTCCGCTCGACCGCCCTTCTTCGAACACGCACACGGCATCGACTCGCATTACAGCGTCTCATCTTCTAGTCACCTTTCGACTGCAACACAAAACTCATACTTAGCAAACATGGCGTCGGCAGCAGGATCCAAGTTCCAATCATTCATGAACCACCCTGCGGGGCCAAAGACTGGTGCGTACTCAATCCCTTACCGCCCCTTTCCATGCTCTCATTACCATGGAGCTGACCCTCTCTGTCTCTTTCCCTTCTCCACAGTGTTCTTCTGGGCACCCCTCATGAAATGGTGTCTGGTAGCCGCCGGATTGAAAGACCTCTCCCGTCCAGCCGACAAGATCTCCGTCCCGCAGAACGTCGCCCTCGCCGCAACCGGCATGATCTGGGTGCGCTACTCGCTCGTCATCACGCCGGTCAACTACTCGCTCGCCGCGGTCAACTTCTTCGTCGGCTGCTCCGGTCTGGCTCAGCTGTATAGGGTGTGGGATTTCCGAAGACAACATCCGGTGCAGGCGGCGGTTGCGGATAAGAAGAACGAGGTCGAGGGCAAGATCAGCAAGGAGAACCTGCCGATGACGACCAAGTAGATCGGAGGTCAAAGGTGGAGATGAATGAGAGAGGGGGAAAGGTAGAAGAGGGTGGTGCTGGAGTCTTGTGTCTCATCGCTTTGTACCATACACATACACACGTTCGACCAGTACACAGTCTTGCGTTTTCAGTGCGAGAAGGCGAGATTTGCGATTCCGTTTCCCACCATCTATTCTACTCCCGCAGCGTCTATATGTTCGTCGTTGGCAAACCAGCCTGGACAGTCACATCCTCGACCGGCGACACCCCCGTCACCCTCAACACCTCCTCCACCCCTCCTTCCACCCCCTTCAACGCCTCCTGCTCCTCCACCGATCTCGTCAACATGAACCCAGCGTAACCCAAAGAGTTGATCAAAAGGTTCCCCACCTTTCCATCCTCTCGTTTGCCGTCCAGCCCATCGTACTCTTCTTTCGATCGGGGGATGAGATGCATCGCCCTCTTCGTAATCAACACGTTGAACGCCGGTCTTTCCCTCTTCCCGCCCTCCTCACCTGCGAACATCCTCGCTCGGAACAGAGCGTCCAACAACCCCATAAATTTGTTTCCGACGTACCTCTCCATCTCACCTTCGTTCTTCCTCATCGCAGCCGTTGGTTCCATCAACACGACGAAATGCTGCCAAGGCAGCGGCAACGCGTGAACACTGCTCTGCTCCTTCCCATCTCTCTCGATGCGTTCCAGCAGCGATTCTACGGGAATCTTGTATTCGCTCTCTACGATCTTGTCCTGCTCTTCCGCAGTCAACCTCCCACATTCGATCGCATCGGATCCGGTGGTGTCGAGCGGTGGACATTGGACAAATTGCAAATGACGGTGCGGTTGAGATGCACCGGAAGTCGTGCCGCAGTTGTAGAACGCCAGCAACTCGGTTTCGCCACGATGGGTGGAGACGATTCGATAGGCGAGCGAGAGTGTGGCTGGAGACGGTGGGAGTTCTTGACTTTCGAAAGTGCGTGTTACGAGGAGAAAGTGCTGTGGGACTACGCAGAACTTGTTGAGCAGGAGAACATGGTCCGGGCCCAGATCGGTGACGTGAAGGTTGGGGACGTATGGTGGGGCGAATACATCGGACTTGTTCTGTTCCGGTTTTGAGGTCTGTTGCGTTGGTGCGGTGTCGGCGGACTTGGGCTTCTTGAGAAGTGCGAGAACGGTCCGAATCTGCCACGAGATGCCGGTGGACTCGGATTCTTGAAGAGTGATCTTTTCGGATGGGTAGAAGAATGCGTCTCCTTCGGCGATCGCCACGTCAAACTTTCTCTTGACGATCGAAGCGAGCGACTTGAGGTCAGCGTCTGGAATCGACGCTTGCGAAGACATGCTGGCTGTGGATCCGGATGAGGGCGGGGTGAGAAAGGCTCTAGGGTAAACCCGTGGTGCTCGTGAAGCAGCTGGAGCAGCGCGGGTGAATGTCGGAGAGAGGAACGGGAGCAAGCGATACGACTGGAGCGCTTGCATCAACAGCCGAATGAGTAGGGTCTAGATTCTAAAGCGTCTAGATGGAGAGACTGGCACGAGTTGTGGTGGAAAGAAGAAGCGTCAGCATGGTCCATGTCGAAGACCAACACTTTTCATCGTCGCCGCAAAAATGGCGCGGACAACTCCACATGTTAAGACCGTCCTCCAATTGGCGCCTCCCAATTTCGGGCTCAGGCACACCATCACCATCCGTTGTCACGAACCATCGATGCAGTGGATCCGGGACACAGACTTGTATCACGATAAGCTCTTAGCAAAAGTGAGCGGATGATGTTTGCTGTAGGTTCGAGAGGCAAAATGCTACCAAGCATAGAAGGAAATCGATTGTGGCGAGCCCGCCCTCTTCTGCGGGGACGGTCGAGATGGAAGCACCGAAGCATTGGCAAAGGCATAGCTGCTCTCCGCTACATCTGTAGCGTGAGCCACTTGAGGGTGACCAGAGCGTGTCAGCTCGATGTCTGAAGCCCTGTCATCCGTGCATCTATCTTGCTTGGTTCCTGCTGAGGTCGGTGGAATTGGACTTTTCGACCGCATCCAATCTTGCATCGGTCTCAGATCGAGTGTCTCCCTGAATCTCTCCTCTTTGCCCCTATGCATTGAGACATTTGGCGCAGAGAGATGATGCCCGAAGTTAGGTGCTGTAGGCGAAGTCACCGGTGAACAGCCGAATAAGCGCTGGAACCGATCTTCTCCTCTTTCTGAGACTTTTCCCTCCTCGACTGGATTCGCTTTCGCGATATTCGAAGACTTGTCGTCGACGTGTGAAGCTAGGAAGGAGAGCCACGAGCTGTGCTCGTTAGTCGTCGGAACTGCTTGAGGCGGAGCTGCGTTATTCGGAGACAAGACGGTGTATGGGTCTGAAGAGGTCGCTTCCCGAAGCGGAGTGGGTTGGCGTGGACGATTGGGTGGGTCGGTGGTGAGCGAGTGGTGGATCTGGAAAGGATAGGAGATGCTGTCTTTGGTGATGTGAGTGCGAGCAGAGTGGTTGGAGTGAGGTATCGATGCACGGCGGTTGGCACTGTGAATCTCTTCGGACTTGTCAATTGAGCCGAATGCGTTTTCAGGAGTACGAGAAGGCCCTTTGAAACGACTGAAGCTTGGCTTTGGCCAGCCAGACCACCACCGTAACACCGTCGTCGAAGGACCGGCTTGAAGACCGTCTCTGAGCTCTTTCTCCTGTCCTTGATGACCAACTTGCTCGTCCTTACCATCGCCATCCTGCTGACTCCTCTCCACCGCCATAGCGTACAACACGACCAGCACACCGATCAAAAGCAGCACCGCGTAAACCCCAACCAGCGCTCCAAACATCACCATCTCCTGCCTCAAATGCTTCTCATACTTCTCCATCACTTTCCCCACCACCCCGCTCCCCCCACCTCCACCATCACCAAGCATTGCCTGCCTGACCGGTCTCAACACCGCCTCCTGCTGGTCCTCCTTCAACATCAACACATCTGCCGGCACCATATCGAAATCCACATGCGCGTTATCATGGATCCACGTCAACGTTTTTTCGATCCCAGCCACCTTTTGACCCAACATGCACTGTACAAACGTCTGCAGGGGCGCATTGAAAGGTGTTCCTCCGAAGGTGGTCGTCAGGGTGTCTGTGATACCGTCGACGAACTGGTTGAGGGTAGCGTTCATGGTAAAAGTGGTTGTATTTACCCACGAAAAAACATGGTTGTTGAGTTCGGATTGCACTTGGAGGATGACGGTGTTGGCAGAGTTGGAGTAGGCGAAGGAGGCGTTTCGCATGTGATCGTTGACCAGGTCGATGACGGAAGAAGAGAGGTTGGTGAGCGAGGTATCGATGGATGAGGTGTAGTGATGAGTGAGGCGTTGAATGAGGAGGATCTGGAGCTGGACAGAGATGAGGCCAAGGATTCCGGTGAAGATGCAGGCGAGAGAAGCCGGGTGTGTGAGGAAGGAGAGCAGCCAAGCAAATCGATCTTGTGCTCTACGTGTGCGGATGCCGACTCGTTGGCAAAATATGAGCGAAAGTGCGAGATGAGTGGATGTCGAGAGATGGTCAGGAGTGACATGAGGTTTTCGGTTTTGAGGATATCTTGGTTGTCCTTGCTGTCGCGTGCAGAGCCAGGATCTTGATGCTGGGCTAGCCAGACACTTCGCGTCATTTCGACAGCTTTGAGCTCCCTCTGCCACTTCCACCACTCCCAGCCTGCGCCGATCAGCATGACCACCATCGCTACGAGCAGTAACATTACCAACCCCCACTTGGCTACCCCTCGCAAAGCATCACCCAGCTCATCCAAGGGACTGGTATCGATACGATCGCAAAAAGTGACGTTCTGCTTCTGTGGCAGAGGGAAGACGGTATGGTTGAACTGAAAACTGGCCAAGGTCGTGTTCACCTCCCTTCTCATCTCTTCGAAAGGCGTCTCGATCAACGCATCCATCGTCTGTTTGAGTTGCTGCAGAGTTGGCAGTGTGGCATTGAGCTTGAGCAGACCATCCTGAATCTCGTGTGGTAGCGTGATATTGTTCAACGCAGTCAAATTGGGTACGGCGATGTGTGGGACGTTGACATGTTGACCAAAGACCCCAACAACATCGTTGATGCCGCCTACCGCAGTCGTCAGAATCGTGTTGACACCCGAAATGGAGTCCTGGATCGCTGCACGAATGCCTTGCGCCGCAGCAGTGATGGCTTGAGAGATCAACTGCACCGCTTCGATTACCACCGCTAGCGCTCCGCGTACGAGGAGCTCCATGAAGCACGTGAAGAGCGACTTGTACAAATTGACGATGTAGGAGAGGACTTTTTCGATGGCGATCATAGATAGGTCAAAGACTCGAGCCGCGCCGTGGACGGTGGAGGTGACGGATTGGGCGAGCTGCGCGTTGGTGGTGGAGGCGAGAAAGTGCGGGAAGGAGGCTGCGAGGGAAGCTGTTGACTCAGCTGCATTGCAAGCGGATAAAAGGTTGTATTTGGCAGACCAGACAGAGTCTTTGGCGTCGTTGGAGGAGGTGAGCATACGAGTGGCGACGAAGAGGAGAGAAATCAGGGGGATGGAGATGGGAGAGAGGAAGAGTCGCGCTCGAAGACCGAGCCATGGCTGAAGGATGGACGGCTTGTGCGGTGAGCTGTCAGCTGCAGTGGTGTCATTGGGAGGGAAAGAATTCTGCGCATATGGCGGACTGGTGGAGTGACCTTGATGAAGATAGGATGGAGGAGCTTCTGTTGCGATCAGCTTAGATGACATTGCTCAAAGTGTATGTGACGTTGCTGATGGACCATGGCCAGGGGAAAAGAGTCAGACCAGGATCGTCGAGCATTGAGCTGAGCTTATAGAGGGCATGTGTCAAAGACTGCCCCACAATTGGCTTCAGAGGACTGCGCCAGCGACCACGCAGAGCCAAAGGCAGTGGACAAAGGGAGATACCCATTCTTCCCTCTCTGAATCAAAGTGTGAGTTCTCATATCACAAAGGGATTCGATGCCATCATCGGCGGCCGGCGTTGCCGTGTCTGGCGTCGAAGTCATTATCTGCCGTGCTTCCCTTTGTGTTGTGAAATGCTTTGTGTCACTGTTGGACAGCTGGCTTCATTGTGATTTTGACGTGGTGAATGCACGCGCGCCAAGGTACAAAGGGACGTTGTCGACTTTGCCTCTTCATCTCAGTCCCCTTAAACGTCTGAGTGTGTGTGCTTTCCGAGAAGGACAACACATCCTCCATCGATTGATAGAAGCGTTGAGCCGCCCGCTTGTGAGAATGTCAAGGCCGACCAACGTTGCTGGCTGTCACGTTTCTTGCCGCCGGCGAGCAAAGCTGGACCCTGCATGTACCTGCCGAATCGCTACAGCCGTTCGGGTTTTCAGACTCAGCTTTCGTGTCTTATCACTTCCCCTCCTACCTCCACCCCAAACCCATCATCATCTTCCATCGCTGCCGACTCGCCAAGCAGAGATGTAAGGATCATCGCTCGGCACAACGCACCAACCAATCCAGCCATGACAAGCAAGACCACCGTAGCACACCGCGATGCAGTGCGTTGATTTCACCCACCGCATAATCTGCCCGGCGCGGCACGTCGAGAAAGCCGCGCAGATGGTTCTGCACACGATCTGCTTTCATCGGTTCTTGGGCACTATCAAGCCAGCATACGTCAATGCGCTAGGATTGACTTTTGTGAGCATCAGACGTGTCAATCGGGCCTCTGTGATATGATCGTATACTGACCTGCAGCTTCCTTCGTCTTGTCAACTCATTAGCCCGCCATAGCAGACGCTCAGGTAGATCAGCTCATACGACACCGCGCATCTCAAGTGACCGCCCTGTCCGCCTCGGCCAAATCCGTCTTGCTCACCATCTACTTCCTCCATCCTTCGAGCAAGATACCTTCCGTGATCCAGTCCAGCTCTAAAACCACCGCTGCGGCAAACGAACCCCCCACTGACTCGAGTGCGAGCGATCAACCCTCGGGGATGATCCACACAGCAACCAACGCTGCCTCGTCACTCCGCTCCTGGGCTTCATCACGCAACTACCAATATGGCTGGCTCGCACACGCCTTTTCTTCGGGTGCGGGTCAGCCGAGTGGCACATTTGTTCCTTCACCTCCCGCGATACAAGATTCGGAAGGGCTAAAAGATCTGCATCAAGAGGCTTTCGAATGCTGGGAGATCGTGTTCGAAGTCAAACAGGATGGGAATGGAAAGGAGGGGATGAAGGAAGAGCTCGAGGTATTTGTGGATCGAGTGCTCGAGTTTGTGGGGGCCAACAAGTCGCATCTACCTGGCATCGCTAGTGCCGAGCTGTGTCCTTTTCCTATGCAGATTGTCGTTCGCAAGGTCCAGTAGCTGTTGCAGAATGCTGGCAACGAGAATACGAGTACTGCAAGCTTTGTGATGTGTGCATTGCCGGTACAGAAGTGCGGACAAGCTGAATGCAGATCTCGGTGGCGCGTGCGTGCATATTTGCTTGTGTCAGAGACCAACACTTTTTCACCAGCTGGACCCTGTATATTGGATTTCTTCCTGTCCTCCACCATCGACCCACCTCCGGTCCTCAATTCTCACTCGCACCTCGGGTGCACCGTCCGTCCACGATGCCCACGTTCTCCGCATTGAGGTTCGTCGTGCACGGCTTGTTCGCGATGACACTCTACTCTGGTTATCGGTACATGTACTCCTCGACTCAAACCGAACTTACGACGCTCACCTCAACACACACATCTGGATCCCTAGGCCGGGGTGTGACGCTCCCCGACGGACGCACCACCATCTCACGTCGAACTGTAGCCATCGCCGACCTTCACGGTGACTATCAACACGCCCTCAATGTCCTCTCCATGGCATCGCTCATCTCTTCCTCCTCTACATCCACACCACCAACCTGGACTGGAGGACACGACCTACTGGTGTCTACTGGCGACATTGTCGATCGCGGCGACGATACCATCCCACTCTACCGGATGTTCATGTCGCTCCGGTCTCAGGCGGCTTCCGCTGGAGGAGAGGTGAAGAACTGCTTGGGAAACCACGAGTTCATGAACGCATTGGGTGATTGGAGGTACATCACCAAAGGAGACGTCGATAGCTTCGGTGGTGTCGAGAAACGAAGAGCTGCAATGTCGGTTACTGGTTGGATCGGTCAGGAATGGTTGAACAACTACAACGTCACACACACCATCTCCCTTCTTCCCGAATCACATCCTCAGTTACCAGCCAACTATATCCCTCCTCGTATCAGCTTTGTTCACGGTGGAATCACACCCGAATACGCCTCCCTCGGTATCAACTACATCAACTCGGTCGGCAAATCCTTCCTCCACAAAGCCCTCTCCTCCACGGACCCAGAAACCTACCTTCCACCAAACACCACTCCCGAAGAACGAGACCTGTACTCGGAAAACGGACCTCTCTGGTACCGCGGTTTCGCCACCGACCCTGGCCCTCTCGCCTGTTCCAACTCCCACTCCTCCACCACTCACCTCAACGTATCCGCCCTCGTAATGGGTCACACTCCCAATTTCGACGGCTTCATCACCCGCTGCAACAACTCCATCCTCCTCATAGACACTGGCATCTCCCGCGCCTACGGCGGCCAACAATCCGCCCTCATCATAGACTTCGACCTCATCCCCCTTCCCTCCTCCCCCCACCTCTGGAATCAAAAACAAACCCTCACCGCTCTATACCGTTCCCGACCCCCCAAAATCATCTCCTCAACTTCCACAAACCTCCGACTCTAAGATCTCACCCTACACACAAACCGCACTGTTTCATATCGGTGACAAATTTTGACAAAAGAGCGTCATCTAACCAGTTGGTCCTAAACGAGTGTATCTAAACGAGTGTGTGTCGTGATGGATACCCCATCACTCGAGAGCTAAGAGCAAAACCCCAAAAGTAGAAAGATCGTGTCGAGGTCCAAAGACCAGAAAAGAAAAGAGCGTGTAGTGTGTGCGAGAATGTACAATACTGGAAAAACAGGAAAGTGTTGCACCGAGGTGAGGCCGCATCGGAACAAGGCCGCGCATTCGACATGCTAGCAAAGCACTTGGGTATATTAGTCGTGCGGCAGGATCAGCGCTGCGAAGAGGTTTCAAAGAACGTAGTGAAGCGCTTGATCTTCTTGAGTCTGGCCTGATGCTTGTTCTCCTCGCTTCCAGAGAGGCTCGGCGAGGCTGCAGAGCGACGATTCACTTCGGTGTTGGAAGAAGCTGAGAGGACAGACGCGCGACCACCGGTCGCCGAGAGCTTAGCGGCCGCCTGTTCAATCGCAGCGTCCTTCTCACTGTCGGCCGCGTCGCCAGCCGCGGTCGTATCGGCGTGCGCAACCGTGTTGACGCTGCCAGCCGCAGTCGACTCGCGCATTGAGGCTTTCGACCGCATCGAGCCCAAGCCTTGACCGTTGCGTCGCTTGCCTAGACGGTTGAAGGGACGACTCGAGGTCGACGAGTGGCTCGAAGAGGGTGGGATGCGCGAGGATTCTTGACGGCGAAGAAGCCGATACGTGTCGACAACACCGCGGGAGAACAGGTTGGTGCCTCGTCCACCATTGAGCTCGGACTTCAACGCACCATCGGGACCAGAGACCTCGACCATGTCCCAATCTTCATCTTCCTGATCGTCCTCACGGATGGCACCGTTGCTGGGACGACCGACCGCAGAGGGAGCCACCTTGCGAGATGCGGCTGACCGGCTCGCATACGAACTGGCGGGCGAGCTCTGAACCTGACTGGTGGAGTGATCAGAGTCCGAGTTAGTTGTAGTGCCTTCACGGCTGTGCAGTTGCACCGGTTCGCTGGACACGGCGTCGCCAGTCGACATGCCGGCGATCGAAGATGCCTCCATGCTGGCCTCGTGTTCGAGATGGGCGAGTACAGCAGCTGCATGACGTGCTGCCGTCTCGTCGTCCTCCTCTTCGATGATCGAAATATCGGCGGCAGAAGGCTGCGTAGAGATGGCTTGACGATCGACGACCGCAGGGGCCACTGTCGCTTTGGTGAGGACAGAGACGGGTGAAGGCGTCTGCGACGGATTCTTGGCGCTGGTGGCTGCAGCCTGCTTCACGGGAGAGCCTGGAGTCGTCGCCGAGTCGCCGGCAGCATCCTCCACCACCTGATCGGAGGACCGGATGGAAATAATCGACTCAGAGTCCTTTCGACCCCTGAAGGAGTATCCGTCGAAGATGTTGGCATGCTCCGGGGCTTCGCGATCGTCCATGCTCTGGTCCGGCGTGGTTGTCACAGTGGCACCTGCGGCCAAGTTGGCGTTGCTGTCGGCGGTCACCAAAGCCTCGGGATCACCAGCGCCATCCTCGCCAGCGGCAGTGGCCACATCGACGCTGGCGTCTTGCTCGTGCGCAACGGTGGGCTGCATCTCTAGGAACGTCTCGTCAAAGTTCTGCGTATCCGTCTCATTATCGGGATCGATGGGCGGAATGTAGGGCGGAATGTACCGCTTGTGGAAGATGTGGTCCCATTCGATCATGGAAAAGTAAGGGTGCTTCTTGATCCGTGGCTCCTTCATTCGCAGCTGCGGGTTCCTCTGCAGCAATCCACGCAGGATGCTTTTGGTGTCCTGATCCAAGACTCGATCCTCTGGGAAGACCAAGGGGTCGCGAAGCACCTTTGCGTACATGTCGGCGTGTGTGTCGGCCCAGAAGGGAGTGATGCCGGTCAGCATCTCGTAGAGCATGGTACCGAAGCTCCACCAATCGACTTCGTACGAGTACGCTTGACCCTGGAGAACCTCGGGAGCCAGATACTCGGCAGTACCGCAGAAGGTGGTGGTGGTCTCTCGCTCCTCGAGCCATCGGCTCGATGAGGATCTCGATGGGGCGTCAGCGGCATCGTCAGACGCCGACATCCAGTGCGTGGATCGCTGCTTGTTGACGCTTGTGCTTGAATGCGAGCGAGTTGGCGAGGTGGGGGGAGGCGTGACGCTGCCGATGGATCTGGTTCGGCTGCTAAACTCCTTCGACAGGCCAAAGTCGGAAAGCACAATGTGTCCGTCAGCAGCGATGAGCACGTTCTCGGGCTTCAGATCGCGATAGATGACGCCGGCCTTGTGAAGACCTTCGACACCCTCAACGATCTCGGCGGCGTAGAAGCGAGCGCGGTCGCGGCCGAGTCGGCCCCATCGCGAAAGTTGCGTAGCAAGATCTCCGCCCGGATGGAAGTCCATGACAAGGTAGAGGTTGTTGCGGTCATGAAAAGACCACCACAGACGCACCACGAAAGGATCGAGGACGTCCTTGGCCATACGCTTGAGCACGGCTTGTTCCGTGAGCGTATGTTGCAGCTCTTGGTGCGCAAGCACGTGCCTCTTGTGGATCGACTTCATGGCATAGAGACCGCGTGACGAAGAGTGGCGCACGAGGAGGACTTTGCCAGCGCAACCCTTTCCGAGGACGCGGATCATCTCGAAGTCATTGACGGTGACCTTGTTGGAGCCCTTGCGACGACGATGCGAGCGAACACGTTGACCTGCGGTGCTGTCGACTTCCTCGGACCCTTCTCCATTCTGCTCTTCGGGGATCATCTCGATATTGGTATTGGTGGAGCGACTGTCGTCTGCGACGCCTCGCTTGTCAGACGATGAAGTGTCTAGGGACCCTGCATGTGAGGCTACGGTAGCACGGCTGAGACGGCCAGCAGCGGCGCCGGACGCGCGAGATGAGTCGTCTGCCGAGTCAAGATCCAAGTCGTCTTCGGTGGGCCCGCCATCCGTCTCGAGATCGGACTGGGCCGGAGCGACGCCGACGTTGGTATTTCGCGGAGCGACGGAGGACTTGACGTGTTGAGCTAGATCGCTGCGGACTTTTCGAACACGGCGTTCAACTCGGACGCTCTGGAAATCGTCCGCACCGACACGCACGAAGCGCTTCCAGGCCTTGTGTTGACGCACAGCGGGAGTGTTGGCGAGCGCAGTGAAGTAAGTGGCGAGCTGGGTGGTGATCGAATGCGAAGCAAGTTTGGCGTCTGCACCCAGTGCAGGGGATAGCGGAGCCGATGGCGGTGGAGACATCGCGCCAGCCGAGTGGAGGTCTGTGGCAGGTGGCGTTGCAGCGTCTCCGGCCAAATTGGAGAAGTTGGCGCGGGACCTGGAAGCGCCTGGCGACAATGTGCGTGAGAGTGTCTGGAAGAACTTGCGTCCGCTCGACGAAGGTGCGGAGCTGGGCAGGTTGGGCAACGCAGGCAACGAAGTCGGAGAAAGGGAGTCCTTGATCTTTTGGTCAACCTCGGCGATGTCGATAGCGGAACGGATGAGCGTGAGGTTGTGGATGGGTGTGGCAACGTATAGGGTGTAGGAAGCAACAAGCTGCTTGTGTTTGCGGCCTTGACGCTTGTCCTTGGCTTCGGCAACACTGATGCTCCACGGACCATCCACGGATCTACCAAGGGCCGCAGCCGACGCGGGGTCTGTCAACGTCGAATCCAACTCGGCGCTTCGACTGTGGGGAGTGGCGGTGAGCGACGCGGGATTGCCATCCTCATCAAACATGCCGCGGATGCTGGTGCGATTGCTGCCGGACTGGCCGACGGAGCCATGTTGGCTGCCTCCGCGCGCCGAGAGATCTCTGAGACCAGCAAAGGTGCTGAACCTTTTCTGATTTGAGACGTTCGGGATGGCGTTGGCAGAGGTCGATGGCGTAGCCACAGTGGACGGCATCGTGAGCAGCTTCGACAGAGAGGAGTCAGCGGAAGCGCCGCAGAGTGATGAGCAGAGGGACGTGAAGAAAGGAGGAGAGGCCTAGACCAAACCTGACCAAAACACGTCGTTATTCTGACAGTGCGGGTATCAAAGCGCTGATTGCATCAAGAGACGAGCCAAGGAGGAACCAAAGGGAGGCAGGTGTTATTTGATCGACGGCGAGGGCGATCGGTGATGAGTCACTTGATGATGACAACAGCTGCGAAGATGGAGCGTTGGTGCGGGAACCGAAGAGGCAGGCCGAGATCTCAATCGAAAAGGCTGGAGAGCCGATGAATGCGCAAAGGCGCAGAGTATGATCGATGAGCTGTGGTTGATAGTAGTAGCAAAGAGGAATACAAGACGGACGCAAGGATGTGAAGGCGATGAGAAGACGAGTGTCGGGATTCGTAGTGTCGTGAGGGAGAGATTGTCGATGAGATCAAAGGGAGACGATGTCGTCGAAAAGGAGATAGGAAGGGCAGCAGATGGATGAAAGTGGTGCAGGAGAGAGGAAGATGGCTGGAGGTGGATGCGTGAAAGTGCAAGTGCAGGTGAGTGGCAATGTGGTGGTGGTGGTGATGCCTCGATGTGTGATGCAACAAAAGTGCAAAGTGAAAGGAAGAGTGCAGGCTCGAAGCACATGCAAAGCGTCGGAGAGTGACAAGAGCGTGGGGTGAGACTCTCAATTCTGAAGGTCGAGAGTGAGCGAGATACAGGCAGGCAGTCAGGCAGGCCTTGACTAATTTAACCAGCAACTCGACTCAGTCACGGACAAAATCGACACACGCATCCACACTTTTGACTTGACTTTGACTGTGTTTGGGCCATGAACAGGAAAAAAGGAAACAAAAAACAAAAAGGGAAGTGTTGGTCTGGTCTGGCTAGACAGAATTGGCACACACGCCCTGTATCGAAAAAGAGACACCTTCATCTAGGGCATCGGCCATTCTCTGCTCGGCTAGTGCGAAAGGATCAACCCGCCTTGAGTTTGTTCTTCTCGCTGCTGTTGATGCAGATCTTGCATAAGGAAAGGGGGTTGTTGCTTTTCCCGAATCAACCGAGTCTTGCCGTCTCGCCATGGACGTGAAGTGTATTGCACTGAGAAGGGACACCGCTCGCTGCATGTAACGGAGGTAGGCAAGGCTCATCCATGGACAGAACGAGCTGATCATAACGACGGTCAGGGTCCGCTCTTTGGATCCATCAACAGGCGGTCAGGGGATGCAGTATCGCACGTCGGCACGTTCGCGACGAAGACGGGAGAAGCGATGGTGTGACCGACAGACGGGATCTAGTCAGTCTGCCCTTCTCATCTTGTGCGGGAGAAGGCCACTGCTCTTGTGCGCCCTGCTTCACGTTGGTCCTCAAAGCTTCAAGTAAGTCGACGAAGAGTCGGCAGCTCAGGCGTCCGTCCCGACAAGGCCAAGTACAAAGCTACTGCTGCATCTTGGGACGCAAAGACGCAGAGAGGTCCACAATGGAAGCTGCTTACAGACCCCGCGAGACTGCATGGTGTGCTCAGTGAAATGTGCGTTGTTACTGCACCTCTCGCATGTGTCATTAAAAGCTGCGCTGAAGGCACCATGTCTTCAGCACTACCTCCGTGAGAGCAACATAAATGAACGGAACAGGTCCAGCCGTTGGCACCGCTTCCTACTACTAGTATCAACACAACAGCCTGCGTCGCTCCCTGAGCGTGTTCGCTCCAGGGTCCTCAGTTTCAGTCCCGCCGGACAATAACACCTTTTTATGCGAGATAAATTTGGCTAAGAAAATCAGGCATCGAAAATTCCATTCTGTGATAGACTCGCTTGAGGATCTGCAGGGTCCGGCTCCCTTTTCTAAAGTCACACTTCGAGCTGCGTACAGTGTGTGTAGCCTGGATCCTCTTCATCGCCCTGAACGGCCCTTTTCATCACTGTTCATGCTGCTACATACGCCTCTGACCCCGTCTTTGCAGCAGCCATATCATGATCACGCGAAGGTCAGACCGCTCGACACTTCTTTCCCAACATTGAGAGTCAAATGCTATGTATTGAATGTTGTAATGCTGTGCTGTGAGAAGGATATCGACGGTGCCGAACGAACGAAAGCCAGATGCAACGGATCACGAGCAGAAACCCGGACTACATGCGGGTTTTTGATGCAAGAGGGGAAGGATGTCAAAATTACGGCAAGAAGCAAGCTTCAGAAACCGTCGAGTGCAGAAAGGCAGCTTGTATCCGCGTCGCCAAAGCTCTCGCCAAACAGCTTCATCTGCCTTCCTCTTGCCTGATCTCGTTCCCACTCGCGATCGCGTTCCCGCTCCATCTCGCGCTCTTTACGGACCTTCTTTTTGAGACGCTCCTTCTCGCGCTTCTTGTCGCACGTGCACACCATCGGCGTGTCGGCGACCAACAGGTGCGGAGACTCGGAGCTGCTCTCCGCGGGCGAGTTGGACGATTCGCGGTCGTGTTGCGAGTCCAAGGCCCTCGACAGGTGCGACAAGGCCGAACCGTCGCGCGAACGAGACCTGGATGCGTTCGACGACCAATCGTCTACGCTCAGAGAGCGAACGCTGGCCCGCAATTGCGAGAGAGACGAGCGCGAGCGCAAGTCCTCATCTTCCACCTCTGATACCTCGGCTGAGCCTCCGGTTGCAGGATATGACGCTCCGGCCTCTGTCAGTGTGACGCGCCTGCTCTTGTCTTCGCCCTCCTCTTCCGCGTCGGTAATCTGGGCGGATCCGCCCGACGACGTCGGCGCAGAAGACTCGGTGCCCGAGGCTTTCAGTCGCTGCCGCAGCGATCGGCAGTACCGGCACTTGGTCGACTTTTTCTTGCTGTGTCCGTCTCTGCTCAGCGACCGCACTCGCAGTCCACGCGAGTCGTCGTCGTCGAATTGCTCAACAGTGCACGCATCCTCCTCGCCGCCACGACTCGTTCGCAGTCTGGGAGAGAGACTGCCAATCTTGTGAAAGCTAGGCCGACGGGACGACTCTGGCGTCGTTGCTTCCGCGGCCGACACCTCACCGCTCGAAATCCCATCGAGAATGTTGGTAGAAGACACAGCGGACAAGTGCTTGTGCTCCCATCTCGATGTGTCGATGGTCTCGACCGACGAAGACAGTTTGGCGTCTTCCGCGAATGCAGTGGTCTTGGGTGTCATCAGCTCCCGGTCGCCTTTTTCGGAGGTCTGGACGGATCCGTGACCGTGACTGGCGGCGCCATTGCGGAGAGCCGATGCGACGTGGACCTGCTTTGCGGAGCGTGCTTCCATCCAGCTCGGATTTGATCCGGATGGGGCGTGCGGACCTGCGCTGTTGTGGAAAGCGTCTGCGTTGACCTGGTCGAACGGACCGAGGTCAGGGCTGGTGCAGTTGCTGCTGATCCAGCTGGTCTCATTGCAAGGCGATTCGGTTCCGTCTCCATCTCCATCGCTGCTGAGGCTGCTCCATGGATCGACCGATGAGCATCGGGAAGACAGAGGCGATGAGGCGATGCCGAGAAGGCTGGACCACCCAGGAGAAGGTGCCGCACCATTGATCAGAGCAGGCGACGGTGGACCGAGGCTTGAGATGCGCACGGCGTCCCTTTCAGCCGTCCTTCGTTCCAGAACGATGCGTCGCGGCGTCGAATGCGCGGCTGCTTCGGAGACCTTGGCGACGACCGCGGCGGGCGGACGGACGGGCGTCGGGCTTCTGAGACCGCTGTTGCCGTTCGGGCTTGCGTCTCTCACACAAAAGTCCTGGCCGGATGCGGTCGAATTCGAGATCGGCGCATCACGCAGAATCTCGATGGACTCGCGCGCTTCTTCATCAAGTTGAGCTGCATCGCCGTTCGACACGAGCTTTTCGAGGTTGCTGGCCCCGTGATGCGCAGAACTGGGCCCCTTGGAGCTGTCTACAAAGTAGTCCAAGCTGGCGAAGGCGCCAATGGATCTGTGCAGACTGGGGCTCGGCATGGGAGTGGCGTCGGGCGAAAAGGTGCGTACAGCCGGTGGAATGGACTCAAGGCTGGAAATTTTGTTCTCGGACGAGATGGACTGCTCTGCGGACGTGTCGGCTGCAGTGACCTCGGGGGCGAGGCTGTTCTGAAGCCCACCAAAGGAACGAAAGCCATGTACGGGCAGGCTCACCTTTTGCGATGTCGGTTGCGGCTGGGCCGGCTGCACTTCTGCATTTGCGCCACCGTTGAGCGCAGAGGCGTGCTGCAGGGAGGAAAGGGCGGAAAAGTGGAGCGATTTGCCGCTGGCCATAAGGCCGGATTGCTGCTGACGGGGCTGGTAGCCGACCGAGGCAATGACGGTGCCGTTCTTGATGCAGGCCCAGTTCTCGAGCGTGGGATCGCGGATGAAGCCGACGTCTGGCGCAGGTTCTTCGGCAGGCTCCATGGCGACAGCGCCATCGTCTGTGGAAGAGGCATCATCGTCGTTGCTGTCGTCTCCGTTGTAGGAGGTGGAGCGTGGTGGAAGGCTCATGTCGAATTCGGATCCTCCCTGTGTACACTTGATCGGGCGTCGGTCGTACGACGCTCCCGAGAGGACGTAGAATTCTTCCGGCGGAGCTTCATCGAAATGGACGTGGCGCGAAGCGTGGTGCAAGACGAGATTGCGAGGAGCGGCGAAGGAAGTTGGCAGGGGGTTGGAAGCGACGCGATCTTGATTGTGATTTCCTTCGCGACGAGCGGCGGCCAGATCGCCGATGATGCTGGAGATGGGGACGGAAGCCTGTCGTTTGAGGCATGGGGCGCGGACGCAAGTGTTTGTGCGAGCTGGGATGAGATGGTGACGGACTCGGTCCACTTTAGGTGAGAGCTGAGCTGCCTCAACTGCTGGCAGGTCATCGTCGGTGTTGGTGGACGACACCAGTGGGATTGCGGCGGTGTCGATGCGAAGCTCCTTAGGAGCTGCGACAGGAAGCTCGGGCATTGTGATGAAGATCGACGAAGGATGCGAAGGACCTGAAGGTGTGAAAGGGCAAGCCTGCAGCACAGTTGTTGTTTGCGAACGCAACCGAGGGTGGTAGCAACGACGACAAGCTCAAAAGGCGAAGGACATCATGATGCCACGAGTCGTGTGTCGAGTGAGAATTGTGCGGATGTGCAAGAACCTGGAGCTCGCCCGTCGTCGAGCAGAATGTGCAAGGAACGAGACGAAACGAAAAGGAGCCAGACCGAGCCCAACGGGAGCGGTTCCGATGTGCGGTACGATGCAAAGCAGTGTCGAAGATATCAGACGAGTGGAAAGCCTTGAGAGGCTGCAGCTCTACGCCCTGGTCACAAAGCGTCAAACATGGCGAAAAGGGGGCGAGGCTTCCTAGATGCGAGAACGAAGGAAACGAAGAGGAGGCGAAGGTGTACGTCGATGTTTGAGGCGAGCGCTCGAAAGCGTCGAACGAGTCTTGGCGAGGATCGGCGGCTATGCTGGTACCTGCCTGCGACGGCGAAACTTTGTCGCTTGATGGCGATGTCGAGTCGCAAAGTTTCGCTGATGTCGGTGAAATGCCAAGAAGAGAGTGTGAGGATGATCAGGGATGAAGGAGCGCGAGGATGAGGAGGAAGAGGGGGAGAGGGGTTCAGAGGCAGATCCGACGTCGAGGGGGCGGGACCAGGACAGAAGAGCAAGCAAGGTCGCATACAGTATACACCCGTAGAGAGCACACAGCCTAAGTTAGCATCTGGGGCTGCTTCACGCGGTCACAGTCAGGCGAGACCGCATCTCCAAAGACGTCGCCTGGAGTGCGCGGCGGCGGGGCACTGAGCTGAGTGTACAGTGCACTGCAGTGCAGCGTGCTGTTGAATTTCGACTTGATTTTCGGGGGAACGAGGTTAAATTTCGCACCCACCTCGAAAATCCACCAAAACACAGACAGACCATAAAGTTCCTCACGCACACACCCATCCGGTCCCACTCGATTCGAACGGCGAGGGGCACAAGGAAGCAGACAGCAGACAGCAGTCCTGAACACAAGGTTGTGCACCCGAACCTTGAGCAAGCAACGACAATACCAGCGTGTGCCATGCGAGCATGTGTGAGCGAGCTCCGGAGTTGCGTGCTGCGAATGAGCGAAAATCGCCTGCTGGTTCAAGCCTCAAACACAAGAAGCCAGCCAGCTAGCTCGAGGCTTGCAGGAGAGCCGGAAAGAGGACAGGACACAGCAAAGGTCGGCGGAATGCCCTCAGTCTGATTGGTGTGTTGTACGTATGTGTCTGTGTGCCTCGGGAGAAAAGTCGAGAGCGGAGGCTTGCCTGTTTCGCAACAACCTATTTCTGCGAAACGCTCTACACAGATAAGTTAGATCTCGCGTCCACAGGAAGCAAGATTCGGGATTGATTTGCTCGAATCGACAGGGTTCTAGCCCGCGTACGGTGGAGAGGCGCGCACATGATCGGACCCGCTCTCGGTAATTACAACTGAGTTGCCTGCCAGCCGAATTGAACGGTTCAACGGCGGAGTCGGAGCCGTCGGCCTCGGGCAGCGTTACGGGTGCGCGGGATTCCACTGGCCAGCCCATCTTTGTCGTCACTATCAATGTCAGAATGTCAGCAGCTGTCGCCAGCGCCACTGCGGTCATCTCGTGTATCCCAGTAAGGGAGAGGGATGCAACCGTGGCGTTTCGAGCAGCAGAAGCGGATTTGCAAGCCGCCGCCGTCGCCGCCGCCAACAGCGTCATCGTGAGATCGTTGGAGGGTCTGGCTGACTGGCTCACTGCAGGCTCATCCAAGACAGGCATCAACACGATTTGGCGCAAAGTTTGCAAGGCGCTCGTGAGGGTTCACATTTTATGCTGATTGGGCTAGACCCTCTGGGCCAATTTGGAGCAGACCTGAAAAGGATCGTCAGATGCCAGACAAGAGCGCACAACCCGATCGATTCAAGCGTTTTCAGCTGCTGGCAACGTGTTAGGTTTGGACGCGAAGCTCTGACCGCGCGTTTTGCCCATCAAAGTGTCACTTTCGCTTCGCAGCAGATCTTTCTGAGAAGAACAGGTGTCGGAAGAGCCGAAAAAAAAGAGTTGTGCATGCGTGCGGCCTGCATGACGATCATGACCCTTGATTTGTCTGCACCGCTTGCGAGTTGCACCGTAAGCTGAAGCGACCTCGCGATGCTTTTGGACTTCTGCCATCTCCGCCCTTTGGTACTGGACGACGACGACGACAACGACGAAGGATCCACTCAAGGTCGAAAGCCCATCGTTTTACTGCAAGTTCATCATGGCGGACTCGATTTATGCACCGCACAACCAGCACAAGCTCCAGGCAACCCGAGCCGCTGGTGCAGCCGCAATTGCTAAGCCCGCCGATTCCGCATCGCAAGCAACAATGGCACCGCAGCCCACGACCAAGACAGAGGATGATGTCGCTGGATCCGAACGATCCCATCCTCTTCTGACACGACCTCTGCTACACATCAGCGGCGTCGATGCCGCCATGACCGACAAGGAGCTCGCAGGTCTCGTCTTTGACCAGGTACTCCCGGTTCGCCTCAAGATCGATCGCAACGTAGGCGAGGGCCAGACAGCCAGCGGCACCGTCGAGTTCCAGACGCTCGAAAAGGCCGAGAAGGCCTACGCTACCGTCCGTCCACACATCCTGCTTCGCATCAATTCAGACAGCTCCGCAAAGGAGCCCCGCACATCGGCGAAACCACGCCTCGTCAAGCAGCTTCCTTCGAGCACCGACGACGCCTCCGTCTACGATCTCTTCCGACCCTTCGGTCCGATACGACGCGCACAGTGTCTGCTCACCAATCCAGCTGGTATCCACACCGGCTTCAAGGGAATGGCCGTCGTCGAGTTCTACCGTGAGGAGGACGCCCAGCGCGCCGAATTCGAGATGCACTGCAGGGAGATCGACGGCAAGTCCATTTCTGTTGCCGTCGATACCGCTGCTCGCAAGGTGAGCGCAGGGACAGCCGAGTTCCGTCCTTCAGCTGCTGCCTTCGTGCCCGCAAGCAGTATGAGCCCATCGGCTCCTTCCTTCGACCCAACGCCTGCCGGCCATCGCTCCGTCTCGGCGGGTTCATCTGCTTCCATCTATGCCAGTAACACTGCTGCTCCTGCATCTGGCACCAGCGCCGCTCCAAAGGCATCCCGTGCTCCACTGCAATACTCTAGCCAAGCTGCAACCTATGTCGATCCTTGCAACCTCTTCATCAAGAACCTCGACGCAGAACTTGAATCCAGCGATCTTTTCGACAGCTTCAAGAAGTTCGGCCACATCGTATCGGCACGCGTCATGCGAGACCACGACGGCAAAAGCCGAGAGTTCGGATTCGTCAGCTTCACCACTCCCGACGAGGCGCGACAGGCTCTCAAAGCCATGGACAACGTCAAGATCCGCAGCAAGAAGATCACGGTGCGTCTACATGAGCCCAAGACCATGCGACAGGAGAAGCTGAATGCGCGATTCAACGCAGCCAATGCCGAGGGTACGGAGACAGGCACCATTGCACCTTCTGCAGATGCTCAAAACGCGGGCGAAACGCAAGCTCAGACCGACAACGAACAGGCTCCTACGAGCAAAAGTGCAGAGGCGCCGCCTTTTGAAAAGCCTGCCATGCTCGGTGTCCAGACGCAGCGCAGCGTGTCGAGCACGTCGTCGATCAGTGAAGGAGGTGCACCGGCGAAGGAGAGGGAGAGGCTGCTCAAGGCCGTCGTGTCTGTCACCGAAGCTGGCGCTCCAGTAGAGGACATCACCGACATGATCGCAAGTCTTCCGAAGAAGGATCGCGCCATGGCGCTCTTCAACCCGGATTACCTCAAGCAGAAGGTGGACGAAGCCAAGGACATTCTCGACATTACCGACGACAGCGGTGAAGATCTCGCAGCTGCACCAGCGCCTCCTGTCCTTCAAGACGCCGGCAATGGAAAGACGTCAACATCATCCGCATCATCTCCTTCTACCGCCGAGACTGCCCCAACCCAGGTCCACACATTGTCCACCCTCGCCGCACTTCCCGCAGTCGAGATCATCCGTCTTGCCCACTCCTCCTCCAGCTCCGGTCTTCCCCTTCCCAAAGCAGATGCCGAGACGATCAAATCGACCGATGCGTTCATCAATTCGCTTCAAGGCAAAGCAGCCCACGATCAAAAGCAGAAGCTCGGCGATCAGCTCTTCAAAAAGATCCGCACCTTCGGCGTCAAAGGAGCACCAAAGCTGACCATCCATCTGTTGGATACTGAGGATCTTCGGGCACTGGCGCATCTCATGAACTCGTATGAGGGGGTGTTGAAGGAGAAAGTTCTGCAGAAGGTGGCGGCCGGACTGAACAAGTGAGGGTGGCACCCATTGAGTTATTTACAGCCTTTGAAGTCAATACATTTGCAGTACATACCGATCGTGGACGCTGATCAGGTGCAGAGGGTGTATGTGTGTGTGTGCTCGTCGGTCGAGAATAGGCGGACGTCGGGGGCGCGGTTATGCACACGGAGGCTTCACGTGGACAGCCGCGGATGAGCCAGCTCCGACTCGAAAGCGAGATGAGAAATGTCGTAATTTGTGCTGTACGCGCGATCGCTGTCACTTTTGACAGCTTGCCAACCAGGTTATCTGATTTGGTCAGCAGGCGGCCGTCGTTCTTCCTATATAGGGTGTTCACCATGTAAGCAGTGCTTGTTCAGGTAACCCCATCCTTCACCGACACCATTCCGAAGATTCCTGTGTGAAAACACCACAGCACTCTTTCGACCGCGAAATCTCGAAAATCCTTTCTGCGCTTTGACCAAGACAATGTCAGCGACAAGACACGACGAGCAAGAATCGGCATCACAACCCCTTCTCCCCTCGGCCCACGACGACCACCTCACCTCCGAACCCGTCACACCGCTCGACATGGTTCGAAGCGAAAACCTCTCTCGTCATGCATTCGGCATCCAGGCCGCAGCCTTGCTCTTCGTTGCCGTTGTCTGGAGTATCGTCCTCACCACGATGCCCATCACCTCTCTGCCCCTATTCGGCTACCATCCACTGATCCAATCTTTCGCCATCCTGCTTCTATTACAAGCGATCATCGTCTTGCAACGCACCACTCCCTCTCAACCGTCCGCCAAAGCATCGGCCTTCACGGCGCACCAGTACATCAACCTCCTCCTCGTGCTGCCGCTCTTCACGGCAGGTGCGAGCATCATGTGGTACCTGCACGACCAACCCAATTCCGCACACTTTATTTCGTACCATGGAATTCTGGGCACGACGGTGGTGTGTGCTGCTTGGGTTCAGGCGGCGTTGGGTGCGGCGAGCGTCTGGTGGAAGGGCAAGCTGGTCGGGGGTGAGAGTAAGGGTAAGAAGTTGTGGAAGTGGCACAGGTTGTCCGGGTATGTGTTGGTAGGGCTGTTCCTGCTGACAGCAGCGTTGGGGGTGGTAGAGACGACGTGGGGGAAGGGAAAGTCAGGGGGGTTGCAGAAGGGGATCGTCGTGGTAGCATTGGGTTTGGCAGGCTTGGCTTTGGTGGTGAGGTTGCAGAGGAGCAAGTTGCCAAAGCTTTGACCGAGAGTACGGCGAACGCTTCCAACGCGGTATCAAAGACCATTCTTTCCCGTGGGATGCCATCGCCATGATATGTGAGTTGACGACGAAGGCGATCTTAGATGAGCTAGACCGGAGCCGAGCGAAAATGCCTGTCGACTCAGGGGTTTTTGTTGGCTTCCCTCAAGGTTCATTCATCGTTGTTTGCCTCGAAAACCACCATCTCTCTTCGATCTCAATCACAAACAATGCGGAAACAAACATCGTCAAAGAATGAAATATGATGGAGCAACTACACACGAAGTGTCACAAGAATTACAAGCGAAACGAATCCTTCATGCCTTCCACACGCCTATCCTCCGACGGCAAACGATCCACCCTCTACTTTCATCTACTGCTTAGCACCCCACAGGTGAGCCAAGTCGAACAGCGGGATGTTGAAGGGGAAGTCGGTAGCAGCCAGACACAGGTGAAGCAAGATGTAGAATCCGCCCATGCAAGCTGTGAATCCACAGGCGCCTGCAGCCACGACGAGGTTTGCACCGGCTGCCATCGACTCCTCTCCGAACTTGAGGTAAGCTGCGCCGAGGGTGGTGAAGGTGAGAGCGACGAAGAGCAAAATCCAGACGAGGACGACGTTTGTCCTGAAAGCAGCCAACGTCAAAAAGTAGGTATATACTGCCCAGAAGATGAGGTAGTATCCAAAGGGAACGTAGTAGATCGCAGGCGATCCACCTTGACCCGTCAACAGCGTCGTCTGCGATGCGAACTTGGGATCGATGTAACCAGCGAGCGTAAGCCAGAACGCCCCGAACGATGCAAACACCAAGAAGGGGAAGGTGTTGCCAATGACGAACTCGAGGATGGCAGAAAGCAACATGCACAGACCACCCATGAAGTAGTAGGCACCGATGAGCGCGAGCAGCGAGTTGGAGGTGGCACCGCGCCAACCCATGAGACAGCATGAGGTGGGCGTGAGAGTAAGGAGAAAGGATACGATGCCGAGGGAGGTGGGGTTGCCGAAGGTCTTGACCAGGCCCGCTTGGCTGCGCGACCTGATCGAGGGTTGCAGGTAGAGCTCCTCGAACTGCTGCGGGGTCAGGGTGACCGAGATCTGACGGCCGAGCTCATGACCATTGGCGCCATCGGGGTTTTGATAGTTGGGGTGCTCGTTGGAGGCCACTTCCGACTCCTTGGTAGCCATGATGACAGGGTATCTACTTGATGAGGAAGTGGGAAAGGAGAGACTAGGTGTGTTGGGGGGAACGAACCAATGTCCGGTTGATTTGGCGGGGGATCGAGCGAAGGGTAGAACAGCGTGCCAGGACGTGATCTTTATATATCGAGTCCAGTTGAACCAGGTGGGGCGCTCAGACGAACCGCCGCGCTTGATTGACAGACAGAGGTCGTGCGTGGTCACGGGTCGAGGACGAGGGGGAGGTGCTCAAGAGTACGAAAGCACGGAAAGCAGGGTCCGAGTCAGATGGTGCTTGCCGAAGCGCCTCCTCCTCGAGGTACATTACAGTGTCCTGCCAAGGTAGCGGCGTACTTGCGCGCGCGTGTGTTGACCATTGAGCGGTACGAGATGCTGCTTTGAGCTGTCAACATTCCTCAAGGCTCTGTGGACACGGACAGGCACACCGTCACATAGTTGCACCGACCAGGGCGGGGGCGTACAAGTAACGCGCGGCAAGGAGGCGAAGTGCAAATACTATAGCATCACACGTACAACGTGCTTAGTAGGTTTCTCTGAAACAACAATTCCCTTTCTGTGCATTTGGAATAAGACTCAGGCGAACATACAACATCAGCCGAACAGGCAGTGTTGGCGGCGTCCGTTGGGCTCGGCCCGTCCACGGACAGCCTTGGATGCGAGCTGCGAGCTGCGAGAGTGACGGTTGTGGTCAGCTGCCGCTCCATCGAACTAAAGATGAGGAGCCGCGCGCTATTCGAAAGCCAAGAAGTGTGGGAGCCAGAAAAATGCGGGGAAGCGTCGCACAGCAAGAGGGGGGAGGGGGGAGACACGCCGAGGTCAGCTGGTGTCTGTTGTCGAGTTGCCGATGGAACAGAGCAGCGCGGTTCCAGGTCGAGACATCCAACAACCGAGCGGACGGTAAAACTAAGTTGAGGCGACTGCGGGAATAGCGCTCAAGGACCGCATCGAGGGATCTGTCTGTCTGCTGCAGCCGCAGCTGTCAAAAGTCTTGCCTGCATCCGCACCGCCCCTTCGATTTGCAGAGCGCCTAAATTCGAGCCGAGCCAAGACCCACCAGACTGCAAGCATGACACTCAGCTGCAGCACTCAAGCCACATGCTTTGTCTCGACGCCAACTACTGTATCTACTTCGTACACGTCTCAACATGTGCAACTTCTCATCGGAATGACACTCGATGATTGGAACGATGATCGTGAGCGTAGACTCGAGGCAGGCAAGACCAAGAACAGGAGTGATGATGGGCACTTGTAATTGTTTTCAGCCTGGCGTTTCCAGTCGCGCAGCTCGCTTCGACGAAGCGCCATCTTTTTATTTATTGTATTTTTTTTTTGCGGCAGATGCCGACGCATAGCTCACTACCGACTGTAGCGGCATCCTGCCACTTCCATAAGTCGACCCCGTCAAAATCGCCTTACGCTCCCAGTCAGCATATTCACGTAGTCACTCTCCCGCCGGTCAAGATGTGGCGTAGCGATCCTGCGAGCCTGGAATGATCAGGATTCACATTGTCACTCCAGCATTCGTCCGAGTGCAATTGATCGGAGAGGGTCGAATTCGGGTACCGAGGGCCGTAAGATCAGATGGCGAGTTGAGATGCTCGGACCTGTCCCACTTGTGAACATCACCCAGCTTTGTCATCGCCATGAGCGCAAACCTTGCTGTCTCTCATCACAAGCACGACCCAGCTGGTTTTCGATGTCATCTCGGACTGGGTTGATCGCAGCGCAATCGCGGAAGCGCGACTCTGCTGAGGACGTCGTAAGCTACTACGCCTTTCCATCGATCCGCGCACTTTGCTGACGACGATTCAGGCTGCTCATCCTTTCCATCGATCAGCGTTGTTCCGGTCGAGGACGGAGAAGAATAAAACAAGCAAGCGCGGAAAGCAGCGGCGTTGCCGTCGCGTCGAGGAGAAGACCCACATGTGTCAACAAGCTCATCGACGATCTGGGATCAGTACTGCAAGACCAGCTTCCATGCACGTCGAAGTCTGTAGAGCACAGCACTAGTGCTGCGACGGAGATTGGTACTGAGCTTGTCAGTGGGGAACACGAAGGATCCCGCATCGATTCCGCACTGCCCAAGCTGCGGGTAGAAAAGTCTGCTGCGCTTCTCTGTTTGCCAACTACGTGTAACGACTTGGAAGACATATAAGCATGCCCTCAATCGAAGTCCGGGTGCTCGTCCCACTATCCCTCTCCCCATCACCTTCATCCAATTCGATACCCCGAAACTTAGCCTTCGGTAAGTATCCCTTCTGAATCGCTTGCGAGACGCCAACGTCAGTCAATGTGATTCTCACTGCCTCCGTATATCGCCTTTCCATTCGCTGTCTCGAAGCAAGTCGCAAACATGCCGTCCTTCAACATTGGCCATGGCTTCAACTTCATCATCAACGCCGCCGACAACATCACCTTCAGCGCCGGCGACGCCTCCAACGTCACCATCACCACCGGCAACACCTCCATTGATTTCGACGACGGGGAAGATCAATTTCTGACGATGCACGACGTGCGCACTCAGGACCTACAGGACCTCGTAGAAAAAGCCCAACGCGTGCAGGGCTTTGATGGCGTCGTTCCCGGTCGCTGGTTCATCGACAACGCCGTTGTCACCTGCAAGGTCGGCTTCAGGTTCCTCTCGCCCCTTCTGAGAAATACGCTTGCCAGTGCCCTTACTTTGCCTGGCCTGGTGAGGATTGTGTTTCGCCCTCACTTCGACCTCACCCGCCTAGGAGGCGTGAGACCAATCTTGGACAACCTGCGCTACCGTGCCCGCGAAGGTGAACCTTAGCCGCACTGGTCGTCAGGCCAGCACCGTCAAGGAAGAGAATGACGATTCTGTACACCGTGATCCCGCGAGTTGAACAGCTTAATGCGCCCGTCAAAAGGCCTAACCGAGACACGTTGGCGCCACAACTCCTAGCCAGGAGGCTCCCTCGACGGTTCAGGGTCTAGAAATGCAAAACCGCCACCTCTCCGTAGACACGCATTGTATCTCTGGCCCGCCTTCGTGCTTTGGAATCTCGTTCTCACTCCAAATGGCTCACTGCAACGAGTGAGAAAGTGATGCACACTCGAGCGCACATCCGCACCTTCCACGACCCAAAACTTCTTTGATCGAATCATTCGCATGAACCTCCATTCTCGAATCTAGAACAACCCACCGACCTCCGCAGCAATTTGGCCGATCCTCTCTTCCTTCCCCACCTTCGTCGCCGCAATCTCCTCCATCCACCTCCTCGCAGCCTCCAACCCATCCCTTCTCAGACTCGCCCCCGACGCCGAACACACCAAGTTCCCCAATGCCACCAAAACCCTGTACACAGCTTCGCTCTCCTTCCTCTCCACCGCCAACACCTCATTCACCAACCCCAACGTGATCCCGGCAGCTCCACTCTTCCCCATCGCATCCACCATCTGAGCCGTAGCATTGTACACCACCGTCGCGAATGCAATTCGACCATTCTTACTCAACTTTTCGTAGTGTGTTTCGCCCAAACTACCAAGTAGAGATACCGCATTCACTTCGAGCTCGCCCAGAGCGCGGGCGTCGTTCCAGAGATTGGCGATGGTTCGCAAGGCAAGCATCGAGTTGACATCGCGCACTTTCGCCGCAGCTGTTCCGGAAGCAGGCCAGTCTTGCGCCCACTCCGAGGCCTCGAATGCCTCTCGAGCGATCTCCAGCGGTGCAGTAGTCGTCCCTGCTGCTGCAGCACAGCGCATGAGGTCGAGCGCCGGAAGACGAGATCCAGCGCTCCACGCGGAAACAGCCTTGCGAAGCGCATCAATGTTGAGTCTGCCCGATGCGGAACCCGCCTCGAGCTGAGCGATGAGTTGATCGATCTGCCCCAACTCTGACTCTGACAGCTGCACCGACTCTTGTTGATTGACTTGACGTATCTTGTTACTGATCGCTGTGAAGTTGGCCGACTTGAATGCCAAGAAGGTGCGCTGCGGCAAAATTCGACTCGATGAGGCCAAAGCTGCCGCACCTCCCGCAGCTGGGGATGGAGCTGGCGCAGAGCTGGTGTACGGATCCACGTTTCGTGCGCCCGTGTACGTGCTGTCGTTTCCGCTCGGCCTACCGCTCTGCGTGGCATCCCTGGCACCAGCTGATCCGCCACCGCCAGAAGACGACCCGGACGGCTGATACCTGCTAGCGCCCGTGTACGGATCCGCGTACTGCGGACCACCCAGATTGACGCCGGACGTGTTCTTGTCGATGAACTGCACCACTTGATCGATGTACTGCTGCGGCAAATCGTTCTTCTCCAAGAACTTCTGAGCAGCCGCGTACGGATTTTCACTCAGGTTGAAAGGAAGCTTGAGCGGCGGAACGCCATCGGCAATGTCGACGTCAAAAACGTAGTCGTACTCTTTGCCCTCGTAGAGCTTCTTCTGACCTGCACCGACGCCGCCCACGACCTCGCCGATCTTGACCCACTGCTGCGAAGACGCGCTCCACTGATGCGCTTCGACGACGTCGACGTTCTTGACCATCTTCGTCTGACCTTCCTTGGTGCCTGGTTGCGAGAGCGCTTCGGGACCGGGGAGATCGTCCTTCTTGATGTCGCCGACCTGCGTCTGGTTGAGCGCTTGCGTGGAGATGGCGTGATCGTAGGCTTTCAGTGTTTCTTCGTCCGCAACGAGCGATGCGTCCCGAGTGAAGACACGTGCTGCTGCATCGGAGGCGCCGGCGACAATATCTCCATTCGGCAGTACTGAAACGGACCAGACCGAGATGGCTGGCAGCGTGATGGTCTGTACCAGCGCACCATCGCGCCAGATGCGGAGGCTGCGATCCTCGCCAGAGCTGACGAGCTCGCCTTTGCCGCCAGGAATGGTCGCCAAGCTGTAGACGAAACTGGTGTGTCCTGACAATGTCTGCACCGGTTGGATCGGCGCGCTGCCGGCAGCTGTCGATGCGCCATGCAGAGAGTACAGATTGATGTTGCCGTCGTTGCCGCAGCTTGCGAACGACTCTCCGCCCTCTAGCAACGTCAGTCCGCGCACTGCATCCGTGTGGCCCCCAAAGATTGCTAGCGGCTTGGAAGGGTTCGAGATGGACCACAAGCGGATCGTCTTGTCCGCTGACGCTGTCAATACACGATCTTGATCGACGGCAAGGACGGCCCAAACCGACTGCTCGTGACCCTTGAGTGTTGCGACGCACTCCCAGTCCCGCCAGATCTTAGCTGTCTTGTCCCAGCTACCGCTGACGAGGTAACGACCGTGCGCATCGACGTCGAGGGCACAGACGTTTTCTGTGTGACCTATCAATGTGCGCGATGGTTGCGGCTCGGCCGTCTTTTGATCCAGTTGCACCGTGATTTGCCCTTCACTCGAGAGGAGTTGGTATGCGTAGATGATCTTGTCCTGGCCGGCAGTAATTGCATAAGGAGCACCAGAGCGGAACAGGGTGCAGGCGTTGACGAATCCATCGTGATTGCCGAGGTCTAAGGTAGAGACGAACTGATTGGTGGTGGTGCGTTGCCATAGGATGGCTCGTCGATCTCGCGAACCGGTCAGCACAGCGTCACCACGACAGTCTTTGCTGAGTTCAGCAGTGCTGGCAGAGACGCAACGGACATCCGCGCCGTGCTGCTCCAAAGTAGCAGATAGCTTGTACGTTGCCGACATGACGAGCGCTGCTTTCCCTGCTTGCTCGGAGCGCCGGCGAAACTTGCCCTGGAAGGGTTAAATTGACTGCTGCACAAGCTATTGATGCTCCCGAAACGATCACAGCAGCTTCTTGAGGAATGAGAGGAGATGTAGTGAATGGAAGTGCGGAGGGCAAGAGTCAACTCAGCCCAAAAGTGGGATTTGGCGCACGGACACGTACGCTTCGATCACGCGTACACGCCTCCACTTCCGCAGATTCTACCCGCTTTCCGAGAAAAACAGGCTTCCGCTTCAAAGGCATACTAACTTGTACACACTACCACTTCTGATTGATATCTCTACAGACAGGCACATCAAGCAGGCCATCTTTCCGATGACATTCATGCATTGCATCTGAACTTCAGCTCAGTTGGCGCCACCGTTGGCTGCGATGCGACGGGCAAACTCGATGAGGGCGCGAACAGGACGACCAGTGAAGCCCTTGGGCTGGTAGTCGTTGATGGTCGTTGGCGTAGCCTCCATGCTACCTGCAATGTCGAGGTGGGCGTATCGTACACTGGGAGCAGCACCGCCACGCTCGCCGAGACCAACGACGAATTGCTTGAGGAAGATGGCGGCAGTCGAGGCACCTGCCAGACGGCCACCGGTGTTGCAGAGGTCGGCGTTTGAGGAGGAGATCTGCTTGAGGTAGGCATCGTTGAGCGGCAGTCGCCAGAAGAGGTCGTTCTCGGCCTCACCAGCAACGCGCAGCTCGTTCCAAAGGCTGTCGGACTCGGTGAAAGCCGCCGAGTAGACGTCACCCACGGCAATCATGCAGGCACCGGTCAAGGTGGCAACATCGACAAGCGTGTGGGGCTTGTAAGTCTCGGTGACGTACGTAAGAGCGTCCGCGAGCACAAGACGACCCTCAGCGTCCGTGTTATCCACTTCTACAGAGATTCCGGCGCGGGAGATGATGATGTCGCCTGGCTTGGTAGCCTTTCCCGAGGGCATGTTCTCGGTCAAAGGGGTGGCGCATACTACGTTGATGGGAAGGCCCAGCTTGGCGATGGCGAGCGTAGTGGCTACGACGGCGGCAGCACCACCCATGTCGGCACGCATGGCCTTCATACCGGCGCCGGGCTTGAGACTAATTCCTCCCGAGTCGAAAACGATACCCTTTCCGACGTAAGCGACGCTGGGAGCGTCGTTGTCTGGAGCGCCCTTGTAGATGATCTCGACAAATTTGGCAGGCTCGTCGGTGCCGGCAGCGACCGAAAGGAAGGTGTTCATGCGCTGCTCGCGTGCCCAGTCCTCGTCGTGCACGATGACGGTGGTGTTAGGGACATTCTTGAAGGCGGCAGTGACACGCTGACCAAAGATGGTGGGGGTCATGAGGTTGGCGGGGGTCTCCTTGAGTTCACGCGCCCAGTTCTGCGCCTCGGCGTAGACTTCACCGGTGTACCAGCTGAGAGGAGCGACGCTGGGGACGTCGTCGCCAGCATCCTTGAGTTGCTTCTTGGCAGTCTCGTCGGCAGCACCGTCGACGGGGACAATCTTGATCTCCTTGCCACCCTGCACAGCGGCTTCCTTGCCGTGGGCGGCGTTCTTGCCGCGGGTCTTGAAGTGATTGACCGTCCAAAGGCCGAGGTTGGCACCGGTAGCGGCAGCGTGCGGGCTGGACATTGCGTCGAGACCAATGGACCTCTGGACGGGAGCATCGCCCTTGTCATCGGGACCAGCACCGAGGTCACGGATAGCCTTGACACCCTTTGCAGCGGCGAGACGCACCCGCTCGAGCTGCTCATTGCGAAGGTAGGACTTCTCAGAAGGGGTGAGATCCGGGGTGGTGGTGGGCGCAGCCTTCTGCTCGCCGAGCGAGACAGCAGCGACGGGCGTGCCGTTGTCGGGATAGAACACACGAAGCTCGTTGCTGCGCGACGACGAGGCGCGGGAGGCTTTCCATTGGGCGGAGACGTCGACGTTGTTGGCGGTGGAGGCGCCGTTGGTGTCGACACCGACGACGACACCGGCAAGCGAGGATGCAGTGGAAGAAGACATGATGGTCCTGCTGAGCAAGCTGGTGGTTTGAAAGGAGGAGGCGGAGTAGATGGAGCGCAATGCTAGCCGACAAGGAAGCATTGCTTGAGGATGTGATAGGGGAGGGTCGAGAAGAGCAAGATTACTGTCGGTCAGCGGACAAAGCTCGAGCGCATTTCTCCCAAGACAGCTCGCACCAACACGCCAACAACTCGCCGACTTTGTTGGTGCGCTTTGCTGCACCCTTTTTTTCTGCGCTAAATGGCAGCGAGCGAGTCTTCTGCGTTGCTTTGCCGGAAGTCTGCGCTCCGACACCAACACACTCTCCTTCAGCCAATCGCAAGTGGCCGGCATCTTGCTTCTCTACACTTTTGCTCACAGGAATTCGTTTAGGACACTTTTCATGCAGCAGCCGGCGGCGGCTCACATGGCTCCGATGGATGGGCACTCAACACTTTCTCTGGGTCGGTCAAGCACGCTTGCGCTGAGTGGATCCCGCAAGAGCCATCATAGCCGAGAGATGGCCAAATTAATCAGACCCTTGCTCCGGCGGATAGGCCGGGGTTTGTCAAGGTCGACTGTACTGCTCCTCAGATTTCCATCGGACGCTCACGCCATCCCGTCCACGCAGATTGCAGGTCGCTCGTTGGAAGCTTCTCATGATTTCAAGGAACCCACCGTGAGGCTGTTTGGGGTTGAATGGTGCCGTCTGGTGAAATGATACCGTCTAGGACACGATCGCGCTCGTCGGCAGGGACACGGTCGGAAGATGGGAGCACCTGTTCTCGCAGAGCTAGAGCCACCGTCACTGGCGGTGGTGTGCTGCGTCGAGCGGCCCACTCTTCTGCACGTGTGAGGTACCGATCGTAATAGCCTTTTCCATGCCCCAACCTGCCTCCTGTTTGATCGAACGCCACGCCGGGTGCGAGAATGAGATCGAGGCCATCTCCACCGGTTGCTTCGTCGAGCGCTGTGATAGAAGAAAGCAGTCAAGGAGTCGACTGGAGTCAGCGCTGTCTGAGTACGCATCGCGCTGATTCGGCGCGCCCGACAGTCCGACACTTACCTTTCTCACGAATGGTACCGTCAGGATAGGTCAATGGCGGCTCGCGAATGCCCCATCGATTCGCCGCCATACCCTCGTACTCGCTTATATCCCGCAATCTTAGCATGACCATGTCCGTTGCGAACTCTGCCTTGACAGCAACCGGCGCTGACGGCACTGTCGGCCCCGTTGCCGCTGCTGGAGCAACTGGCGATGCAAACAAAGGCACGTAGAGGCGTTTCCCGTCCTGGAGCACTGACCGACAGATCTCATCAGTCATGACTTCGCCCACATCCATGTGAATGTACACGCTGATCGAACGAGCTCGAGCATACGTTTGCGATTTGAGGACTTGCTCGGCCACCAACCGTGACTGACTTGCAATGTCGTCTGGCCGCATGGCTGCCAGTGTCTGTGCCATGGACTTGCGCAGCTGGCGCTTGGCTGTGCGAATTGCCATCGCTGTCGAGGTTGACGCCATCTTGTATGCGGTGGGCGCTCCGATGCCGGGATAGCTCGAGGTCACCTGTATCGCAGTTCCGATCAACGATTGCGTTGGTATAACGAGAAAGCCAATTGATGTGTATCATCAAGGGTCTCGACCTCTCCGCAACTTTCTTCTGATCTCCCGATACCTTGATACCCACGACAGATCGGACAAGCCGGCAAGATTGTGGGGCCACTGCAGCAGAGGTGAAACGGTGCATGATTTGACTCGGTGCCGATTTGGAAAAAGTGGGAAAAAAAATTCGACATGAACCCGGCTCGGTTGCTTCGCCCTGCTACTGTGTTGGTCCAAGTTCACAGGAAGCTCTAAAGCTCTAAATGTGACTTGCCAGAATGTGATTGTAGAGCTGTAGGGGGTGATGCAGTGAAGCGGCAGGAAGAAGTCTTATCACGATCAAAGAGCGATCCTGCTACAGTACCTCTCTCCTTCCCGACCGTCACTGACCACCACCGCACCACTAGCATCTGCTATACACGCTTCTACCGCAGCAACGAAGCAGCGGGCACACCCTCGATCGAAGCCTTTCGCAGTTCCAATCGCAGACGAGACAACATGCCTGGCGTCAACTCGATCAGGCTCTTGACGGGAAACAGTCACCCCGAGCTTGCTCAGCAGGTGGCCGATCGTCTCGGTATCCCGTTGACCCCTTGTGTCTGCAAAAAGTTCGCGGATCAGTCCATCGACGTCCGCATCGGTAGCTCAGTCCGAGATGAAGACGTCTACGTCCTTCAGACGGCCAACTCGCCGTACACCGACCCCAATGACTCGTTGATGGAGCTTCTCATTATCCTCTCGGCCTGCAAAACCGCGTCAGCGCGCCGCATCACGGCCGTCATTCCGTCGTTCCCCTACTCGCGTCACGACAAGAAGGACAAGAGCCGTGCTCCCATCACTGCCAAACTTGTAGCCAACATGATCACCGTCGCTGGCGCGGACCACGTCATCACCATGGACCTTCACGCCAGTCAGATTCAAGGCTTCTTCGACATCCCCGTTGACAACCTCACCAGCGAGCCGAGTGTAGCTCGATGGATCCGCTCCAAGGTGGAAGACTGGAGGAACGCCATCATTGTCAGTCCCGATGCAGGTGGTGCCAAGCGTGCCACGGCACTCGCCGATTCGTTGGGTGTCGACTTTGCCCTCATCAACCGCAACCGTCGACGTGAACAGCACAAGCGTATCCGCGCCGCACAAAAGACCGCGCTTGGCCTCTCGAGCCGATCCTCGTTCGACGACCTCCGTTCCGGCGTCAGCACGCCCATGTCGAGCTCCTACCTCCTCGAAGGAACCGGTCTCAACTCCAAGGCCACCGTCGGTCAAGCCACCGACAAGCTCAACGCCCTCAGCGTCTCTGCAGAGTCTCAGTCCTCCACCTCTACGCTCCAGTCCAACAGCTCAAAACACGTCTACAGCGAGGTGGCCAACGGTATCAAGTGTGACGAGACTGGCGAGTGGATCATGACCGATGAGCAGGGTCACCTGGTTCGCAGTGGACGATCCAAACGCGACATCGCCGGTGCGTCTGGCACCTCAGCGGAAGATGATTCGGAAGACGAGAACTCTTCCCGCATGGAGATTCTCGTCGGAGACGTCAAAGGCAAAGTCGCCATCTTGGTCGACGATATGGTGGATACGGGTCGAACCCTGGCTCTGGCCGCAAAGACGTTGGAAGCCGCAGGTGCGGCGAAAGTGTACGCCATCATCACGCACGGCTTGCTCAGTGGACAGTCGATCGAATTGCTCAAGAAGCTCAGCTTGGAACGTCTCGTGGTGACGAACACCATTGCAAATACGGAGAAGGCCAAGGCGAGCGAAGGCAAGCTCGAGATCATGGACGTGTCCGCAGTGATCGGTGAGACGATTCGAAGGTCGCATCACGGCGAATCGATCTCTCAGCTCTTTAGACAGGATGCTGAGATCATGTTCTGATCGTTACACCGGACACACCGTGTATATTCCCTGCGCAATCTAGTCGACATTTATAGCGCACTGCTTTTGAAACACAAATGCGTGCATGCACCGGCCATGTTGTGGGTTCGCAAGCGTAGTTGGACTTCTGTTTCTTCTTCACGACGATTGCACGAACTGGGTCGAGATGGGATGACGAAAACGAACGTGTGCATTGCTGACCGACAAACCAATGAGCGTGTTCAACTCCGAGAAACAAGTGACACTCGGGAAGCAAAAATGGTTGTTCGATCCATGGACCTCGATGGCAAAAGCGCGCTGACCTCCTACCCCAGATCAACGCATAATCTCGTTGTAAATCAACCTCTTGAGCTCGCTCCTCGAGAGCTGTTCCTTACAGTAATCGAAATCGAAGAAGCTAGGATCCAACGGTTCCGCCGTCGGTTCGTCCTCTGGATCATGGTACGGTTCCAAATACGGATGTGCCAGTGCCTCCTCCACGGTGATCCTCTTCCTCGGGCTGAACGTCAAACATTTCTCCATGAGGTCCACCGCTAGTGGGTTTGCGTTGGGGAACATCTGCGAAAAGTTTCTCCTCTTTCGGAATGGAAGTGCTCGAATGTAATCCCTCGATCGAGTCGAAGTGATCGCGTAGAAGTCATCCAACGACGGCGTACCGAGGATCTCGAGGGTCAACGACAGTTGGTGGTGATAGTCTCGACCTGGGAAGAGAGGTTTGCCGGACAGCATTTCGGCCAGGATGCAACCTACCGACCAAACATCGATCGCCTTTGTATACTCCTTGAACGTCAACATGATTTCCGGTGCACGGTACCATCGCGTAGCAACGTACTCGGTCATGAAACCCGTTCCCTCCGCTTCAGGTTGATTCGCCGAACGTGCCAGACCGAAATCGCAGATCTTGAGATCGCAATTCGCGTTCAACAGCAGATTCGATGGTTTCAAATCTCGATGCAACACCTGCGCCGAATGAAGCGCCTTCAATCCACGCAGAGTCTGGTAGATGAAGTACTGGCAGTGATCGTCCGACAGCTCTTGGGTTCGAATGACTCGATGCATATCGGTCTCCATGAGTTCCTGGATGAGGTAGACTTCCGAGAAGCTGTCGTAGTCGGAAGGTTTGACAATGTCGAGGATCGAGATGATGTTTTCGTGGTTAAAGTGGCGAAGCAGTTTGATCTCGCGCAGGGTTCGAAGACAGAACATCGAGTGGTCGAAGGGTGTGATCTTCTTAATGGCTACGCGAGAGCTCGAGGGAACGTGGATGGCGGAGCAGACGACTCCGTAGGCTCCTTCGCCGACCACATCGACAACCTTGTAGGTCTCGCCCACCTTGAAGGTGGTATTGTGGTTGGGCTGCTGTCCGTGTGCTTGCGCCATGGTGACGGGTGACCCGAAAGTTGCGCGATTGTGGTTCCTGTTGTTTTGCGTCGTTGAGGTCGAAGGTGTCTGGTGGTCAGGACAATGGCAGCGCAGACGCTAAATGCCCCTGGAGAGAAAGGAAGGAGAGGAAAATGGATCGCAAGCAAGCCGGGAAGTGAGGGTGTTTGTGGAGAGCAGGTTGGAATTCTGCCGCATGCTCTTGCTTGTTGCTAGCTAGAATGCCATGCGTGTGTCGTCGGTCAGATCTCACTTCCAAGCGAGTGGACCGTGAGCGAGCAGCAAGTTGCAGCAGCTGTCACGCATTGCTCGAGAAACAACACATGCGCGCGCCGCGCTGCCTCTCTAGCCGAATTCGGACAGTGCGCTTCGTCCTGCCCTTTGACAGCGTGTGTCGCTTGCGTCTGCATGGCGAAAATCCAGACTTTCCAAGAGAAAACAAAAATTCCAAATTCGGAATCAAGTTCAAGCCACGAGCTGGTCGGATTCACCGTTTGAGGCCAGCACATGGCATTCTTGCAGCTCCTCTCCGACTCTGATTAAGCCCTTGTAACACCGTGCTCTCGGTCGATCGATGGACTCCGACAAAGGTGTTGGTCAACAGTCGGACTTCTAGACACATGCTCTTCCGGTCTCAGGTGATCGCTCTTTCTCCCTGCGTCTAGACCCGCTGCTTAGAGTCCCTTGTCTGCGGTGCGTTGATGATCTATACGGGGAACATCACTGAATACACCTGACTGCACCCTTCCTTTGTTCTTCCAGATGCCGTACCAACCGTGAGAAAAGGAAAGGAAGACAGCCTCTCCCTGCCCCACTATCATTGTATGTTGTCTCCCTCGTTTCCCTAAGTCTGAGAAGAGTTCCAGATGCACTCTTGCCGGTTCGTCCCAGACGCAGCTGAGGGCACTGCTGAAAAGGCCACTCGCTTGACCAGCTCCGGTGTAACGTTTCTAAGACCTTTAGCGCCTCGTATTGCCTCAACAGTCCTTGCCATGGCCACAGACCGCGATCGAGCTCGAATCTCACAGGTGATCGGCGCTGATCGGTCAGATCAAGCAAGGTCCACCACAGCTATTCCGACTCGGGCAGTGCACGGCCTTGTTAAGATGGATGTCAATCTGATCAGATTCCAGCACTTTACACGTCAGGCGACACCTGCATCACTTGAGCATACCAGCAAGCGCACCGAGTCCTCCCGAGTTGCCCCCGCCGATGAGACCAGCAAGCATCGAGGGGTTCTTCATGGCAAGACCCATAGCCATCTGCGCAGCCTGGTTTACGGCGTCCTGCTTGCTGCCCTGAGCCTGTCCCTGTGCGTCCTTCTGGTCGAACAAGTCGGCAGCGTGGCTCATGGCGGCGCTCATGATCTTCTGCTGGAAGCCGCCGCCCTGCTGCTGCTGTCCACCGCCGCCGAGAACCGACTTGATGGCAGAGAGTCTATTGTGCACAACAGCAGAAGAAAAATGTGCGTTCCGAGTCAGTACGTCATCGTCGCGTTCGTTGAGCGCAAAAGCAAGACTCGAGTACTCACGCTGCAGCGTTTCCGATTTGGCTCGAGGAGTTGGCTCCGGGCTGGTTGTTGACCTGGTCGTGGTCCTGCATCAGCCTCTGCTCGTCAACATCCTGGTTACCGCCCTGGTTCTGGGCAAAGGAAGCGGCCTGCGAGAAGAGAGAGCTGTCGTGGTTGCCGGAGCTGAACTGCTGGGCGAGACCGGCGAGCGAACCAAAATCGAAGCCGCCACCTCCGCCACCGCCTTGGTGCTGCTGCTGCTGCTCGTTGTCGCCACGGTTCTCGTTGTTGCCGCCCTGGTTGTTAAGGAAGCCCTGGGCCATGTTGCCGAGCTGGTTGATGTCGAATCCGGACATTTTGGGCGTGGAAAAAGTTGTTGAAGAAGGAACAAGAGTGAGAATGACTGGTGAGAAGGTATGTGGTGGCAAGAAGCGGAAGCGGGTGTCGGTGTTGCTCTTTTAAGCGCTCCGTGAAAAAGACTCGAGAAGCTCTAATTGGTCCAACACTTGTCCTTCCTGCGGGAAACACACTCGACAGCTGTCTAAAGATGCGGTCTGCTGTGACGTTCGGCGTGCGTCTGGAATGCATCACACTGCGTCGGTTGGTTCGGCTCGCTTGACATGCCAAAATAGATTTGCTGCCTGCTTCCGTCTGCGTAGCCATGCGCACGGCCCATGACACGGTCACAATCCGTCAAGTCGACTCAGCCCCAAACCAACGTTTCGTTGGGGAACCCTTCCGAGCTACGCGGACATGGAATAGCTTCAGACTCGAGTACGGTATTCTTTATGGTTACCGTGCCTCGGACTGGAAGGAGCATTCAGAGCGCATGGACCACCTTGTTGGCAAGGAGCTCTCATCTTTTTCTTTCATTCCTCCACCTGTGTGATATTGAGAGGATCTCACAACCCGACTTCACGCGCAGACACCTCGACGCGTTGCGGAAAAAGTGTTGGTTGCTGAGACCAAAAAGTCGTTTGTAGAGGCGCCACTTAGCTCCACCGTCCGCAACACCACCCTCGGTCGGCTCTGTTCTCGTCCAGCATGGCCTCCGCAGACAACTCATAGCTTGCCTTATCTACCACAATGGCGCCTGTTGCTGGGCCCTCCACGGGCAGCTCGACCGAACACGCCGCCAAGACTACAGCGGCTAGGGTAGGCAGCAGATCCAGGACGAACAAGCACATAGATCAGGAACGCATCCTCGACCTCCTCCTCGGCGCATTTCTGGACGAGACCACACCATCCACCTCAGCTCGAGCCGCTCAAAAAGCCAGAGCGACACGAGTCATTGACAAAGACTCGTGGTCGCCTCCCGACGACGATGAGGTCTCTGCAGCGCTGCAAGGTCTGTCTCTCAAGCATAGCATCCACCTCGATTACGAGCTTGCCACAGCCATTCAGAGATGCCACTCGCAGCTTCTGATGTCTTGCGAGCGGTCAATACGCCTGTCAGACCAGGCACGCGAGGCGGAAAAGCGGCGAGGCCGCAACGTCAGCAACATGCCGGCCCCGCTTCTCCGCCCAGACAATGTTTCACACGCCATCCGCTTGCTACTTCGATTGTCCAAGCCAGCAGACGTGACGGCTCGCACAGCTGCCAATCTGATGCTCAACGCGACGCACTCGAGCCGTGCTCAGTACCTGACTCCAGAACAGCGGAAGCAGGCAGAGAGACGCGAGTGGCTCAATATCTTGGTCGACGAGCCTCTGGAAGGCGACGTCTGGGACGACGACGGCCAGGATCAGAACGGCTCCGACTTGTCCGACTGGAGCCTGGATTCTGACGACGAGCGGAAACGTAGGGTTGAGCAAGGCTACGATAGCGACAAGGAGCTCCGCAAACGAAGAGATCGGCTCACTGCCATTTCAACATCACTACAACCTTCGGCCTCATCGAAGCACGACTTTCGACAGCGCGATCAATGGTCACTGAATCGTCGGACACGACTGGAAGCATTAGACAGAGCAAAGGAGGATAGTGTGCGCGATTCAACTGTCCATTCTGCCGGTGCCACGAGAAAGCACACCGAAGCAGATGTTGTCAGGGAGAGCCTAGCTGCTTTGATGGAATTTCCGAGCGTGCTCTTCACACGACAACCCTCCGGTCAAGTGGCAATGACATCAGACGAACAATTCCCTGTGATCCGCATCTTGATGAAGCAAATTGCCTCCATCGCCGCCATCGCTACAACTCTCGCGTCTCTGCAGCGCTTCGTCGCAACGACAATATCGCAAAGTATCCACGCCGTGGATGCCCTTACTAGAACGCCGGCTGTGGAAGCGTTCGCCGAGCAGGTTCAGGCTCTGCTCGAGCGTCTACGGACAAGTCTCTCCAACATGGACTCTGACATCGGGAACGCTAGCATATCAGCCCAACCGGCCGCTATTCGATCCGACAGATATACGACCATGACACAATTGCTCGAGTTCGTGCAAAGAGAAGCGGCCACAGTGCTGCTCTTGGCGCCCCTGCTCAAGGAGATTGGCTTTATCTCTGATTCCGACGTCGACGTCGCAACTCCAATCTTACCACGAGCCTTCAGCGATCGAGCACTCATCGACGGCCTGCAAGCGCTTCTGGCCTTTGCACATCAACAAGACGAGGTGCTACACCGCGACATTGTACTTGCCGATCTGAGCACCTGCCTGCTCGCCGCGTGTCGACCTGCATGGAGATCCGTCTGCCTCTTGCTTCAAAGAGGCCTCAGCTTTGCCATTCGCCGCGACCACGATGCTCTCTTCGATGATCGCCTTGTGCAGCACATGATTCGCCACGATGCGTCCATGTCGACATCTGACAGCGCGTTTTGGACGTCTGGATATCTTGTCAATGGTACCAACGCCGACGCGATGGCTGACGTCGACCTCGATCGTGGCTACAGTTCGCCTGCATTTTTGCAATCTATCATGCGGGACGTGTTGACCACTGCAAAGGGAGTCGGCCTGCTTCGGAGCTTAGGTATTGACGCACTCGGAGAGGTTCAGCCGAGCCCGAACCTGGACCATGTTCTAGGCATGCAAGTCGCCACATCATCGTCGACGTCTGATCTGCTTCCAAGCCACGCCGAGCCCGGAGAGGACGGGCTGCAGAGTGCATTGGGAACGCAGGGCGTCGCCACCCTCATTGAGGCTCCACGCACCACTCCTGACAAAGCAAAAGCCAATTTGCGACAGCTTCTGTTCGCCCACAACGCCCGCTCCTGCGTCGGAGATGAGGCCGAAGAGCAGTCAGATGATGACCTGCCCCAAACGCCACTCTCGCGTCCGGACACTGATTTACACTGGAATTCAGAAAGCGCGGACCACCCCCTGCGTCTTTCACAGAAGCTGCTGGAGCCGATGCTCGGGCGATATCTTCGGGAGCATCTCTCGCCCATCTCTGCCATCGTGCGCAAACGATTGACCGAGGTGCTTTCGTCTGCCGTGACCGAGGGTGGCTACGCGCTCCAGTCGCACCTCGAGGCCTGTCACGGCTTGTTCTTCATGCAGCGAGGTGCCGAAATGACAAGCTGGCTGGACTCTCTCTTTTTCGATCTCGATCGACGCAACGGCACAGTTCGTGCCTTGAACCATTATCGACTCAACTCTGGCTTTGGCGATGCTCTCGAGGCGCACAGGAGCATCGACGCGGCTGCAGCATGGATCGACGTCAACCTTGTTCGCCTTCACACTGGCGACGATGACTCCGAGTCTGCCGCGGCTATCCGACAGAGAACGAGGCTGCGTCGCCTTGCCGACGTTCAGGTCAAATACGAGGTGCCTTGGCCACTCACCTTTGTGTTCCCTCAAAGTTGCATGCGCGTGTACCAGTCGATCTTCACCCTTCTACTGCAGGCACGATATGCACAGTGGAAGCTGTCGAGCACACTCAAACTCGCCAAGCCCGAGACCATGCACATGCGCAAGTTTTGGTCGCTTCGACGTCAGGCGCAATGGCTCGTCCGAACCTTGATCGGATACATTCAGGGTGAGGTTGTGTTGGAAGGGGCCCGGCTTCTCGATTCCGCTATGGAGGGTACAGACTCTATCGATAGCTCTATCCAGATTCATATCGAGGCGTTGGCGCGAATCGAGATGCTATGCTTCGACCGCGTGGAGCAGGCCAAGGTCAAGGAGCTTTTCAGCGCCGTATGGCGAATCGGGACCGAGGTCGTCCACAACTACGAGCGATTCATTGGAACAAGCAACTCAGAAGAAGATAGGCTTGCTCGCAGGAAACGGCGCGAAAGACGCAAGAAGCGTAGGGACAAGGCTAAGCGAGATGGCGCTCCTCTCGGCGCGATCGCCGAAGAGGAAGCGGAGGAAGAGGAAGAGGAGGAAGAGGAAGAGGAAGAAGACGATGATGAGCAGAACCATGCACGAAAGGACATTGATCGAGATGACGACGACGTCGGTCGGCTCTATGCTACATCCGGGAATGGAGACCCCACCACTGTTGGTCAGACGGAAGGGCTCGATACGACGTCGATAGACGCCTCGATGAGCGGAGATATCTCGGCAAGCTGGGTGGAGTCCGACGTGAACAGACGCGAACGCTTCCGTATCGAATGTGAACGCCAACGAAGAACCCTCGACCGGCTCGTCGAAGAGCTCAAGGTGAGCGTCGATGATCAGATCGGTCGCATCGCAGCAAGGACGGCTGCCCAAGCGCAAGACGCTACACAGGCCGACCGCGTTCTTCAGGAACACGACTACGCTCGCGCAAAGTGGCAGGGTCTACTCGATGCTCTGGCGTGGTCCGATATGCGCTACTGAGCTGAGCGAGAGGTACCTGTCAGCCTGTGATCTAATGAGCTCTCATCACCGTCGACTAGCCAGTTTTGCAAATATACCCATTTCGACATGCCACTCCGATTGTGTAGTATGACCCTTTGGACTGTGTGTCATCTTCGATGTGAAGTTAGAAGCAGGGGTGACAAAAGCGAAGATGTTACATCGTCTCATTGGTACAAGATGCAATTTCAGCCAGGGTCTCCGAAGCGCGTTCCGAGTCGGAGGCGATGCCAGCCAAAAAGTCATCAGTCAGAACGGCGCAGTTCACTAATGAAGACGCGCACGGCCGACGCAAAGGCGTGTGGAGAGAGAGTCGCGAACGGTTCGCATTCGGCTGAGTGACTCTGCAACGCTGCCTACGTCCTGATCGTGTCGACCTCCTCAAGCTCAACGAGCGTCTGTCGTCTGCGCGCAACACCACACCAACATACCGACGTGAAGCACTGTCTGTAGTAGCAACTCTGCGACAAAGCGATTGTCAGTCACTTTGACCGAGCGACAGCAGGCAACAACCCACGAAGAAGCACGGCGACCTTCCCACCATTTCAGCATCTTCGGCTTCACCGACTGGCTGATCCGACTCGCATCATCCCAGCCCCGACCACAGCCCCGGGTCTGCCGCAAGGTATCGAAAACTGCTGCCTCGGTAAAACACGAATCGAGTTCGGAACCATCGTCTCTGCGAAGAGCAGTCGCTATTGGGGCCGCGACCATCACCATCAACAAGTAGATCCGAATAGAACAATCATCGCCTCCCGGAACGCCACGCCGAGCTTTGATCCGATCGATTGACCACAAAACAGCATCCCAACGCAGCAACGACCTGACCTGTTGCGCCCTGGTTCAACAACGCATCAGAATTGACCCATCATGTCATGCACTCTGACCGCGTCTCATCCAACAGCAGGGCGATGATGACCGTCCAGCCACTCAGTTCGGCGACAGCCTCTCTCCTAGCCGGACCATCGAGCTCGAGACTTTCTGCGTCCCCGTCAAAGCAAGTCCGCACACAACAGCTTTCACGTCCACCGCCCAGCCCGACAAAGAAACGTAAACTTACATCGTCCCCCGCGGTCAAGAAGAGGCCAACAAGTACGTCAACAAGCGCAACTCGACGTGCTCCTCCACAAGGTATCTGCGCCTTCTGCCTGCAGACGGCGGATCGACCAAAAGGTGACACGCCCAAGTTGCTGATATCATGCTGCGAATGCGGCAGCAGTGGACATCCGTCTTGCCTCAAGTGGGGCCGCAACCCGACCAAAGTGCGCAAAGCATTGTCTTACGATTGGCGCTGCATCGAGTGCAAGAAGTGCGAGATCTGCCGCGACAAGGGCGATGATGTGAGTGTCTTTCCCGCAGCGCGTTTCGCCTGCATTGCATCTATGCGGCACGTCATTACTGTACTGTACATCTCCGCAGCAGACTTCATTTCGCCAGAGCGCCCTAACCAAGATACTGACTTCCTCTGCTGTCTTGCCCTTCTTCATGATTCGTGCAGGCCCAGCTCATGTTTTGCGACCGCTGCGACCGCGGCTGGCATCTCTATTGCTTGTCTCCTCCTCTATCGAAACCGCCCAAGGGCCAATGGCATTGCCCGACCTGCGAAACAGCAGACAGACATCAACAATGGCCGACGTCGACGCATGCGACACCTGCGCATTTCGATCGAATCTCGCAGTCAAGCCAGATAACGCGCGTCTCGAGTTCTGGTAGACAGAGCAAGCCTTCCAATCCTGACAGAAGCATCGACTCGCTCTTCGCATCACAGGCCTCGCTGCCGCAAACAACTAGTGCGCAGCTGGCAGCAAGCCCCAACTTTGCCGTCACGCTCAGAAATGGCTTCCTCAGCGCGGCGGGTTCCTTGCTCAATCTTGCTCCTGGTTCTCCCTGGTCGCCGCGCTCGTCGTCACAACAGGGCATCGTGCCGTCGACGTCGAAAGATTCTTCCAGGAAGGCGGCGGCTACCAGTGGGAGCAGCGCCAGAAGCAACAAGCGTGGCCGTCCAAGGAAGTCTGCTGGTGCATCACGGTCCAATCAAAGATCAGGCTCGACCGGGGCCGATGGTCATCCAAGCGGCGGCAGGAGTGCACGACTTGGAGATCAGGACGGCTCAGGCTCGTCTGACGGAGAGCACGCCTCGGAACACGGCATACACGATGGCGACTCTTCAAGGGGTTTCGTGGAAGACGACGATGACGACACAGCTGGAGACCGTGATGCCTCCAAGAGCAGCGAGGAAGAAGACCCGTTCGGTGGCGTTCTCGAAGCTTCTGATGCACTCACGCTGCCGTACAAGCCGACACCGCACGACAAGGAACGCTTCCAACGGGCGCAGAAAGCCGCTCAAGAAAAGCTGGGCGGGACCTTAGCCGACCCCTCCGCCACTCCAGGTAGTCGTGTGATCCGACGACCCGGGCTCACCTCTGTCGCGAGCTCGAGTTCGGCAGCGGCAGCCTCACCACGCTCTCAAAGCCTCGTTCCAGGCACCGTTTCATCAACCGGCCTTTCCGCCGAATCACCCGTCGGGCCTTCTCGTATCTCCCGCACACAGCTCGCTCCCCGACAATCGCCATCGGACGCGTCAACGCCGTCGCAGGTCGAGATCACCACCGCGGCTAGCAGCGCAGAGACCGGAACGGCGTCGCCAATCAAGTGCATTCGCTTCGGGGAGTTCGACATCGATACTTGGTACCAAGCGCCCTATCCGGAAGAGTACAGCATGGTACCCGACGGACGTCTGTGGATTTGCGAGTTCTGCCTCAAGTACATGAAGAGCCGATTCATGGCGCAACGACATCGACTCAAGTGCAAGATGCGACATCCGCCGGGCGACGAGATCTACCGAGATGGCAACATATGTGTTTACGAGGTTGACGGCAGGAAGAACAAAATCTACTGCCAGAACCTGTGCCTGCTCGCAAAGATGTTTCTCGACCACAAGACGCTCTACTACGACGTTGAGCCTTTCCTGTTCTACATTGTCACGGAGGGCGACAGTTCAGGAGACCATTTTGTGGGCTACTTCAGCAAGGAGAAGCGCAGCCCGATGAACTACAACGTGTCATGCATCATGACGCTGCCGGTGCGGCAGAGGAGGGGATGGGGCAACTTTCTGATCGACATCAGCTTCCTCCTGTCCAAGAAAGAAGGCCGGACCGGCTCGCCCGAAAAGCCGCTCAGCGACCTCGGCCTGCTCAGCTACCGCAATTACTGGACGCTAGCGGTCTTTTACTACCTGCGGATCGCACCAGATGAGGTAACCATGGACGACATCAGCCGGGCCACGGCCATGCAGCTAGAAGACATCTTCTATGTGCTGGCAGAGAAGGACATGATCGTGGTCTACGACGGCAAGAATGGAAACAGCCGGACTCCCGCAACGAGCAAGTATCGGGCAAGGGAAGGAAATGGCACGACGTCAGCTGCTGGTCTGGCCCTAGCTGGCGGTGGTCCTGCTTCCCTCGAGCCGCAACCGCGCAAGCGTGGAAGACCGCCCCTACAGCCCAGACCGGCGCCGGCTGCTGAGTTGTCATCGTATAAGGACAGGGACAAGAACGCGGCCGCTTCTCTGCCTCGCGACTACCGGATCCACTTTGACCGTGACTATGTGATCGCACATCTGAAGAACTACGAGTCGAAAGGATACCTCAAGGTGCGAGCCGACAAGCTGAAATGGACGCCGTTCCTGGTGTCTCGATCTTTCCTTCAGCCCATCGCAAGCCTGAGCAACGGGCACGGCGCAGGATCAAGTGCGACGCAGGCGAACGGAACGCCTGGTCCATCGGGGAGCGGAACATTTACGCCGACAGAGATGACCGCGAATCTGGGCTACTCGGTTCTCAACCAGGTGCAGAAGACGCCTGGTAGGCCAGAGGCTGGCAGCACGCGTGCTAGCCCCGCCGGGGCAGCGGCTCGACGCAATGTCGGGCGAGCCGACTCGATGGCGGCAAGTCCGGCGGCTACTGGCGCCAGCAGTGCTGCGCACGTATCGAGACACAACAGTCCAGGCCAAATTTCAATCGCAACGCCGACACCATCGCCTCCGAAGAAGCGGTACAGACCTGCTCCACCAGCTGGAAGTGCCCTGTACGCCGCTACTCTTGGCAACATGGCGAGCGGCGACAAAGCGTCGGGCCTGAGCGACATCCTTGCACCGAACCCACCGACGGCGTCTGTGCTACCTTCTGCATCCAGCATCGGCGTGGCAGACGCAGAGGCCGCAAGCGCGTGGGACGAAGACATGGACGCTGATGCAGATGGCGACTATGAAGCCGACGAGCATCTGCAAGACCCTGGTGCCGTGATTCCCAAACAGGAGCCGATGCTCACGGCTACGACCGAGATGGCGAGACTGCCGATCGATCCAGAACATCTTCGACGTGTGCTTGCAGCTAGCTCGAGCGCTTCGAACGGTCCGACGGGTCATGAATCGCGTCTGGCGCAACTTGCGATGGGGTTGTCGAGTCCGTGGCAGGCGCGTGGCAGCGGTGCAGCGACACCCAGCCAACACGATGCAGACTTCGACTTGGGCGACGAGGATGCCGACGGCAGTGACGAGGATGCGCCAGGAAGTGATGATCCTGCCCTGGAGCATATCTGAATCGACGTGGCCTCGTACGGCAACGTTGGCTGGGGATGATATGAAGCGCTGAAGTTGCTGTTCGACAGCATGCAGTGCGGCCACCACTCTGTAAAATTACTGCTTCACATGTACCAATACGAAGATCACCACTGTTTCTCTTTCGACGAATACGGTCAGCGTTGCAGAGCTTGGCGTCAGGCGTCAGGTCATGATACGATACGAGACCTGTCAGACCTCCAGGGACTTGATCGGCTTGAAAGAAAAAGGCCACAGCAGACAGTAAGCGAGAGACGCGCTTTTTTTGAAAGTTGAGTGATTGTTAAGCTGACGCCGTCGGCTTTGGCTAGGCAGCAAAATCCGGACCGCGCCTTTTCATTGTCCTAGCCATACTGTGCTGTGGTTTGCTGCGGTGTGCTGTGCTTCGTTCGGCTGCGAAGCTCGCAAGGACCCTTTTTTTCGAGGGACGGAGATTGACAGACGAGCGAGCCTGAGCGTCGATGGAAGGATTCGTGATTGTGCGTGAGCTGTTGGTTGCAGCGATAGCTCGGACGCACACACTTGAATCTCTTGTGCCCGCAGTACCTTCGGTGTCGCCATCACCATCACCATTCATCTCCGTCTTCACCATCTTGGCTGCTTGGACCGATCCTGCTGACCAAAGACAAGGATCATTTTCAAGCACGATTCCTCTGTCTTGCAGGAAGCCAACTCTACACCCCCTCGACGACTTTGTTCGTTTCATTCGGGTAGCATTGTCGGTCTTGCTCGTCCGTCGCGCGCCCGCATTCACGCTTCAGACTCCTTCGCAACTTCTCTCGACGGTCATCGGCGGTAGTTTGAGAGCTTTTCTCCATCTCGCTGAGCCTCGACCCCGTTGCGCGTATCGTGCCCGGTCTAATCTAGGTGCATCTCCGACTTCATTTTGCTGTGCAGATCATATCAAGAGGTTAGACTCGAGTGCAACCTGTGCTGCGACACCCTCCCTCGCCACTCTCTTGCATTGTCCGGCCCGGACTTCGGCTCTCTGCACATCGACAAGCTCGCACGCTCGAGCCACCTTCATATTCGTCGCCCCGTTGCATTTCTCTCGGCACACCTGCCCCAACGACCTTTCTTTGAGGACGCTGCGCTCATACAAAAAGCATCGACATCATGTTTGTGAGTATACATCACCGGTTCGCCTGTCCATCAAGCTCAGAACAGGCCCCGCCGACCACGCAGAACCCGCAGCCCCCTCCGTTCATACGTGCTGATCCAAATGCTTGTCTCTCCCGCACCGCTCGTATCGCACGACTTTTCTTCTTGCCAACAGTGGAGATTCGGATTCTCGTCGGTTTCGACGCTCGAAACACTCCTCGACAAGCCAAACGTTACGCTCGAAGATGTGCTTGACGAGGATGACTTGCTTCAGGAATGCAAGTCGCAGAATCAGAAGCTCATCAACTTTCTTCGACAACCTCGCATCGTCAAGAGATTGATGGATCATGTCGTCGGCACCGCGACCGTTGGAGGCACCGGAGGCAAAGACTGGGAGGAAAAGGTCAAATTCAAGTATCCCTACGTCGCTTCCGAGGTGCTCAGCTGCAGTGAAGTATGGCCCATCATCGACGCCATCTTTTCGGATCCAAAGGAGTACCTCGTGCCCTTCTGGAACGCTGTCTTGACACCAACCCCCTCACCTTCGCAAGCGCCCTTGCCTATGCACTCGCATCCTCTATTCGCCGAAAACGACGCCTCCTCCTCCACAGGCTCCTCGACGTCGACCTCGCCTTCCCCGCACCTCAGCGTCACCAACTTTTCCGATCCTTCCAACACGGCGTCAGTCAACTCTGGCAGCTCACGGCCTTCCTCCGACTCCGAATCGGATGCCGATGGCAGACTTCGCGCTACCAGCGCTCTCGAGAATGGACCGGGACGAGGGGTGCTGGCTGGCTATTGGGCCAAGGTCAACGGCGCATATCTCGAACGCAAACCTGCCGAAATGCTCGACTTTATCAAGGATCAGCCGCGCATTGTGGAGCGCTTTGTCGCGCATCTCGAAACGCCAGCCGTGGTCGATTTGCTATTCCGCATCATCCAGATGGAGGAGACCATGCGTACGCCCGTTCAGTCAACCGACATTATCGACTGGCTCTCATCCCAGGACTTGATATCCCGTACCGTCGATCTTCTCGCACCCAACTACTCTGTCGACATCCACAACACCGTCTCTGAGCTGCTCAAGGCCATCATCGCCCTTTCTGCACCTTCGCCCGCCGCCCTCAATCAGGGCCAGGGTCAAGAGATGGGCGGAGCTCTCGGAGAGGCGCAGGAGAATACCGCTGGCATCAACAACCGCCTCGTGCGAGAACTCGCCAGCGAGCCCATTGTGCGCAAAATGGTTGGCTACATGCTCGACTCGCAGATGCCGAGACACTTACACCGTCGTCTCACAGATGTGGCGGATGAGCAACTCTCGCAGCTCTCTTTGCAAGACTTGCGAAAGCCATCTCAAAGGCGCGATGCTTCGCTATCGACACTCGAGGAAGGTGTCGCATCTTCCTCCGCAGTTGAGGACGATGACGATGACGATGAGTCCTTTGCACGACCTCTCAATCCCCGCGAGTTCCCCGCCTCCGAGTCTCGCTCGCCCGGACAACACGATCACCGTGGCTCGACAGCGACTGTGCGCCCCGAAAACCTATTTCCACCCGTGTCGGCACCCACTGTACCTATCACATCCGAGACCTGCAGTTCGACACTGGTCACATGCATCGGAGTCTTCATCGAGCTGATCCGCAAGAACAACAGCGACTATTTCGAGCAGCATCTGCTCCGCACCTTGCACAACCACCTCGTCAAGCGGCAGAGCGAGTTGACGGAGAAGCGTCTGCAGAAGAGGGAAGAGGAAGAGGCTGCCACTTCAAAAGCAGCTCAGCAAGAAGGCGAAACGGTTGACCCGACGCACACAGACGACACCGATGATCCAGAAACGGCTCAAAAAGCGATGGATGGGCTGGACGAAGAGGAAGAGGACGTACAAGGCATGGAGGAGGCCATGGCCGAGATCGTCGACAAGATGGGCCTGGTGCATCTCGGCCCCATGCTTCGTGTCTTGTCCGAGCGACTTTCAGACTTTCAGCAGCTCGTCAAGGAACCGCGCGAGCGCGACGTCACCATTCCGACCTCCGTTGGCGATGTGGCCCCGCTTACATTCGAGAGGTATCGAATCACTGAGCTTTATGCCGAGCTGCTTCACTGCTCCAACATGGCGCTGCTGAACCGCGCGCCTGGCGAGGGTCCGTGCTACTCTGATGACGGCGTACTGACTGGCGGCCTTGAAGGGCTACAGACGCTCGCACGGACCCTGCAGGGAGGCGATGGCCCAGAGGTAGGAGATACTTCTGTGGGTACTGACATGGCAGCTCCGCAGAGCCCTCACGAACAAGGCACGGCGATCAGCACTGTGGCAGCAACAGCTGTAAACGAAAATGACGCAAATGACCAAAACGCAGCCCACGCTTCAGGCCACAGTCGTGACCAATCGAGCACGGGAGCATCCACCGATTCAACGGACGAAGCGGACGATGAGGCCCTTCTGAACGAGGTTGCGCTCGGCGACAAGCCTATCGCGACAGCCGAGGCCGGTCACAGCAGTGTCGAGACATCTGCTGATGCGTCGTCGAAGGCGTCCAACAGGAAAAGCCCGCGCATCACGTCGAGCGCCTCTCTCGAGGAGGGCAGAGGCGATGCCGCTTCGGTCCACACTGCCCTCTCCGGACTTTCTCTCGCCGAATTGACGTCGCCCAGACGGTCGGGTCCGCCCAGTCCCATCGATGAGGCAAAGGACTATGTCATCGGTGACATGCTCAAGAGGAAGTTCCTCGAATGCGGCATTCTTCCATCGCTGCTCGATTTGTTCTTCGACTACCCCTGGAACAATTTTCTTCACAACGTTGTTTATGACATCCTGCAGCAATGCTTCAATGGACGCATGGACGTCGGCCTCAATAGGAAGCTTACCGTCGCAGTGTTCGATCAGGGACACCTTACTTCCCGCATCGTGGAAGGACGCAAGCGAAATGAAGACTCGGTGGCAGGTCCCCGCCGAATCCGACTTGGTTACATGGGCCACATGAACCTCATCGCTGAGGAGACCGTCAAGCTGCTGGAGCGCTATCCGCTCGAGGTCGCGCGTCCCGTCGAGGCGTTTACCGAGCGCGAAGAATGGCGCCAGGTGGTCTCGGAGACGCTGGAGGAGATTCGAGAGAAGGAAGGAGGTCCGCTCGCGTTCAATCGTGGTCACGACGGCATGTCCATGTCCTTCGGTTCTGGTGCAGATGATGACGACGATGATGGAGGCATCGGCGGTGCTGGAAGCAGCTCCTTTGCCAGCTATCTATCATCGCAAATTGGCGGAGCGGCCGGTTCGGACGATGACGACAGCGACGACGAGGCTTCGTGGCTGTCGAGCGAGATGAAGCGAGGCGGCAAGGAGGGCAGCGGCTTCGACGACGCGTTCACACCAAGGCAAGGGTCTGGTGGCGGTGGAGGCGAGCTCGGCGACGACGACGAGGATGACGATTGGGGGCCGTTCGCGGACCCCAGCGACGCCAATGCTGGCGGCGCCACCCAGAGCTTCGACTTTACTTCGTCTGGCGCAGCTGCGGACGGTGCTGCCAGCAACTCAAATCCCTTCGCCGAGAATCTAACTCCTGCTGACTGGTCGGCACAATTTAGAAGGGAATTTGAAGAAAGCGGCCCTCGACACGGTAACGAAATGGATGAGGACGATGAGGAAGACGACGAAGAGGAGGAGAGCGGCGCTACTCATACCGCCGCGGTCAGCATTCCATCCAAGCCTGTCGCCGACAGCGCCGAGCAAACATCGGCACTGAGCTCAAGTCCCTTCTCGCCGCCGAAGGGGATCGACGCTGCTTCGCTCGGCTCTGACGTCGTGAGCAAAGCACACGCCCGTCGCCCCTCACTCGGCCAGCTGGAAGCCGCCGAACTGGGCAGTGGCGATCAAACTTCGCTTAACCGTCGTCGAGGCTCGCTCGGGTCTGCAGGTCCCGAGATCGCAGAAGTGACAGATGCAGAGGATCCACTGGGACCTGGCATGCCGACGACGGTGTCGCAGACTGAAGAGGGGAAGCTTCAGCGAACCCTGGCAGACGGAACAACGGTTGTGGTGCCGTTGGATGAGGTGGCGCTGGGCGCTGGCGAGGCTGGATCTCCTCCCAAGGGCAGCGCTTCGTAGTAGCTGGCCGACATGTTGTCGCGAACAAAAGGGGTTCGATGATACGCTGTGCTTCTTGAGAGGCAGCATCGTATTACGAATCAACTCCAGTAATCTCATAGACATATGACCATCTCATTACCCCGTGCGTCTCTGACACTGACTGAGACTTTGCTGTGAATGTCGGGATTGTGGAGCTCGAGTCGAGATTGAGGCTGTCACGAAGAGGCTTTGTGCTCGAGCCCGGGGTCTTGAATACATGCTCTCGGTCGAGTGCTCACTGTTTTGCCTCAGATCTCTCATCGAGCTGTGCCGTCAGCGTGACCTGTGATCTCGAATGCGATCCCAGCTGTCACATCAGCACAACCTCTTTGCACATCCGGGAGGCTTTCGTTGAGTGCAATACGTTTCACCAGCTCTCACTCTACAATCGAGCTTCCTGTCGAGCGCCTAGTATCCGACGCTGACGAGGTAATCACCGAGACCCTCAGCGACCTTGTTAGCTTCGCCGGGGACGATAGGTGCCACGTAAACGCATACCAACACGGCCTGGTTGGTCTTGACTGCTACCAATCCGTCACCCTGAGATCAGAAAGCAAGATGCAATGTCAGCGACAAACTCGCTCGGAAGCGTGGATGAGTGAGGGGTGGAAGGACATACAGCTTGCTTTCCGTAGATGGTCCTTGGTGTGACGCCCAATGTGAAGAACTTTTTGCCGTTCGCACGGACGCCTCCAGCTTGTAGACCGGAGGGATCGTCGAAACCTGCGATTATTGCTTTTTGCTCTTCGGAGGAGACCTGAGGATGGTGAGCGGAGCGAGGGAGAAGGAATGCTGTCAGTCAATCAGCTGCATGCCCATCAGCTTGAAGCAAGGAAGCGACTCCATCGTCATCAACCGGCGTCACTTGCGAATCATGCCGCTGCGAATGAGTGTAACGTAGCCATCTCCAGATCTATAGGACGGATCCACTGGCAGAAGCTCCGTCGCCTTGTGACTCAGCCCGTGTCGTATGCGGTCTGTAGCGCTTCCCTGCCGGATGGAGAACACACTCACATTGAAATCGGAGCTCGTCGCCCAAACACCACCTTTGAGACCGATGATGGCGGCTTGGGTGATCTTGCCCGTGCCAACGAGGTTGGTGTCTACGTAACCTTGCCAAGACATTGCGATTGAGGGATGATTGTTCGAAGGATGTTGGAAGGGGAGAGTGAGCCCGATGCGTGCAGGTTGGTTCGAGGTGTTGGTTTTGGAAGACCGAATGAGCAATCAGGGGTGTGAGCGTGTGTGCTGGGAGTGACGTTTGCTTTGTCGGGCGAAAACGCAGGCAGCTGGTCCAAGCGTCGTTTGCTGCAAAGCTAGCTAGCACGCCAAGGCTGACATCCCTTTCGCCAGGCTGTGCGTCGATTTGTGTGTGTTTTCAACACAACCAAGTGGAGGATGCTCACTACAACGACGCGTTTTGGCTCGATCAAGTTTGCCCGTCCGTACGCCAATTCTACGCAAGGTACACAGGTGAGGGTTCTTCCGGGATCTTTCCGTTGTCTTGCGCATGGATCGGCTTGGCTGTAGATTTTCAGATCTACAGTACTCAGATATCAATCTCTTGATCAGCCAAAACCCGCGAAGGAATCTTTGGACCAGCACATGTTTCCTTCCTTCCAAGTTGCTCTACGTACCATCACAACCAAATCACTCCCATCAACACCATTTTCGATACTGGACAAAATGGCTCGCACTTTCTTCGTCGGCGGTAACTGGAAGATGAACGGCTCGCTCGAGTCGACAAAGTCTCTCACCCAGACTTTGACACAGGCCAAGCTCGACTCGAATGTCGGTGAGTATCGCTATTCTGCCATGTCCATGCCCAAGCCGAAGCTTTTGGCTGACTCTCATATCCTTGTATTTGTCGATATGCGTTCTTGTTGTTGTCCATGCAGAGGTGGTCGTTGCACCCCCAGCCCTCCACCTCCTGACCGTGCAGGAGCAGCTCAAAGGCTCCTCCGTCTCGGTCTCGGCTCAAAACGCCTTCCACAAGGCCAGCGGTGCCTTCACCGGCGAGGTTTCCGTCTCGATGCTCAAAGACGCCTCCATCCCTTGGGTCATCCTCGGTCACTCTGAACGTCGCACCCTCTTCCACGAATCCGACGCCAACGTCGCCGAAAAGACCGCCGCCGCTCTCGCCGAGAACCTCTCCGTCATCCTCTGCATCGGCGAGACGCTCGAACAGCGTGAAGCCAACGAGACCGTCAACGTTGTCGTTCGTCAACTCAACGCCGTTGCCGATCAGGTCAAGGACTGGTCCAAGATCGTCGTCGCCTACGAACCCGTCTGGGCCATCGGTACCGGTAAGGTGGCCACCTCGGAACAGGCCCAGGAGGTCCACGCCGCTATCCGCAAGTGGGCCAGCGAGAAGCTCGGCAAGGACACCGCCGACAAGCTCAGAATCATCTACGGCGGCTCCGTCGCCGGAAAGAACTGCAAGGAGCTCGCCCAGCAGCCTGACATTGACGGTTTCTTGGTCGGAGGCGCCAGTCTCAAGCCTGAGTTCGTTGATATCGTCAACGCGAACGCTTGACTAGCTAACCAGTCGGCTAGGATCTGATGTCCCGACATGCGATACGAGACGAGGCAGATTCTAGGCTCAAACCGGCTGACGTTAAATGTAACCTGCAACACGACATGCACATCGAATGATCAGTTTTGCTTTGCAACAGAGCAAGCCTTCAGGCGTGGAAAACTTGAGAGAATTGTGCTTTCTGGTCTCAGTGAGGAAGTGTTCGATGGCTAGCGTAGTCCAAGGAAAGACCACACCTCGCAACCGCTCACACTGAAACACACACTGGTGAAATCGACCGAGACGATGCATTGCATTGCAGCATTCTATCGTCCTTTTTTCTTTCCAAAGGGAGCGAGCGCACTACACCCTCTCGATGACGATGGCGATACCCTGACCTCCACCGATGCAAGCTGCGCCGAGTGCGTACTTCTTGTCCAGCCTGATCAGATTGTGAGTAAGGTTGGCCATGATCCTCGCGCCACTAGCGCCCAACGGGTGACCGAGGGCGATCGCTCCACCGAACACGTTCGTCTTTTCGCTGGGCAGCTCCAGCTCCTTCTGCACCGACAAGAACTGGGCGGCGAAGGCTTCGTTGACCTCGATGAGGTCCATATCCGACACCTTGAGTCCGGCACGGCTGAGAGCAATCTTGGATGCTTCAACAGGACCGATACCCATGATGCTGGGTTCGCAGGCGGTGACGCCGTACGACAGGATACGAGCCAGCGGTTTGAGGCCAAACTTCTTGACCGCTTCTTCCGAGGCGACGACGTTGGCAGCGGCACCATCGCAGATGCCGCTGGCGTTGCCGGCGGATACGGTGCCTTCCTTCTTGAACACGCTGGGGAGTTTTCCGAGGCTTTCGACCGTTGTCTTGGCACGCGGATGTTCGTCGACGTCGAAGGTCTCGGTTGATTTCTTCGACTTGATCTCGACGGGGACGATTTCGTCCTTGAAGGCGCCCTCGGAAAGAGCCTTCTGGTATCGCTGTTGGGTCTGCAATGCGTACTCGTCACACTGCTGTCTGGTGATGCCGTACTTGGCAGCCAGGTTTTCGGCCGTGATACCCATCGGTGTAGGTGTCGGAACCTGATCCGTCAGCGCAGCAGCCAGCGAATCGACCAGCTTGAGATCTTGACCGTACCGGGTGTTTCCAAACCTCACTCCAGACAGCGTATAAGGTGCCTGTGACATGCTCTCCGTACCACCCGTCAGCACCACGTCCGAGTCACCGACGCGGATCTCGTGAACAGCATTAATGATGCTCTGGAATCCGGATCCGCACAACCTGTTGACCGTCAATGCAGGTACGGTGACGGGAAGACCAGCGTGGTGGCCGACGTGACGGGCCAGGTAGGCTGCCGTGTTGTCGCTCGCGTGGACATTGCCAAAGATGGTAGCATCGACCTTGGTAGAAGAGGGAAGTTCGGCAAGGGCAGCTTTGGATGCAAGACCGCCGAGTTGAGATGCGGTAAACCCGGAGAGTTTTCCGCCGAACGCACCGAAGGGGGTTCGCTTGGCGGCGACGATGAATGCTTGACTAGCCATTTTTATAAGACTCAAAGCGGGAGGGATGGTGGGGTCTTGTTGTTGTTGTTTATGGTGGTGGAGGAGGGAGAAGATGACGACGAGAACAACACTCAGTCTTACCGGAAGCAGCAGGAAGAAAGTCCGCCTGAGCCAAAACGGGGTCTCGGATGCCTTTTGTTCCAATCTCGACAGAGTGTGGAGAGTGCTGCGCGCGGCTCAGTTACACCATGCAGGCTGCCAGCTTTCACACTTTCTCTGAAAATCCGGTCCGATCGGGTTGCCGAGCGAAGGGCCAACTTCCCATTAAGCCCCGCCGCTCTAACAATTCACCTCATCAAACGGCGCCCGTCGCTCTGTCAACATCATCGCCAAGTACAACTACACACAAACCTCGCACCGAGTCCGTTTGATCCAGGCTGCAAATCCGCAGCGGCCCTTACGAGTATGATTACAGACCAATGCAGAAAAACAATGCTAACACGATGCGATGCGACAACAGATACAGAGGGATTACACGTATGGGGTGGGGAACAACTTCGAGTATGCGACTCCGCACGGTGCGGAGAGTGAGAGCGTGACACCAGTACCTTGAGGAAATGAGTGAGAGACTGAAACTGAACTTGAGATACTTGACGCTGTGCGAGAATTGAGCGTGGAGAAGAGATTGTGACCAGTCGAGTATGGTTTGGTGGTAGTACAGGTTGCTGCTAACTGATTGGAGAAGAAACGCTCGGAACAAAGAATGGGGGACGGAACAAGAGAGGAAAGAGAACGTTCGCGGATTGCCCCTCGTCATGGCAAGAAGGCAGCAGACGATGGGAGAACGCTGGGAGTCGGGTCCGCCAACGTCAGGCGAGGACCCGTGACGCAAGCTGCAAAGGCACGATCGTGACAGAGAGAAAGGATTGGACCAGGAGTAGGAAGACGAGAATACGGACAACACCTCTTCGGCTTCATCCATCGGTGGATTCAAACCTTAGACTCCCTGAGAAACCTCGACGCGACGCCAGCGACTTCTTGTTCTCAAACGTCATGCCCGCGTCGAGGCTGTGAGCACCGTGAGCATCGGCTTGGGTTCGCGAAGCAGAGTGATCCATGTCGACGGCTGCACCGGCCGTAGGTGTCTGTGCCATATTGATCCAAGGCGAGATCGACCATCCGTCGCTGCTAGCCCCGGTTCCAGACATGACGTTACTTAGGCCAAGCGCGCCCGGAGTAACACCAAGAGGCTTGGACATGTTCGACATATCCGAATGGCGAAAGTCGGGGAGCGACAATTGACCGTGAATGTCGGGCGCCGACGACATCCACGAAGCGGCGTTGTCCACGCTGGGTTTTTGAGAGGCGTGAGAATCGGCATGCGCTTGAGGAAGAGAGTGGATGCTCTCCAGGCAGCTTGCCATGACTTCGTCCGAGCTGAGGGCGGTTTTGGACGTGTTTGAACTGCCCTGGTCAACAGCTGAGGAAGGAATTGGTGCCATGGTCCTCGAAGGGATAGCCGCGGATTCGATCGGCGGTGACGGCGAGATAGTCGTAGCAGAGCCGAAAGGCTTTCCGGAGTCGGAGACACGTTGAACCTTGCCTGGTGCGCTGCTTTCCGGCTCCGATTGCTCAGATGGCAACGTCACTTCAGTCTGCCCGCTCCCGGGACGCGAAAAGTTGGATCTCGCGTCAGGGGTGCTAAGCAGCGAGCTCGTCCGTCGCAACAAAGACGGCGAATGGGAGCCCGTACGGCTGTTGTCGTCGGGTCGCGCCATGGTGACATCGTCGACACCATCATGATGAGGAGCAGCGAGACCGCCACCAAAGGATGACTCCGCGCCGGGCAAGGGAGACACAGTCGAGAACGGCATGCGATGAGTGGCACCGGGGGCAACAGTAGTCCCGAATGGCGCGTGCATGGCCGGAATTGGTTGTTGTGACGATGTCGACCACGGTGCAGCAGCGTGACCGAAAGCGAGGTGAGGCAGCGCCAGAGCCGTGACGCTTTGCGAGCGATTGCGGTGGCGATTGAGAGGGGCAAAGTGGTCGACGCCGAGATCGATGGACGCACGCTGGGGCAGAGGATGTGACGACTGGGTGGAAGGTACTGCCTGGTGTATCATGGCAATCTGTTCGGCCAGAGTCTGATTCTCGGCCCGCATCCGAGCGAGCGCCTCTCGCAGAAAGTGGCTTTCCTCCTCTTGGCTCTGAGACCGACGGTGGAGCTCAGCGAGCTGCACCTCGAGCTGCATGGTGTACTCCTCTTTACGCTCGCGAAGTCGTCGCTGTGCATTGCGATTCTGCTCTTTGCGACGTGCGATCTGACGTAGACGCTCGGCATCGTGCTCGTCGTCCGTGTGTTTGATGGGAGGCCTCATAATCAGCGGCATGAAGGCAGGCGGAATTGACGGTATGGTGGCAGCAGAGCCGTTCGGGTGGTGATTGATTGGAAAGAGTTTGGCGAGCGAAAGACGTCGCGGGGTGGATGATCGCGTGCAAAAGACGACGGGGCTTACGGTCAATGCTGATTTGAAGAGCCGAGAAGAGGCGCCATGAATCGGAAGGAGCGGTGTAGACAAGTACGTTGATAAGACGTTCTCGTGAGGAGCTTGGCAGCGGTGGCAAGCGCGACGAAAAGACGGTTGTGGGTCGGTGGTCGTACTTGTTGCTACGAATGGAAGACAAGAGGCAAGCCGCAGAAGGTGACGGCGAGCGGGTAGAAAAGTGGAGAGAGGGAATGTCGAGGCTCGCAGGACTGGTCGACTTGTCAAACAGGTTGGTTCGGTCGAAAGCGCTGTTGTGAGGAGGCAGAAGGCTGGTGAGACGCCGCTGGATGGGCTATCGTCGCTTGTTCCGCGTTGTCGGCGCTGCCGTCGCAGAGAGACAGAACTCGATCGTGGAGACCCTAGCAGCAGGCGAGTGAGAGGTGAAGGAGCACTGGTCGGAACGCAGCAGGCAACCTTCCGCAGGCGGTGGCGTGCAAACGTAGAGCTGAGAAGTCGAAGTCGCGTCCGTGACCAGCGAAACTGTGACGTACCTGTCTGTGACGAGGAGGAAAGTTTCGGAGGATCAGGGAGCTGAAAGGGAGCGACAAGGCGAAGTGGCAGGCGGTGAGGGAGAAGGAGAGGTTTCGAGGAGGAAGGCGAGGGCAGCGAAGAAGACGCGGAGACGGAAGAGGCTATCGAGCGACCCCCGAACGTGGACACTGTCGGCAGCCGACGTCTTTTGAGAAGCGACGAGCAATCGGGTCTCTGCGGTCGAAGTGCAGCAGCGAAAGCGGATCCAGCTAGAGGGAAAGGGTCGGCACAAAGAGCGAGAAAGAAGGACGGACCGAAGAGGCGGGATAGGAAGAGGTCGGAGTAGGCTCAACGAAACAGACTCTTACGGTTGAACCAAAACGTGAACCCTAGCCAACACGAAATTCGCAGCAGGAGGACGACGAGGCTCTACTCTGTTTAGAACGCCGTAGGGTGCAGGTTCCTCACCTCTGGCATCCGAACTTCGGATCTTCTGTTCTCGTGTCTGCTAGTTCGTGTCGATGCGGCGAAATCATTGGTGGCGTGTCGGGTAGAATCCGTTGAGTGGCAAAAGCCTCTTGCAAAGCGTGAGAGCGTGCACGCCACACGGGCTCAGACGTCGACGCTTCGTTATTTTGGGGGGACCGACACAGATCAAGAGCAGCAGGCGATCTTGGAGAGACGGGTCACGGAACGGAGACCACAGAGGAAGACAGGGGCCGTACCCGAGAAGGAGCTTACAGTGAAGGTGGGCGGAGAAGGACAATGACGAGATGGCCAGAATTTTTTTTCTTATGTCTTTAAGCAGTATTATTAATATAGTATCGACACATCTGTACTCTGCTCTGGCATCTGTCTACGGGTACAGTTGTACAGTACCTACTTGAGAGGTCCTGAGGATGGTCGGATCGGCCGTGAAGATGCTACGCAAGCCAGGGCTTGAGCAGCAAACCGACAGGCAGCTTGACCCTGGTGACCAGAAGAGCGGTTCACATGTCGGTCCCTGCTTGCAAAGTTTATCTTTATATTCATGATAATCTTATTTCCTGGTGTTGTCTCGCTAAATTTCACCGATCGCGCCGGGAAGCTGCACTGTACGGCGAGAGAAGGGCTCTGCCGTCATTTTGTCGAATGGAAGTTTTCGATTAGCGTATTTGGCTAAACAAAGCTCGAGTCGTGGCAGCCATCCGTAGGCCCGTCGATGACCTTGGCAGATGGATGTCGTGCCTACATTGTTGTCATTTCATTGACAAGATATGATCGGATGACTGGCAAGATCACGGATGCAGAATTGCTCGAACAGACAGTCCGACAACGTGCTGCAGTCTGATCTCGGAGTGGAAGCAAGTTTCTGGCTCCGCTGCGCAAACGAGGCACACGAACGCGCACAAACAACTTGAGCATAGCATCGTGCAGTTCGTCTGTCGTTTGTCGGAGGCAAATACCAAACAGCGTGGCGGTGCGTCTACAAGAGCGGATAGGCTCGCACTGAGCCCGTGGTCGCTAAACATGGCTCCATCGTGTCACGGGGGGGGG